CTGCACATTCGCCGGCCGGCTGTACCAGATTGCCAAATGAATGTCTCTCGGTCGCCCTTCCGACAACAATCTGTAGGGAAACCATCGGGAAGCAGACGAAGGGAGGAGATCTAACCCACCACCTGGGCATCTCATCATCCCCAGCAAAAACTCAAACTCATTCTCGGCCGTCGAAGGGGCAGGTGCGTATGAATTTCCAGCGCGAAAAGAATGCGCCACGGCTCAGAGCCAATATTCTCAAAATCCAACGTTTCGTGACCCCCGAAACTAATAGCCGTTCGAAAAGAGTAGGACCACCATCCATTTCCTTTCAGGGCCCCATATCGCACGGATAAACTGCAGGGATGGGTGTGTCCCGGGATGTTGAACACTTTCTTGGCCTGTGAAATGGCTTCTGGCGATCTGAAAGACCCCGTGATGACTGTTACTGGTGATAAAGCACGATGTCCCGTGCGATGATCTGCTGGATATCCTTCTGGACGATGATTTTTGCGCTCGCCGTATCGTCCCAGAGATACCACTCATGTCATCCATCCTTCGGTTCTGGACAGCAACAGCAGCGCACAGATTCTGGTGGTCGAGGATGAACGCAGACAAACGGACCGCGGGGATGAAAAGCCATGGTTGAGCGCATGATCCCTCAACTGAGAGACACGAGTACCAAGCCTCAAAGACAGAACATCTTTCAATGCCCAAGCCCAGATGTCTCGTCTCCGCACGGCTGCCTGTTCTCTCAACACAGGACCTGCAAGGGGGGGCCTCAACGACGGAGTTATATCCCTCAGCGTAGACGAATCCAATGGGCGAATTTTTGCAGCGGCTTTCTGTTTCGACGCCCAGACAGGTCCAGCAAGATTTTGACTATCTCAAGATGCCCTCTTCCGATGGGACGGCAATCAGCAACGGACTCGAATCGTCTCTGCGGCGGTTGAGGGCCGCTGGGTGTGCAAGAACCGCCGTCCAGCAGCTAGCAGATGACTGGCTGCTGTGTGGATCAACGATCCTGAAGATATCCCATCTTCATTGATTCGATGATGGTCTATGGTAGAGATTAGACCAGACCAGACCAGACCAGAGCAGTGACCTCGTACTATATCCTCGCGCCGGATATGATCAAAGGTGAGTTGTTCCAAGAGGATGGCCGTGTTGATGCTGATTACAGGGTGTCTGGATTCCGAACAAGGCTCTTTCGCGACAGACAAATATACATGATCAATGAGCCAACACCCCGAGCCCACGACATCGGCTTGTGTGGTGAATGAGACCCACCCGCCTAGGGCAAGGTTTGATGAGTCGTGACAGAAGCCGAAACCACACCACGCACTAGATATCCTCCACGAGATCGTCGCTGACGATGAACGGAGCGACCAATGGTTGCTGCTAGTATATATCTCTGGGTCGGGCCAGATAGGAAGCAGCGCACAATATCAAGTGGCTGGTAGGTATGAAAAGCGTGAGCCACGTGTCGCGATCGGGCTTTGCTCAAGGGATGCGCGGCGGTTGATCTTTGGGTTGGGGTGCTACGCCGACGTAGGATAGAAGGGGGATCCTCCAGCATCAAGGAAGCTCATGCCAGACGGTGGTTCTGCATCGTGGCATGGATGTGGAAATGTGCTGTTCATGGACCGAGCGGCGCGCTCGAGGGTTGCGATGGGCATGACCGATGATTTTAGGCCCCGGGTGGTGAAGTAGAAAGGATGTCTAGAGATTCCTGGTTCAGTTGGAATCTCGTTAAACACCGAAAAAGAGGTCGAAGCGCATATCCATGACACAGTCCTGCAGCAGGTCATCATCCTCTGAAAGCAGAACGTCCTTCGATCTTCGGCCCAACTTCCATGATCTCACCATGGAGTGCATTATCGCCGTCTCTCCATTGGCAATAGCGTTCAACAGTGTGTGAACCACACACCCACATCCCAACATCAACAGAATCTTGATGATGACAGTGTTCGCAGAGCTTGCAGAATGCCAATAAAGTGCCAGCAGCTCCAGCCCATCCTGCACGCAGTACCCATCCAGCATGGGCAACGAACGCCATGTAGCCAGCCCCAGCAGATAGATATATACTTATCTATATCCCAAAAGCAGTGTTCTTCGCGGTGATGCGGTGATGCTGTCGCCGCACAGGTTGCATACACGGTTATATCCAAGGGCCATGTGCGCTGTCAATGTCGGGGTCGGGTGCAAGAGCAGACAGACAAGCACATATGCGGGAATCCTGACAGTCCGCACGCAGGCCACAAGCACAGGAGACCACTCGGAAGTACGGCGCGTCTCTGCTCCAGGTCCTGTTCCGTCACGATCACTGGCCGGATGGGAGGCATAGTGACTTCAGTGGGAAAAATGACCGATCTGATCTATCTCTCCAAGACATCGCGCGACTGAGGTTATTGGTGAGACCGAGAAGGAGGAGGAGGGTGAGGGTGAGAACAAGCCCAGGAAGACAATCCAGTAGAAATAGGCGAACCCCCCCCCGAGAGAAATACACCGCCAGTGGGAAGATATTCACTGCCCTCGCTTAGAAGTTAGCTCGTAGCCATCACATCATCACAATCAAGCAACAGAGTGGGAAGTTGACACTTACTGCTTAAGACCTTTGCATGGAACGCAGCCAATCAATCCGTTTCAGATCAGTCCAGCTACTCGTTGACAATCCACCAGAGAAGACAAACGAAACCAGAAAGTAAGAAGAGTAGGGCTCGACTGGTCAGCCATTTCCAACCCAGGAAGAATCCAGAATCCACGTGTGATTTGATTCCCCGGTTTTTGGATGCTTCTCACCACTGCACTGGCCCCCATACCCATCGTGTTCAGCAGGCAGGTGATAATGAGGGGACTTCTACCCCCGTCCAACTGACACGAAGACCCAGACGGAGAAATTGGTCCTTTTCCAGAAACCGGCGGACCCCTTCCCTCAAGGTCAAAAACGACCATGAATAGAATATCCAATGAAAGTCTGAGTTGAAAGAAACCAAACCCGAACATGAGATACTCCATTGGTCAGACCAAACGCACCCAGGAACCAGGACCAGGACCAGGACCAGGATCAAGACCAAGACAGCCCGAAGGTCGTGCTCTCTGCACGGTCGCGTGCATCATTCCAGCAAAACAACAGAAAGATGGAACTTGCTTCTTAGTGGTCGAGTCTCACGTATCCAGACAATAACCATGTAAACAGAAAAGATAAAATTGATAGAAGAGACACGACATCGGAGCGGACTCTTGTAGGGTTGTAGGGCTGTGGGGTTTAGGGTTAACCCGGTGCCGTGCTGGAGGAAGCCCATCAGGCAGACGGACATCCAGCTGAAATTCAAAAAGAAAAACAACAACGATTCTCTGGTCCGCGAGATATGGGACTTGGACGTCTCGGAAGTGATAAATCTCGAGAAGGAGATGGTAGATCGGCCGAAAGGATGTAGCAGAGAGGGAGAGAGAGAGAAAGAAACGGCTGGTGTGGATACTGGTGAAGCGCAGCAAACACGACACCAAATAATCACCAACAGGAGAATCCGTTGCCCTAATAAGGAACGACCACGACAATAACCATTTTATATAAAGCAAGACAGGAAAGCAGGAGGAATCATCAAAAGAAAATCACACTCCAACCAAAAAGGGCGATGGGATTGGTTTCCTGGTGGACAACCCCAACTCATAATCAGACTCATACACAGCAACAGGGAGAAGAAGAAGAAGAAGAAGACAAACCTCCGCAGAGAAACAGCCCAGCGTAAGACAGGTTTCCGAGGGTGTCGGTGCTGATGGATGGTGGATGCCGTGGACAGACAGAAAGCAACATCAACATACAAACGGACACAAACAGAGTCAGTCGGCTTCGGGTTCGACGATCGGGTCCGATGTGTGGGGGGGGGGCTCGCCACCTCGCTGGCTGACGGGCGCGGGCTGTCATGAGAAGGGAATCCTGGCTCGCTCTCTCTGATAGAAGGACAGGTGAGCTCCCCTTTACTTGACTGCAGGATTGAGGGGGAGGGGGGGGATACCATTGGCATCGGTGCTTTTCAACCGGATCAGAGCCTCCCTTCTCAACCCTGATGCTCAGTGCAGCAAGCCCTGTTTGCAGTCCATCGATTATCACATGACAGTGTGTCCTGTATTGGGACAAAGCGCCTCCAAAAGAAACAGAAGAATATATAATCAAGAAAGGAAGAACAACCAACCTTACAACTCCACCTGAATCCCGTCAACCACGGCCTCACCGAGCAGACACACCTGGGGCTGGGGTAGATGGCTGTGGGCGTTCGTCTGTGACCCAGAAGCGACCCAGAAAGATAGATATCTGCTCATCTAGCATTACCAAAACTAAAATTATACAACACAGAAGAAGAAGAAGAAGAAAGCTTACATCTACCCCCTCCTCCTCCTCTCTCTGCCGTGGTGCTTCTAATCAGGGCCGGGCCCGCCTATCGGTCATCAAACTGTGTTTGGCATCACGACCGATCAAACGAATCGCGACGAATGAATGAACATAGAGGGGCAGACGGAGAAAGAAGAGAATCCAGGCAAAAGTCCGTCGATGGATGGAAGGGACTTGATTTGATTCTCCGAGGGTTTCCGGTTCCACATAGATCTGGTATATAGATAGATATATATATATATAGTATAGCGGGTGAGAAAGGAAGGAGGAAGAGGATGAAGGGAGGATGGAGAATGGAGAATAACGAAGGGGATTTATAACCTGTGTGGAGCGATATATCCGTAAGAAGCATAAATAATAAAAATAATCATTGTGTCAGTAACCGTAAGTGAGGGAATTTCAGATTTCAGACGGCGGGATTCATCCCCGTTTGCCCATCGCGGGTTGCGTTTGACGTCAACTGAAGACTGTTACACTACCGCATCTTCAATCTACACAGACAAACAGTCCTATACACTACTGTTTCATGTCCAGGGACGCCAAAGAATAATACAACAGTGTCCAATCTGGCCCGGCCCACCTAAGAATACGCAAGACGACCCATGCACGACCCCTGCTACTCTATCATCTACTCCCCCCCATACAGCACATGCACCGACGAAGCCGGCGTCGAAAACCCCTCGCCAATGCGGATAACCACCTTGACCTGCAGCGCGCGGGCTTCCCGGATGCAACACGCCAGGCAAGTCCGTCCGACCTTGCCGACGATGGCGTGGTGGCCCACGGACGCACACCACGCCCGCGCGAAGGTTTCCTTGTCGTGGGAGCTCCGCGCGTCCAGGACCAGGATGTCGCCCTTGGGGAGCCCGCCGTTGTTGCCGTCCGCGGGGGCGCGGGAATCGGCCAGCGTCTCCAGCGGGACCCACTGGTAGCCGTACGATCGGTGCAGCGGGTGGCCGGGGAGACGGTGGTGGCGGTGCGAGACGTAGCTGGACGTCGACGAGGACCGCCCGCTGTCGGTGGCGCTGGCGCTGTTGTGGTACGAGATCAGCCCGCCCGGGGGCCGGCATTCATGGGACGAGACGAATCGCACGTTGTACGTCAACGGGAAGGAGACGGTGGTGGGCCCGACCCCGTCCGTGTCGGACGTGAGGGTGAAGTTGACAACCGCCTGCTCGGCCACGGTGAGATGGTGGTTGAGCGCATCCGCTGGCGCCCCGGTCTTGTCGATCGAAAAGGCGAGGTCCTCGAAGTCGATCCTCAGCTTCGACCAGCTCTCCGTGGGCCCGTCCACCGGCATCAAGAACGCCCCGCTCGTCAGATCCCCCAGCCCCAGTGGGGTCGAATCGAAAGACAGCCGGTTGCCGTGCTTGATGCGAGGCTTGCCTGGCTGCCGGGGTGGCTCCTTGACATTCACCTCGAACCAGGTGTTGTCCAGAGGCTGCTCGGTCTGCGAGTCTTTCGGCACGACCGAACTGCCGAGCCACGCGAGACACACTTTGGTGCCCTCCTTGCTGGCCAGCACGCGTCCAACGATGCCCTTCTTACTCCACCAGGTTTTCCCGTTGTACGCAAACCCGCCGTAGAGGTTGACGACCGGTCCGAGGACGGCCATCGCATCCGCATCGTTTTCCAGCAGCGTCGCCATGAGCAAGTGGCTGATGGACTCGCCCGGAATCACAAACCCGGCGAGCCAAGTGCGCGTCACCCAGCCCCCGATGTCCAGCGGCTGCGTGCGGTCGCGCGGGCGCAGAAGCAACAGCCGACGCGACAGGGACCGGCCATACATTTCCTTGCGCAACTCCGGCGCTGTATACCCAGTCGGAAGGGTATTGCGCACAGGCGTCGTGTAGGCCTCTCGGATCGTCTGCTCCGATCCCGGGCCCTCCAGCCTCGAACGCAGCGCGGTCTTGAGCTCATCCATCCGGGGCCACCCTAGGCTGTCTGCAAACACGAACAACCCTTTCAGCTGCTGGTCCACATGGTTGGGCACGAGATGGCATTTCCACGCCGACTCGTTGTGATGCGCCGAGGGCGAGGGCGACCGATGATGGGTGAGGGTTTCAAGGAACGAGCGATGATGGTGCCGATCCTCCAGCTTGCTGGGGGATGTCGGAGGACAGCCAGGCTCCACTGGATCGTAGGTAAAGGTGAAGCTGTCCATGAAACGCCGCACCGCGACCAAGTCCCAGTTCAGCTTCCCACTCCGCAGCCGATCGAAGTCATACACATCACGGATGGACACGTCGATCTCCCGCGAGTTCTGCAACATCCCCACGCGCACGGTCGCATCCAGACGGAGCAGCAGCTCCGCGGCCAGCACCATCTGGACGAGGAACCACTTCCGCTCCAGAGTGGCTTGGAGCCGGGGCTTCTCGGATTTGGACGGATCGAGGAAATCACCGTCCACGTGAGGAGGGCTCTCCCACAGGAGCTGTCCGATGTGCAGCCGCCAGTCGATCATACTGAAGTCCAACCACGCGCCGGGAGTGGACAGCACGACCGTCAAGGCCTTGATCTGGGCCTTCAGACAGTGGGGGTCGTGCGCATCCAGCAGCAGAAACCGCACGGGAGGATAGAGAAATCGATTGAACAGTCCATTGTACAGCTCGCGAATCGATTCCGTGTCCAGGAGGGTTTTGGGCACGTCCCCGTGCAGGATCTCGTAGCGGAGGTCCTTCAGCTTCTGGAGACGCTCCACGAGGGTGCGGAGATCCACGTCTCGAACCCCGATCCGCTTCCAGGCCCCCGGCCCCTCACACAGCATTTTCTTCCGATCGTGGATAGTGCCATCCGAGCACTGTGCGTACGGGTCATTGTAGTGGCCCATCAGCTCGTACACCTCGGTCGCCGGCAGAGTTGACAGGTGCTGGAGGTCCGAACACGGCCTCGCCTTCTCGGGGGCGATGTACAAAGCCGCGTCCGCGACGGGGAGCTCGAGGAAATGGCGAAACCCGATGGTCCCGGGGTCCTTGCCGTTGATGGACAGCATATTGGGCACTTCCAGCACGCCGACATCGAACGTCGCGCGCTTGGGGGCGTCCGCCCGTTTCCAGGAGCCCAGATGCACCGGCAGCTCTCCTTCCACGACCCAGTCATCTGGCACGGGCAGATGGGCATGCAGCGTGCACAGGGTGTATGAGGCGTGGGGCAGCGGTCGCCGGTCGCCCAGGCTCTGGATGGTAGGCTCGTGGTCGTCGAACGGGAAGATGATCTGCGGGTACCAGAGGCCATGCTTACCTTTCTCGAGCAGGAAGTAGGGGGCCCCCGAGAAGATGGTCTCGACATCCCTTTTCGTCAGCTGGTTCTGGGGCGACGGCTCCGGCTCGTGGTGGGGTCGGTGGGAGCGGATGGGTTTCTCGCGATGCTCGTCCGTCGAGTCGTGGCTGCCGCTGTCATGGCGCGCGTGGGAGTCGGACTTTTCGTGCGGGGGCTGAGCAGACCCCGAGGGCTGCGAGGAAGTTGTCGGTCCCTGGGTATGTCAGGCAGAGTCCCCCGTCAATACGCACGTCTGACCTCGACCCCAACGAGCAAGGGAATCCTTACCGGTTCCGGCGGCTGGAAGGCAGCCGCGGCGTGGGAGTCGGACTCGGGCCGGTGTTTGTGGAAGATTTCATGGATGACGCCTCTGGTGTGGGCGGTGGGGTTGCTGCGGTCGGATACGGATATGTTCGGCACGGACGCTCGTCTGCATCGTTCGTGTTGGGGCAGACCATCGCCTTCGGGAGGTGTTTGTTGGGAGATGGAATGGCGACGGCCAAAGAAGAACGACATGGTAGTCGTGTATCTATCGCACAATGTGACAGGCAGCAGATGGTGGTGTCGTCAATCAGTCCAACAACCGATCGCTGGTCGCGGCGCCGTGGCTCATTGTTCCCGCAGTGGCGGATGGCGGAATGCGGATGGACGGGAGGGATGAGGAGTACCGAGGGCGTTCACATGGTTTTATACCAGGAGGAGGGATTCGGTGGGCCGTGATGGAGGATGAATGGGGAGAGGGAGGAGTGGAAGTGGAAGTGAAAGTGAAAGTGGAAGGAGACGAGACGAGACGAAGACGGGAAGAGGCCGATGACGTCGGCTGTTCCGGCGTCCCGGCTCGGCCCATCTTGCCCGTTTGGGTCGGATCACGCCAGCTGCAGCGTCACGGGGTCAATGGCATTTCAGTCTCATTTGTATAAATTACACTAATTACGCAATTTCATCCTCATCGGTCATCCCCCATCTAAGCGTGCTTCTGCAGGAAGTCCAGCGCGGTCCGGTAGCCCCGCTCGTACTCCTTGCGCACCTCCTCGTCCTCGAGGTTCGACCGGGCGGCCATCCAGCCGTGGATCTGGGTCGAGAAGGTCTCGACGTAGTTGTCCTTGGTCAGGTTGGCTCCGAACGCCTCGACGTCCTTGGGGGTCTCGTCCTTGGACGCCAGCACCGCCATCGGGACGTTGACGCTCTTGGCGTCGTTGGGGTCCAGCATCGCCGGGTGGCACTGCACCGCCGCCTTGAACAGCGTGTTGTCACTGCCCGACGACAGCGTCGCGATCTTGCCGCCCCAGCAGAAGCCCAGGATGGACCACGACTGGAAGTTGGCGCCCGCGGCCAGCTTGTTGGCCTCCGACACGATGCCGGGGATCTTGGGCAGGTTGTTGGGGGGCGCCGCCTTGGTCTGGAAGAAGTTGCCCAGCTTCTGCTTGTGCTCGTCCGTCTGAGGGGGGAACCAGGTGATGTCCGCGGGCTCGCCCTGGAAGAAGTCGGGGATGAACACGCGGTATTTCTGCTCGCTGGAGGTGGCTAGGATGTCGGCGCCCTGAAGGGTCTGGGGGAAGAATCCGAAGATGTCTAGCAATTGAGTCTGACTTAGCACGGGGGTGGCTGTCTCGGATGGGTCTGTCTACCCACCGTAGATGACGAGGATGGCCTTGGTCGCGGAGGCGGGACCGGTCACGTAGGTCTTCAAGCCATTGATGGTCTGATATTCGCCCTTGGCCTGGTAGCCCTTGGCGACGATGGGGGGGATGCTGGACGGGTGAGCGGCGGGCGGGGGGATTCTCGAGGCATGGTCACTCACGAGCAACAGGCCTTGCTGACACCGGACATGGCTGCGGATGAACAGTGGAGGGGACGGGAGACGGAGGGGAGGAAGGACCTTCGCAGTGGTAAGGTTAGAAGCTGTCTGGAAAACATGGGGTTAGTGTGGAAAGGGAAGATGATGGACGCACAAAGGGGGGGAAGAATTGGGTAGAATTGAGAGATGGGGAGATGGAGAGAAGAGAAAATAGAAAGGGGAAGAGGAGGAAGAAGAAGAGGAGAAAAAGAGCCGTGAGCAGTGCAACCCCGCCTACTCCGTACCGCCGACGTCATCCGCGCCGCCCCACTTGCCCCGGTTTCGCCCGCATTCCTTGACATCTAGATATACACATATCCCACACAAGTAGCCCTATTCTTTTACACCCTTTTTCGTCCAGGTGATCGACCTGGAGGATGATGGCAGGGGTTTTGCGATGTCTAGCAAATCTCTGGCAATCTTTGAATGAAGCCATCCGGGGGGAATTCAATATCGACTTGGACGAAGGCTCAGGTCGTCCTGGTTAGGGTTAGTGTGGGGACACGGGGCTGGGAGATGGTGACACTGACGCCGGTGATGAGGGCAACGCCCCCGAGTTCTCGCTCGCACTCCAGAGCTCTGGGAATTAATTGGTTGCAGGGAATATCAGGAAAGAGGAAGTGGGAGAGAAGGGGAAAAAAAAAAAAAAAAAAAAAAAAAAGCAAGAGGCGACGTAAAGTGGGCCCAGGCTGCGAACAGTGAATATGCCCTCTTGGCTTGCCTAGGTGTCCTATACCATCGATGAGACTCGAGACCCCCGAACCCGGCAAGGCTCAGCTATACTTGTTTGGATATTGATTGATATGTCAATCTACTTGAACGTGTTGCACCAAGCTGAGGGGAACCGTTGAACCCTCCCCCGGAAGCCTGTTTGCATGCATCTATACAGATGTACCTGTTCACCAAGTACCCCATCTTGTGGCTAATTCCGGGGATGGATATCCTGTGGGGGTGATATTGCAATATGCTGTCTTTGATTTACTGGTGTTTTCGGTTGTGGTGATGCTATACTAACAACCAGAGACGGCCTTCTTCCCCGGCATGCACTATATCTTCGGTCCTCCCCTCCCATGTCTATCCCTCTCCTCTCCTCACCTCCTCCTGCTAGACATCCTGTTCTAGAACGCATGCCTCAACACCTCCTCAGGCGGATACCTCCTGTGGCTCAAATTCCTCAACCGCTTCACGACCACCCAACTCAACAACCTCTCCGCGCTGTCCCCCGCACTGGGGATTTCTGCGTCCTGCTCATCTGCTTCTTGTTGGACCTGCTCCTCGGCCCCGCCTGGGCCATCGCCGTCTCCCACACCTGGAACATCATCGGGCTCGCGAGATCCTCGTGATCTGGGAGGTGCCGGAGTCGACGCTTTGGTTCGCGTTCCTGACGACGTACGCGGCCGTCGCGATGTCGAGCGTGCTGTACGGATGGGTGAATAGCGAGCTGCGGTATGAGGCGAGTGAGCGGGCCGTGGTCCTCGTGGTGGTCAATGTGGTGGCGCAGTCGACGACCGCGTGGACGCCGCTGCTCGTGTATAGGACCGTGTTTGGGTCGCGGTTTAGGGTCGGGTATGCGTTTACGTTGGCGAATGCGGTGGGTTTGGTTGGGTTGGCGTTGGGGCTGTGATATTGTGGGGGGAGGTATGTTTTCTTTTCTTTTCTTTTCTTTTCTCATTTGTGCTCTTGGGTCTTGGGTCTTGGGTCTTTATTTAGGGGGTTGACTGGCTGACTGGGGGGTTGATAGGCAGCGGGTTATCGCGGATTTGGATGTTGAGGGAGAGATGGTTAGGGTTACGGAGAGGGCGAAGGTGGATGGGGAGGGGCGGGAGAGCATCTAGATCTAGATGACACTCTAACTGATGGCGTCTACTACTGGCCTGGACTGTGGATATTGTGGATTATTGATTAGAGGTTATAGATGCTATAAACTAGCAGACCTGGATATAGCTAGATCAGATACAGACAGTAGACGAGCCAACCCTCCCATCTAGATCAGAACTTACCTTAATCCCCTATTTATCAGTGTCTTTCTTTGTCTTTCTCTTTCTCCTTTTCTTTTCCCCATACTTACCTACTACCACCACAATGGGCGACACCCCCCAAGACCAACCCATCCGGAAGCAGATCCTCCTCAATGCATTCGACATGTGCACCATGGGCCATCTCTCGCCTGGACAATGGAAGGCAAGCACTCCACCTACCTCACCCGGCTGTGGTTGCTTGCGATTGATGCAAAAATGTAAACCACGAGCAGAACGCCGCCGACAAATCCGCCACGAAGTGCAAACTCTCCTACTGGATCGAACTCGCCAAACTGCTCGAGCGCGGGGGAAAGACTGTGGGAATTCTCCTGGTCCCCCCACCCCCGAAACAGACAGCTACATCGACCCCACACAAGTACGACTAATCAACCACGTAGGCAAATACTTCACGCTGCACATGCGCCACATCGTGGACCCATCCCCGCAACGAACGCCCTTTCTCTTCCAAGCGGGGACCTCCGCGGCGGGCTCCGCCTTCGCAGCCACGCACGACGACGTGATCTTCGTGTCGAGCCACTCGCACACATCCGGTAGCTCGCGGCGTCGCAGGGGCGCGAGACCCGCGATCCATCAAGTTCTTCGCGACGTTCACGTCGGTTGTGGGGCGGGCGGACGCGGAGGCACAGGCCAAGCTGGCGGAGGCGAGGAGGCACGCGAGCGTGGTGGGCGGACTGGTGCTGTTTAGCGGGTGGACGGGGATCGATATCTTGGGGATTTCGCTGGATCGGGAGCTGGGTGAGGAGTCTGTTGGATGGGTTGACGACGACGACGACGACGAGTAGCGAGGTGCCGAGGTGGACGCCGCGGGTGGTGGCGGATGTGGATGGGTTTAATCTTGCGTATGTCACGACCCCCGGGACGTTTGAGGATGTGGTCGAGTTGTTGGTGCCTGAGTCGAGGAGGCGCGGGGTGTATCGGGAATCTAAATCTGATCTGGAGACGGAGACTGAGACTGCTGGGGAGTGGACTGAGAGGTGGACGGCCAGGGAGAAGGTGTATTTGAGGGCGGATCATCCGGGGAGTCGGTATAAATATGATATCAGTTTATCAGGAGGAGTGATAGTAGTAGTAACTAGTTGGTTGAAGCTAGGGTGTATAACACTACTGTATATAGATAGTATAGGTCTACAAATTGGCACAATTAAGCTACCGCCACCCGGAGCCACACTCGCCACAAGTCACGGCTGAGGAAGCCCCGCCATGGCATTCTCCAGTCAGTCAGGACGGAGGACGGAGTAGAGACGCCTCGCATCCTCGCAGCCGGACCAGCCAGCCAGCCAGGAGGGCGAGTTCCTGCCCCTTCCGGCAGCGTGCCTGAGCCCGGCGGGCGGACGCGGTCTAGACCGGTCTAGCCCGCCGCAGGCAGTCTCGTGACAGCAGGGACTGCAGGACGGTCTGATTGGTGGGTGAGGGAGAAACGCCATATTAGGGTGGGTTGGGTCTGGTTGTCGGGGGGTTAGTTTCAATGAGGGAGTTTGGGAGGGGGAAGTGTGGAAGTGTGTGTGTGTTTGTGTTTGTGTTTCTGTATGGATGGGGATATCACGGAGGGGATGGATGATGCTGATCCGCGGTCGGATGAGATGCCAAGGCGCCAAGGGGGCTCCGGTACGGAGCAGGGTGGTAAAACACTCTTTCCTTTCTTACAGCTGGGTGTCACTTTGAATATCTGGATGGAGTTGGTCTAGAAGACCGGTCTTTCATCATTATGACCAAGTAGTACGCTCATACTGGAAAGCAGAGATGTTCCGATGGATGGATGGGATGGACAATGGCGGTGAGCGCTGCTCTATATATTGTCTCCTCGAGAGTCAGAAGAAAGTAAATATGAATCATCTTCAAACGGGACTGTAACAGAATAAAAACAGCCATGATATGGTGTGCTATACACCCAAATGGTGTATACCCAACCCAGACCCAAAATCAATATCCTTATCCTTATCCTCAGGAGTCAGTAGTACAGTAATATCACATCAATTCCTCACGTCTCCATATGTAATATATAGTAGTTATGTACTCTACTCCGTACGGAGTACCCCGTACGGAGTATACAGATGGAGTATCACATCAGTCGATCCAACCCGGAGCACGCCTCCCCATCGAGCGGATTTACGCGAAAAAAAGGATCAGCCAGCCTAGCGCGCCTAGCTACCCAGCTAGTCTAAGCACCCGCGTAGACACCACAACACCGGCATAAGACAATATCAATATCAGCACCTGTTATCGGCACTGCTCGCTTCGCTCACATGTGAAAGTGAAAGGGAAAGGGAAAGCGAAAGCGAAAGCGCGCGACCACCCAACCTACCAACCAACCTCCCTAGTCAGTTCCCCTGCGCCCCCATTGGAGCGGCCAAAAAAGGGGCATGTCAGATTCAGATTAGCCGGACATCCGACCACATGCCTGCCTGCAGCATTAACAGTACCCTTAGCAGAGGCTGTTAAGCAGGGGAGGCTGATGACCGACGACCGACGACCGACCGAACGAGCGGACTCGGAGCCGGAGCCGGATCCGGAACCGGAGGGGGGGTGAAGGGAGGGCTATGGGAATGGGATACGATGGATGGATGGTATGTATCTATCTACTCCATAATTACGGAGAAGTATGTAAGAGATAGCTGCACAGCACCGCACGCACAGCACAGCACAACACAGCACAGCACTATAGACGCGCAGCGCCTCCACTAGCTAGCCCCCAGATCAGACTGTCAGCAGTCAGTCAGTGTGAGGGTGAGTGTCAGTCGGTGTCCCACCGGGATATCTAAATTATCTGACCAGTAAGTACGCCGTACGGAGTACTCCATATCTCAATCGATAGATAGACAGATAGATAGTAGTAGCAGTGAGGGTCAACAAGCTTTAGGCTTAGTAGGATTCATCCGCGGTGGCGAGCGCAACGACCCAAAGAGGAAAGGAGGGACGCTGACATGCATGCCGGGAGGAGAACCGGTCGAGTTTAGTAGTAATACTAGTAGTATCGTATCTCCCTAGAGGGGGTCGCATCCCTGGCGTTCTCGTTGGCGGGATTTGGCTTTTCTGACAGACGCCTTGCATACGACGCACTCCGTCTGCCACTCACTGGCAGGCATTGCGCTGCGCTGCACTGCACTGCTCAGAGAACCACTTGCCTAGCTGGGTAGGTGGTGCTTGCTTCCGCTGAAGGGAGTGGAGTAGTAGTGGCCTGAGGGAACTGGACGAGGCAGGCTAGCTACTAACTAGTGCTAGAGCTGTTGCTGTTGCTGTTGCTGTTGCTGTTGCTGTTAGTGTTAGTGTGGTGGTATTGAGTCATTCTCTTCTGCACCCAGATTTGAGACCCTGACGATTCCGCTATTCCGTATCTACTGTGGTATGAGAGTGGTTCTACCGGTAGTATCTAACTGACTATGTATAGGCGTACGAACCGCAGACCGCAAGTTGTGGATAGATTAACGATGGCCAAAGTACGGAGTCCGAAGACCATATACTCTGTTGTCTCAAATCTCGATAGTCACGGTCATAGTACTAGTTGTAGAGAATCAAGTGGATAGATAGGTCAGCCGTGGACGTCAGAACGCCCGCTTAAGGTTCACACCGTGAAACCCACCAAACCTTCCGCCCGTCGAACTTCTTCCAGTTCCGCCCGCCACGTCCAAGCCTTTGCCGCGCGGTGCAGCAGATCGGCCAGGGCAGGGGAAGACGGACGGAGAAGGGGAAGATGAGGAGAGGCGAGAGGCGAGCTGGTCTGGTTGGGCGGGAAAAAAAAATAATAAAAAAAAAAAGCTTCCTTTCTTCCCCTTTCCGCCAACCGCCGACGTACCGGTCGGCATGATTCTTTCTTTTTTTCTTTCTTACTTACAGAGTTTGGGCGGCGAGTCGTACGATCTCGATCCCATCCCATCTCATCTCATCCAGAAGAAACGATTTGAAATGAAGACATTAGGTGGTGAGACGCAGTCAGACAGACGGTTCTGATTGCTGCATGTGGCCAACGTCCGAGAACCGAACCAGAGACCCTGCCTTATCCATGCTCCTGAAAGGCTCGACAGACGACGAAAGCGAGCTAGCGGATAGGCCAGCGTCGTTATCCGCCCCAGCCCTGAAGCAGTTAAGGCCCTAAGGGGCAGTTAGTGGCGGACTAGTCTTCTCCAGTCTCCACGCCAGCAGAATCCCGGTCGCATGTATCTAAGGAGTATCTATCTATCTAATTACGGGTCAGAAAGACGTGCTCGATCGTCCCTGCACAGATCACATTGGATACGCGGGTTGGGGAATCGACCGGGGATGGGGACAGGGACAGGGACAGGGACATGATGGGCACGGGCACGGGCAGGGCGTCGCTTGTCGCGCGAAACTCTGGTTGTGGTTGTTTGCTTAATTGGGTCGGACTGGGATGTTGACGATGAACATCATCATCCGTATGAGTATCAGTATCATCATCATCATCAACATCAGATACAAACACGGTGGTGCGGTGTGACGGACAGGGCGCGGATAGAGCTGATTACTGCATCTGTCACCGTGGCCGCCACCGCGCTCGATCTCCCGAGGGCTCCCCCGCCAATACCGACAGGCTGGTGCTGGCCGCGCCTCCCGTCGGGAGAGGCCTGATGTGGTGGACTGGTGGACCGTTAGGTTCCAGCCATGGCAGCGAGGCTCGTGATTCTTTGTTTCACGCTCGGTACGGAGAGTGGTGCGTGGTAGATTGACTCCCTCCGGTGAAGGGCCAAGGCACTGCGAGCTGGTACTGGTACTTACCCAACGCGGCAGTAGTCCTTGGGAGTGGTCTGTTAACTGTTGCCCAGCTGGGAAAGGCCCAACAACACAAGCCCTGGGCGGTGACGGACTCGACTGCCCCCCCCCCCCACCCCGCCCCCGGGGCCGGGCCTTGCCAGGCGATAGGCGGGTGCTGCAGCCAATCATGGCAGCCGCGGGCACGGTTTGCCTCTGCAGCGGGCTGATTGCCAACCCGACGGGGGACGCGTCTGGTCAGCGATGGCCCCCGGATTAAGGTTAGGCTGGCTGGATGAAACAAGGGGGAAGGGGGGAAAGGACAAAGAACGCGAGCAACATGTTAATATAAGAATAATAATAGCGCAGATGGGTGTGCGTACGGAAAGTGTACGGAGTCCCTCTCCGGTGTGTGCTCAGGTCACTTGACCTGTACCTGTCGCTGTACCTGTACCTGTACGGACAGAAGCGATGCGGCGCGTGTCAGATGCATGGGCGAATGAATGGCCGGCAGTGGTGAAGTGACCCCGATGCAGGCAGACCAGCCAGGCAAGTTGGGTGGAGGCGCTAGCCCGATCGGGGGTAGCGGGCTGGACCCGACGCCCGAGCCAGCCAGTGCCGACCGCAGCCAAGGCGCTAGCGCGCCGTATCGACGCGGTACGGCGTACGACCAGAGTTGGTACAAACACCCGCCAATGAGCGGGCGGCGAGCAACAAGCGGTGCCGGCCTGTCGCTTGGATCTACCCGGCGGGGAATGGACAGCGGCCGGGTGCAGCAGCAGCAGCTCGTATTGGCGGCCAGGAAGTTGGGGGCTCGGAGGAATGGACGGCTGTGATTGGAATCTTTTCCCCAGGCGAACCAGGGTTCCAGGAACAACAGCTGACCTGGGGGAGTCAGGCTGCGTGGATGGCGGCGATGGCTGCGATGGCTGCGATGGCTTCGGCCTGGCGCTGGAATGGGACTGGCGGACCAGGGGCCGTTTGCCTCGGACGCGGAATGGTTCTTTCACGCCGTGCATGGGACATGGGTGCAGGGCGCATTGGTGCGATGCATTGGGGGAGGGCCGGGACGAGAGGCGTCCGTGCGAGAGCACCCCGGCCAGAGCAGTCCATGGCGAGGGATACGAGGAACCAGAATGGTCAACCCTGGATGGTGAGGGTGGATTGGGGGGAGGTGATTGTTCAGAGTCGGACATTGCGACAGACAATTGGAATGGGGATGGAGTCTGCAGCCCTGCAGTAGAGCAGATTGCAAAGCAGGACTGCAGTCTTCACTCTTCAGAGAGCTTTTCCACCGCGGATGCTTAATCGTCCTAGTCGCCGGTGGTGACCAACGTACCACTCCTCCCTCCCTGATGGACCCGTCCGGACCAGCCCAGTAGAATGTTCCATCGGTGGATCCCCTCTCCAGCCCATTAATTCTCCGTCGGGGCCAGCTAATTATTGACGATATTGACGATAATACCTCTAATAATTATTCGCGGTTGCTTATCACCCGGTGTGTGATCAATTGATCAGCCCCAGGCCTGTCTGTTCCCCCCCTCCTCCCCGGCATCTGTCATGCATTCCTCGACGCAAGGGAGCCCCGATCGCTGGCTGCCCCTTTTCTGCCGGGCCTGAGACGCTGAGACCTGGCCCGACGTGATTGGGGAGGGTTGCGGGGGGTCTGTTCGCCATCATTCTTCGGTGATCCTCTGTGATCCTCTGTGATCGCGCCGTCCCTGTGGTCGCTCCCCCCCCCTCTCTCCCTGCCCTGGTCATCCGGGGAGGGTTTCCCTGGATCAGTTGTTCATCGCTTAATTCTCCCGGCCATCCATCCATCCATCCACCATTCATCCACCCGCCACCACCATCTCCTCCTCCATCTCCACCACCTGGATCCCTCCCCGACACACTCGATCGACCGCTGCTGGCTAAGCTTAATCGCAACTCCACCAAACAGGGCTGGCGAGAAGTGATTCCCCTGCTGGGTCGGGGTGACCGATCGACCACGACGGACCTGGCGCTCCACATGCCTATCTGCCTGTAGAACCTAAAATTACCGCGTTGCAATTCCGAATCCGAACTGTCTGTCTGTACCTGTGGGTGTATGTAGGTCGTAGACATTGGTCCTTAGTCTTTCAGGCAATCAGGCCCGCAGTGCACAGCAATCAGCCCGCCAGCCGGCAAATCAGCAGACGCAGGCGCGGGCGCAGACTCTGAGTCGTGATGGGTCCATGATACTGAGACTGAGACCGAGACTGAGACTGAGACTGAGACTGATAGCAGTATGATACAGTTGATACTGTACGGAATAAGATACTGATAGTTGGACACGGCGGGTCCGGACCGACTAGGCCGAAACGATCATGGGGGGAGCACAGCGGCTAACCGGTTTTCTCGCACCATTGATTCTGGACCTATTTTGGTCGCGACCACCTGCAGCTTCGAGGGTCTGGCCGATTCCACGGCCGGCTCCCCTCCTGGGACGGGGAGGAAAGACTGGAATGGGCGGGTTTCGGGGGTATCGCACGGCGAGGCAACGGGGAGCGGTGTTTGAGATTGAGCGCGACGATGACGATGACAATGTTGAGGTCCGATGCTGGACGACGAGGAAGATGATGCGCTGATGATAGTCAGGGCAGAGGCGCCGACTAACCGAGTCGCCGTCGACCGTGGGAACAGCCGAAGGGGTGGAACAGCTTGGGCGTCGCGACGAGCCCTGTCAACCACGTTGCCGTTGATCAGTCGTCGAGGGACTACGACCCTTAGTGCTAGGCTGGGCTCGACGGAGGAGTAGGGGGGGTCCTGGAATCCTACAGACTGCGAGATACTAAGAAAGATAGATACCTGCTAACTCTAAGGTTCAGTCAGTCAGGGAGAAAGTTTGTTGTCAATGGTTCCTTTCAATCTTACCGCCGGCCCGTCCTTTTTTTCTTTTTTTCTTTTTCTTTTTTCTTTTCCCTGTCTGTCCTATTTTTCCTTTTCGCTTTTTTTTTTTTTTTTTTTTTTGCTTTCGCCTTTTTACTCTATTTTTTTTCGGGGGTTGTTTTTCCTTTTTTTCCCTTTCCCTTTCCCTTCTCTTCTCTTTTTTCTTTTCTTTTTTTTTTTTTTTCTTTTTCGCTTTTTTTTAAACATTTCTGCTTGTAGTTTTTTTCCTGTTTCTCTTTTATTGTATCGCGTGTATCTCCCTCGGAGTCCCCTTCCCCCATTTCCTAATCGGGGGGGGGGGATGCTTTTGGCCAGGCAGGCATTCTTCTGAAAATCGGGCAGGGCGCTGAGGCCCCCCGATTGGGAAGGGCACTCGATCGGGCCAGCCATGGGCTCCATGGGCAGCGTGAGTGGGTAAGTTCTCCCTGGTAATTTTTCCCTCGCTCTGGCGACCCCCGCGCTGGCCAGACCGGGCGGCGCCGCTTGGTTGGCCGGGTCGGATTGGTCTGGATACGTCTCCATTCCCTCTTCCCCCATCCATCAATCAATCCATCCATCCATCCATCCATCCAGCACGCAGCTTCGGCTGCTCTACTGCTGCGGCGGCCGCTTCTTTCTTCTTTCTTCTTTTAGTATTATTATTATTATTATTATTATTATTCAGACAACCACGACAACAATACGACAATAAAAGAACCTCCTCCCGGTCCTTCCCCCCTCCTCGATTTTTCCTCCACCTACTCTTCACCCGGACACACCACACCAACTGCCTGTCAGCTTGCCTGTCACCCTTGCCTGCCAACTCCGCTGCCACCCACTCGCCCGCCATCCACGGTACTCGCTTCGCTCCGTCTATACCACAACACCATCACCATCACCACCACCACCACCAGCCACTTTCTCTCCCCCCCCCCTCCCCCCTTCTTAATTATTCCCCTCTCGACTCGCGTGAACCCGCGTAAGTCGCCTCGACAGGCCATGTTGCTGTCCTGATCGGCTTCTGCCCGCGAACGCACCGAGTCGCCCGCCCGCGATCGCCCTACTCTTCCCTCCGCGACCCTAGGATATGACTCCCCACTGAGGTGCAGGAGGTCCATCGAACCGGATTTGAACCCCTGGTGAACCCAACCAACTCGCTGCGTCTGCTCTCGGTCGATCTCCCAGCAGCCCACCCAGCGCGCGCCCCAAGATCGCTGATCGCGATCCGATCGCCCCCCCTGGATCCCCCCGACATCGCGGGAGGCCTGTCTGGCAGCAGTCGATACTGGGCCACCGAACCCATCGCCTTCTCCCAAGGACATCTGTCCGCCCTCGCGACACCCTCGTCGGTGGAAGTCACCGACCTGTTCCCGCCCGCCGCCTTCACCCGCGACACCACCGCCAACCTGGCTGCCCTCGCGATTCCCCCGCCCGGCATGGGGTCGGGGCTCGATGCCCTGGCGCCCCAACCGTTGAACTCGCGGCGTCCTGCAGCGCCGGTGCTGCCCAGCTTCGAGCTGCCCGCCCCTAATTTCCACGCCGGCAGCGGCGCGGTCAAGTACGCCCAGCACCTGCAGCATAGCCAGCACAGCCAGCACGCCCATCCCCCGCCCATCGGCCCCAGCGTCAGCAATCTGCTCACCCCCCCGGCCACCTCCCAGTCCGCCGACAACGTCCCCGTCTCCTCCGCGCACACCTCCCACACCACCCCGTGTCCGCCACGACCGCCGCCACCACCACCACCACCACCACGGCCGCAAACCCCACCCCCGATCTGGCCCCATACTGGTCCGGCCAGAACTCCTACCCGAGTGCCTCGGGGACGGCAGCCGCGGCGGCGGCGCGGCAGTCGTGGTCTTATCCCAGTCGCGACGCCTTCTCCCCGCCCCAGAATCCCCTCAACCGCAATCCCGCGACCTCGAGCGCGGAACATATCCCCCAGCCGTACGAGGTGAACCACCTGCCCCCCTTCCACCAGTCGATCCCCGTCTCGGCGCAACCGGCGTCGCAGCAGCATCACGCCATGGCGCATGCCATGATGTCCGCCCACAACCCCCTGCCGAACCCGGCGCCCTCTCCACACTCCCTCCCCTCGAACGACCCCTACATGGTCAAGTCTTCGTCCGCGCCCGCATACAGCACGGTGTCGCAGCTGTCCAGCCCACCGGGCGGGTACTCGCCGTACGGACAGACGGGCCTGGGGATACAGCCCCGGGTGGCCTCGAACCCGGTCCCCCCGCACCATCTGAACTACAACAGTCGACAGGCGTGGCCGTCGTACTCCCTGCCGGCGATGAACGGGCCGGTGTGGACGAACGTGCACAACCCGGGCGGGCACATGGCGCTGACGGGGGGGATGCACTCGGGGGTGCTGCCGGGGCTGCCCGGGTACAACAGCGGGCACGTGGCCAATATGCAGCACATGCAGCAGCTGTACGGAGGGCACCCGCCGCATGGCCACGCCCCGGGCCCGGCCAACGACCGGCCGTTCAAATGCGACCAGTGCCCGCAGAGCTTCAACCGCAACCACGACCTGAAACGACACAAGCGCATCCACCTGTCGGTGAAGCCGTTCCCGTGCTCCCACTGTGACAAGAGCTTTTCGCGCAAGGACGCGCTGAAGGTAGCCTTCCCCGATGTCTTCTCTCCGATTTCCCTACTGACTCATTTGGCAGCGACATATTCTCGTCAAAGGGTGCGGCAAGGACGGGGACGGCAAGCCGAGCGACGGCGGGCTGAAGGAGGAGGAGGACCGCGAATCCAGCGGCCACAGCTGAAGAGAGCGTGACGCATGTTTCGGAGTTGAACGACGGTCGCTACTGTATTTGATTGGAGCGCTCGCTTGACGAGTTTGTACTTGACTGTGACTTATACGGCCCCACGAGCCGGACGGGACGGGGGATTGTTTGCTTACGGATGGCATCAGCGTGGGCAGCCTGTTTCATGTATACGTATGTAAGTAGAGGCGTTGGCCAGCGTATTGATTTGTGTATGTTCTGTTGTTGTTGTTGTTGGTGGTGTTGGTGGTGTTGTGATTATAATTATTCGGTATCTGTTTCACTCGGAGAAAGTCTGTACGCGCGGGTTGCACCTGTACGCGGTGCTGGAGAGACCGGGGCAGTGCGATGGGCGGTGTCACAGTGAGACACCAGATGCCACCACACGGGACGCAGGCCGTGAATTGTTTCTCCGATGCGGGCATATAATGCCTATGCCCCTATCCTGCTATTCTGCTCTGCCATCTGCCATGTCTGATGATGGCAAATTATCTATGATCAATCACCCTCTTGCAGCCAGTCCAGTCAGTTGAAGCAATATCACAAATTGTTCACCATGCATCATCATCATTATCCACTATTTCTCTCCCTCTCCCTCCTCCCCGTCTTCCTCCTAACCACCACATCCCAAAGAACCGCCGAATACATCAAAGCCATCGACCCTCTCCCCGTCCCCTACCCCGTCCTCGTAGACTTCACCGCCCCCTCTCTCTCGCTGTCCGACCTAACAGCCCCTAAACTCGACGAGGTCAACCGCACCGTCTTCGAATGGTGGTACTTCGACGCCATCTCGTCCTCCAACCCTAACGTCTCCCTCGTGCTCACCTTTTTCACCGCGACGGCCACCGCCTTCCCCCTCGTCCCGGCCAATTCCTCGTCCGTCTTGCTGTCCTACGTCTGGGCCAGCCTGCCGGATGGCTCCGTGGTCGTCGATCATGCCGTCCCGGGCGATGCGACGGTCCTGGGCGATCGGGATCTGAGCTCGGGGGTGTGGGAGGGGACTGGCGGGTGGCAGGGGAGTGGTACGGCGTTTGAGGCGTGGGTGGGATGGGATGGGGGAGGGTGGAGGGGCGGGTGGTGCTGGAGGGGGTATGTATATCTTCTTTTCTTTTCGTGCGTTGTATGTTGTGTGGGTGGGTTGGGGGGTGCAGGTGGTAGACTGTGGTTTTAGTGATGGATGGATACTAAATCTGATGTGATGTGGATGGGTGGATGTACAGATGACGCCCCCCTTCTCAGCCTGCTCGAAGCCCCGATCCTTCGATCTCTCGCTCCTTCTGGGTCCATATCTCGGCTGGGTGGATATTGTGCCTGCGTCGAAGGCGACCGTGGATATGATCGTTGATGGCGAGGCGATGCGGTTTACGGGCTTTGGGTATCATGATAAGGTATAGCTATTACTTACTTACACCTCACCTCCCTTCGCGCACTGGATTCATCACCTTTCTCTTGCTTTCTTCCTCCTTCCCCGATTTCCTGTCTTCATCTCTTTCCTCTCTTGACTCTTGTCGATATATGATTCAGATGTGAACCGAATTATTTTTGTTGCTATATGCTCTGTGCTATGACATGCTAATCCGAACCAGAACTGGGGCTCCCGCCCCTTCCAAACCCTAATGACCAGCTGGTCCTGGGGCCACGCGCACATCGGCCCCTTCTCGCTCGTCTGGTTCCAATACACCCCCGCCACTGGGCTCGGCCACGCGAACTCGACCGCCCCGGTGGTCAGCGCGTACGTGGAGCGCAACGGGACGGTGCTGGTGTCCGGGTGCGAGGCGGGGATCGTGAGCGTCAAGGAGAAGCGCACGCAGGCAGGCGGGTACGGGGTGGAGGTGGGGATGGAGAGGGTCAAGGTGCAGGTGCAGGGGACGGCGCAGGTGGCCGGGGATGGGGCGCATTACGTGCGATGGAATGGGAGGGTGGTGGGGAGGTGCTGGGGGAGAAGGTCGAGGGGGGGTTGCGGTGTTTGAGAGGTTTGGGTTTTAGAGATCTGTCTTGGGGTTGGGAGATAGGTTTGTGGAGGGGTTTGCTCTGGGGGTCCGGTTGTAGTCGAGTGGACTACATAGGTACTATAGGTACACTTTTAGGGGTTGTCATATTGCTGTAGATCAAACAAACAATCATTCCCTCCCCAACCACTCCTCCACCAACCCGCGATAATCCTCCATCCCATACGACTTCATCCAGCACCACCCGGTCTTCCTCTTGACATCCAGCCCCAGATCCCGCAGCAGCAGATCGACATACGGCAGCGCATCGAACACGAAATCGGGATTGCGCTTCCCGAACCCGCCGGGACAGCGGTGGACGCCAAACTGGGTATGCAGCGCCATCTCCCACAGCGCATCGACATGGCCATCGCCATCGCCATTACTCTTCCCGCGGACCTCCTCCACCAAATCCAGGGGACACCTCTCCACCACCCTCCTCACCACCCCCTGATCACCCCCGAGATACGCGGCCGCCCACAACGCCTGCGTCTGCGCCACCAAGGCGGTATTAATGGTCATGGCATTCCCCAGCACCACGACCGAGCGATCGCCCACGAACCCCGCCGGAACCATGAACCGGGCCAACCGATACGGATGGCGGGCGCACGCCGCGGCATCGCTGGCCAGGGGCACATACCCGGCCAGCCGTCGCTTCTCCACCACGGCGCGCGCCTCGCGCAGCTTGGGAAACCGGCGCAGGATCTCGGCATCCGCGCGCCTCACCGTCCCCTGCGACAGGAAATCCTCCGCCCACGGAAAGCCCAAGGCCCTCTCGATCCCGGCTGGCCGGAACTGCACCCGCGGGGTGGCTGCCCACCCAGTCGCACAGACGATGCCCTCGCTCTCCACCCTCTCCCCAGACCCCAGCACCACCCCGCCCCCGCATCCAGATCCACAATATCGTCCACGATAACCCTAACCCGCCCACTCCTCACCATCCCCAACACCCCCTTTTTCTTATTATTATCATCCCCCCCCGGATAATTCAGAATACTCAACCCCGAAGCCACCCAAAACGCCCCACCCAAGGCCTCAACTTCCCCACCTCCTCGTCCTCCTCGTACCCATTCAACGCAACCACATCCCGCTCCAACACCCCCCAGAACCCATCCACAACCTTCCTCCCCAGCCACGTGCCGTGCAAGAACCTCCGGATGACCCCAAACCCATCCGCCTCGCCCCAGATACACGGACTGAACCACGTCAGCAGCCGCGTGGTGACCAGTTTCTCCAGCCAGGCCTTGAACGGCGTCACGTGTGGGGGCGCCATCCACGCCGGCCCGTGGCCCCGCCGCCGGATGATCCAGGTGACGGTGCAGGAGGCGCTGCAGGCGGCGTGCACGGCGTCCCAGGCGGATTTGGTGCCGCCGAGGATGGTCAGTTTGCGGGAGGGGGTGAGGAGGGTGTCTTGGTGGGGGGGAAGGGAGAGGGACGAGGTGTGGATGATGGGGTGGGGGAAGAGGGATTGCGAGGGAAGCGGGGGAGGTAGGGAGTCGAGGTGAGGCCGGTTGCGAGGATGAGTTTGGGGGTGTGGATTTTTGTTTCGTTTTCCGTGGTGGTGGTGGTACATTCGGTGCATTTGGTGGATGTAGTGAATGTAGTGGATGGAGCAGGCGCAGTCGTAACAACCCACCCCCCATTCCCATTCCCATCGACCGCCTCCACCCTCTCAACAACCCTCACCTCCACCCCCAACCGAATACACCCCCGAGACCAAACCGCTCCACAAACCGCGCCAGATACTCGTGGATCACCTCCCCGGGGATATGCTCCCCCGGCTTGACCCCGAAGGACGCGTCCATGGGGAAATCTGAGAATTCGTACGTGCCCAGCATGTTGTTGGATTTCAGCCCCGGGTAGAGACGCTGCGTGGCCCATACGCCGCCGACGCTGGACGCGCTGTCGAGGCAGATTATGCGGGCGGTGGGGTGGACCTGTCGGTAGGTTTTGAGCGCGGAGAGGCCGTGCCAGCCTGTTTTTTTTTTTTTTTTTTTAATATGTTAGGATGGATTTTGTGAGGGGTGTACTTCTGTGGGGGGGTGTATGGGGAGAGAAATTTGGGTCATTTGAGAGAGGAAGAGAGGGAGGGAGGGGGGGGGGAGGGAGGATACCTGCGCCGACAATAACCAGATCCACAGACTCCATAGTTCAATTAAGTCCGTGTCGTGTAAGTATATAGATACACGGTAGTTACTTTGTATAGTTATGCGATATGATGAATCAATCCGAACCGCGTCGACAAAGAACATCCCAAACCCACTGACCATGTCCGGGCGACACTGATTTATATACGGTGGGGTAGCACCCATTCCCTAGACTCGCCGCCCTCGAGTAAGACGCAGGCAGGGAGGCAACGGCACTACGTTTCTGGCAAAAGTGGGGTTCGGAATGGGGTTACTCACTGGGTATCTACTGGTTAGATAGGGGCAGCCGTTGAAAGGGCAGTGCTCCGATCGGCGGTTTTAATCTCCTGGCGTTCGGTGCTAGAACGAACTAGCCTCCTTGCAGTTGCCCTGGCTGCCTGCGCTAGGCTCGTTTAAGATGGAGATGGCCTGCAGGATCGCGTAGCGGTGCTTGTGCGACTTCGGAGTCCGCGATGGTGTGTGTGTGTGTATTGTATTATTATGGGGCTGGTGATGAGCTAACGCCCAGGGGGATGGATCATGGATCATGGATACCACTAAATCAGCTCACAGGGAGTTAGGGTTGTGCTCCACCGGGTGGGGTCGGGACGTGACGGTGACAGGTGTCAGGAACACTGTTCCGCTGTGGTCTCCCCCCAACAAGTATCTAGTTATTTGTGTTTCGACCTGACATATCCATGTCTGGCATGTGGGGCATCTGTCCCTTGTCAGTTGTCTCCTGTCAGTCTTGTCAGTCTTGTCAGTGGTCTCCTGTCTGGTCCACTGCCGATCGTCTCCAGCCGTGTGCACTGTCCCCCCACCAGCCGGCCCATCACAAAGTCAGATAAATTCGATACGTCGTCGGCTAGCAGATCGTCCTGCAGAAAACACAAAGAACAGAGCACAGAGCACAGAGCACAGTTTCCTGCGTGATGTATGTAGGTACTTATGCGGGCCGGGACTGATCGGGCCAGGGTAGTGGACATATAAGAATAGGAGTAAGTCTGATGGGCATCTCTATCTGTCTATCTATCTATTCTATAGTGGACTGTCAGGATGGTATAGTATGTTCTGAGCGATAGCGAATCGTCCCCTGTCATTATCCATCTCTGAATTCTTTCTCTCTTTCTTTCTTTCTTTCTTTCTCTCTTTCTTTCTTTCTCTCTTTCTTTCTTTCTTTCTTTCTTTCTTTCTTTTATATATATTTGGATATCCACTCGTTCCAACCCCATGGCCGGCGATGACTTCGTCGTCGAGGCCTTCACCCTCCTGGCTCTCGCCATCACCACGATCGCTTTCCGCCTCGTCGCGCGATGGGTCACCGCGGGGCCCAAGAACTTCATGCTCGATGATTATTTGATGCCGCTGGCGGGGGTATTCCTCCCCTTTTTGCCCTTCCCCTTAATCCCATTTTCTTTTGATACTCCCTTGCAGGACATTTCTTTCTTGCACTGCATTGTATTACATTCTTTCTTAAAATGCTCTTCTGCATCTAATTAACTCATTAATGGACTTTTGCAGATCGTCTACGCCCTCGAAACGGCGGCCGCGTACTGCGTCGGCGCGTGGTGGAAAGGCCTCGCCAACAACGCCATGACGGCCGCCCAGCGCGTCTCTCTGGCCCCGGACTCGGAGGAATACCGGCTGCGGGTGGGGGGGTCGAAGACGCAGGTGCTGGGGTGGTCGCTGTACACGACGCTGCTGTGGCTGTTGAAGGCGTGTATGGCGGTGTTTTATTCGAGGTTGACGTGCGTGATATCTCTCTCCGATTCTTTCCGATCCTATCCCGTTTTATAGTGTTCTATCCTATTCTATCCCGTCCCATAATTCCCTATCCTACTACATACCCAACGCTTCCCCATAAACCCCGAAGAAATACTAAGATAAACGCAGAGCCGGCCTCATAAACATGCACATCCGCATCCGCATCGCCTACCTCGCCATCGGAGCGACCTACCTCGCCACCATCCTCAGCATCCTCGTGGGCTGCCACCCGCTGCACAAGAACTGGCAGATCAGCCCTGACCCGGGCAATTACTGCCAACCGGCGGTTTCTCACATCGATGTCTATGTCACGGTGACGCTGAACGTCACGACTGATTTGTATCTGATTTCGATTCCGTTTCCTGTACGTTTTCTTCTCTCATCCTTTTTTTTTTCACTTTCTACCTTCCTGTCTTCCGAATGTCTACTCTAATGGTTACAATGATGAAGAAGAAGAAGAAAAAGAAGAAGAACAGAAATCAGAATAAATAGATACTGATAAGACCAGATCCTATTCAAAGCGCGTCTTCCGACCAGAGAGAAACTGGAGCTGATTGTGCTTTTCTCGGGCGGGATCTTTGTCATGGCGGCGGGCATTTTACGCTGCGTGTTGATTGTGACGGTGTGTCTTTTCCCCCTCGAACAAACACGAGTCAAGTGCCATGGTCGCTTTTCGCCGCTGTTGTCTCAAAGCAAAACCCCACTCCTTACCTGTCGCGTTCCCTTACATATCCCTCCCCCACCCCAACAACAACAACAACACTAACAAATCAATTCCAAAACAAAAAAAAAAAAAAGGCCGGCACAAACGGCGCCTCTCAAGCTGGCAACTGGGCCTGTCGTGAAACCTTTGTGGCGGTAATCATCGGCAACGCACCCATGATCTACCCGCTGTGTCGACGATTAGCACGCCGGGCGGGCTGGTACCTCAGCACGCGCGGCGGCAGCGGCGGAGGGAGCACCTCGCGGAGCTATCCGCTTTCTGAGGCGGAGGGGGGTCCGAGTTCGATGGGGAGTAGTGGGATGGGGAGGCGGCATGGGCAGAAGAAGAGGTTTAGACATCCGTTGTCGTTGCCGGATACGCAGTGGAATGGGACTGTTAGTACGATGGTTGGGGCTGGGGGGGATGGGAATGGGAGTGAGGAGAGGATTATTCCGTCAGCGGGGACGGGGGGGACGGTGGAGGGGGGTATGGAGGAGGATGGGTTGCATGGTGGGAATGGGGATGGAGAGGAGGATGGAGAGTTAGGGCTGTAAGCGAGACAGTCATCGGGAAGACTTCCTGAAGTATGCAACCCATCTACCAGACCCCAAACGTGTATGATATGATATACGACATTGATTCTCATCCAGTCCCTCCCTTCCCCTCAACTACATCCAAATCCAGATGGATATACCCAAAATAATCCCACCCCCCCAAGACAACTACCCAATCAGACTACCTACGCCTTGGTAATCTCAGTCACCAACACCTCATGTTTCTGCAGCGACGCCTTGACCGGATGCGGCTGCTGAAAGATGACCGTCAACTCCTCGAGGGTGCGCTTGCTTGTCTCGACAAACAGGAAGTAAATCACCACCACCTCCATGGTATCCCAGAAGATGAACAGGAAGTAGTACTTCCAGCCGGCGCCCGTGAACGCGATCCCCGTCACGAAGGTATTGTAGAATGAGGCGATGTTGACGAAGAACTATGCCGCAGATATGGTTAGCAAAGCCTTTGTTGCATCCAAGCAACAGAAAGAACTTTCTCTACGAAAAAAGAAAGAAAGAAAGAAAAAAAAGAGAACGAAAGGTAAAAACAAACATTATTCATCCCCATCCCCTTCGCTCTTGACTCATACCGCAAACACTCCACCGGATACATGGCCTGATTCGGCGTCCAGCCAGCCGAATACACGAAGCCAAAGATAAAGATCATGGCGATCTGGGCGCGGGCCATGATGCCGCTCTTGGCGATGGGGGTGCCGTCCGGTCCATCAACGACATTCGTGGCGTTCAGCGCGGTCACGATAGCGAAGAGCACGACGATGATGCTGGTGGACACGAGCAGCTGCGTGCGTCGGCCGATGCGGTCGGTGATCAGGGCCCCCGAGAGCGCGCCCAGCAGGGACACCACGTTCTGCAGCCCCTGCAGCAGCAGTTGCGTGTTGTTGCTCGTCACCCCTGCGCCGCGCAGCATCTGCGGGTAGTAGTAGCTGACGGGGCCGTTGCCGGACCATTGGCCGAATATTGCTGTTGTTTGTTATTAGTATTCTTCTTTTGTTTCTTGGTGATGTTGCTGTTGCTGTTGTTGTTGGATATTGTATGCGAATGGAAGGGAAGGGAAGGAAGGAAGGAAGGAAGGAAAGGAAGGGAGGAAAGCACCCATAATAATCACCAGCATAGACCGATACCGCACCTCGCGTGTATTAAACAGCTCGCGATAATCCCACCACCGCTTGTCGCTGCCCGTCTTGGAGATATCCTCCATCATCTCTTGGTACTCCAGCTGCACGATGGGGGCGTTGCGGTCCCCGTCGCCGTGGTACTCGGCCAGCACTTTCAGGGCTTCCTCGTGCTTGTCGCGCGAGATGAGCCATCGGGGACTCTACCTTTACCATCAGTATATCTCCAATCCCAATCCACAAACCAACAAAAGAGAAACAGGAAAAAAAAAAAAAGGTGTAAGGTGCAGGATAAGGGGGGGGGGGGGGAAGGGGGAGAGGGCCTTACCTCGGGAATAAACGGACAAAAAACCAGCACCAGCCCCGAAAAGACCATCTGCACCCAGATGGGAATCCGCCAGCTCATGGTGCCCTGCAACTGACTGGTCCTCCACGGGATGAACGTTCCGGGAATGCCTCCCCCGAACCACAGCACATTGTACAGCCCGGTCATGGCGCCGCGATACGACGGATGGGCCATCTCGGAGACGTATGCGGGCCCTGCGGTGGCGGAGATGGCGACCCCGAAGCCCAGGATGAAACGCCCGGCCATGAAGCCGCCCAGGTTGTGGCAGGTGGCTTGCACGACGGTGCCGATGATGATGAAGATGGCACCGAGGGCCATGCCGATTTTGCGGCCTATCAGAGGGGGGGGGTTAGTGGATGTATAGTAATACTTACAGGGAGAGAGTGAAAGGAGGGGGAGAAGCGAGGAGAGGGAAAGAACAGAGGGATGGCACCTCTAAAATCCGTAAACGGCCCCGCGAAAAACGAGCCCACAATATTCCCAATCGTATAGATAGCATACACGATGCCGGTGGACGGCGTGCCGCTATTCGGGTCGAAGCCGAAGTAATCGCGGTATTGGGGGTAGCTGTTGATGGAGCCCATCAGGGAGCCGTCGTAGCCGTTGATGCACGAGTTGAGGATGGCCACCGCGATGCAGCCGTACAGCTTGGATCACAAATCACCGATTAATGAATTGGATTAAGGAGAGAAGAGGACGGAGGAAGGGAGAAGGGAAGGAGAAAGACAGCAGGAGAGCATACCTTGAACATGCTCTTGCTCCACAGACTCGGCTTCTGCTGGATGGTCGCCACCGCCAGAGCGGCGTTGTTGACGTCCCGGACTTGCACTTGCTCTTGCTCTTGGGCATCGGGGGCGTCGATGTGCGAGACGCTGGGCGCGGGTTTTTCCGCCATGGTCTGTGTCGTTGTCTGGGTCTGGGTTGGGGTTGAGACTGGCTGGACTGTCTCGGGGATGGAATAGATGCGAGGGATGGGCGAGGAAGGGTAGATATACTTACCTCCCTCCCTCCCTCCCTCCCTCCCTCCCTCAGGTCGGGGAACGTCTGCGCTGCCCGATGCAATGCAACGTTAGTATATGGAGGGGCTGTGATAGGATCGGTCGGGCGTCTGGGGAGGGATGGATGCAGCAAGGGAGTTGCCCCGCGTCCAAACGGGCTTAGGGAATCCGGGGTAGCTGGGAGCTGAGGGGGATACGAGATGGGATTGGAGGTTGGATGTTGGATGTTGGATGTTGACAGCTGATGGGAAGTCAAAGTCCAAGCCCAGATAAACTCACGATGGCCTCACATTCACATCCACAATTCACATTCACTAGACTATCACATACGGAAGACGGCCCGAACTGCCGCATCGCCTGGGGAAATGCAGGGCTCCCGTCTGGGTCTGGGGTCGGACTAAAGCAACCCTAAGCGAGCTGTTAGTCTGTTAGTCTGTTAGGCACCCGGCCCTGCATTCCGTCCGATGACAACTGCCTAGGCAGATCGGATGATGCTTACCCTTACTCTTACTCGTACGGTTACCATCTGTCCTGTGATTCCGGGCCCTCGGGCCATCGCGAGTGAGGTCTTTGGGTTGCTGCCATACGTCGAGGCCATATCCCCACCACCGCCACATGGCGACACTAGCCGTCTAGTATCGACTAGTACTGGCCGGCCAGGCTCACTCTCACTGGGTTCATCCGCACAGACCTGGTGAATGGAATGTATCCATACGAGCAGTCTAGTCTAGTGTCTGTCTAGTGTCTATCTAGGGTCTAGACTCCTGCAGGGTCATCGGGGTCCACGTGTCGAAGTCAACTCGACCCGACATCCGACTTTTCACTTCTGATCATGTAGCTCGCTCATATTGTACAACTCTACCTATACCGACATACATACATACATACACAATATAACAATATACATACACAATATAACAATATACATACACAATATAACAATATACATACACAATATAACAACCCCACACCCAAACATACAGACAAAAACAAAAACAAAAAAAATCCTACCCCACCAACTCCCCCCTCTCCTGGGGACTAAGATACAAACTCAACGAATAATACCTCCCCTGAATAATCTCCGTCTCCCCGATCGGATTCCCCGCCAACACCAGCCTGGACCCCCCCGCAAACGGCAGCGCCACCCACAACGGCCGCCCCAGGGCGTCCGCCCCCGTCCACGCCTCGGACGTACACGACATGCTGCTCCCGTACAGCAGCGGGTTGAACCCATTGCACACCGCCTCGGGGATATGCAGCACGTCGTGCAGCTCCAGCGTCTCTGTGTCAAACGGGTTCCCCAGCCCCCGCACCACCGGCACCCGCACCGTCCCGACCCCCGCGACCTCCAGCTCCTCGTGCGGGTTGAAGATGTTGTGTGTCAGCCGCCGCGTGATCGGGCGGTACGTGGTGAAGACGGCGCGGTCGCGCGCGTAGTGGCAGTTGCCTTGCACCACCATCCAGTCGTAGCAGATGCGGGCGGCGGGGGGGAGGTGCGTGGCTTTGCTGCGCTTGGTGTGCGGGGGGAGGTCGGGAGGTCGGGGAGAGGGCGCGGGTTGTCATCGTGGTGGTTGTGTTGCTGTTGGCGGGCGTGTGTGGGTGGGTGGGATGGATCTGGGCTGTAGTGAGTCTGTGGCGGTTAGTGGTGGTTTGTGAGGTGGATGGGGCGCGAACCTGTCAATTGAGTGGGCGTTGGGGGGTGGATGGATGGGCAGGAGGTGCAGAATGAGGAAGAAGGGGACGGGGATGGATGGAACTGGAAGACGCTGAGCTGGGCTGAACCAGACTTGACGCCCCGAATCCGGCAATCTGCATTGCCGACGCGCCATTGGCTGGTTGGAGGGAGACCTGGCCGGATCGGGTATGGCGCGCTCTGAGCTCCCCGGCTCTTTAGTCAGTGCGCACGTGACTTCATCGCTTCCACACGACTTGCCTAAAGGGGAAATCATGATGTTATTCAGAGTCCCAGGCATTCAGAGCAAAATGTCTCACTGTCAGAAAGATGACGACTCAAGTAAGACATGGCCCCTGTCCCGATATCTCACTGTACCCGTTTCCGAGTTATTTTGATGACACGAGCGTACAGCAAGGAAACGAGGCCGTGGGACCTTTAGACTGGTGGTAAGATGATCGACGTGCCTAGCTAGCAAGGAGGGGGAGCAGGAGACAGGTGCCTGCGGAGCCAGTCACCGCAGGCGGTAACACCTCAGGCAGCACCCCCGGTGGCACCTTCTGGCCAACTCTTCAAAGCCTCTACAATCAAATCCTTCCCCTTTTTTGTCGACATAGGTAATAATGCTTCAAGGTCGCTCCTTCTTGCTTGGCTGTGCATCGGACCCATCTTGAGAAGCTCCTTGACCACATCCTCATGACCAAATTGTATTGCCTGAGTCAGTGGTGTTCTGTTATGCTCATCTCTTATAAATATATTCACCTTGCCCGTATCGAAAAGACTACGGACTACTGTGGCATGTCCACGGCTTGCAGCGTGGATTATTGGTGTGCGTCCAAATATGTCCACAGAGTCTGGCTCAACCTGTCCTGTCTTCAACAAGAGATCAACGATATCTAGATGTCCATCTTGTGCTGCCTGAGATAGTGGTGTTATTCCATTATTATCTCTTGAGTCTGGCTCAACCTTCCCCGTCTTCAACAAGAGATCGACGATATCTAGATGTCCATCTTGTGCTGCCTGAGATAGTGGTGTTATTCCATTATTATCTCTTGAGTCTGGCTCAACCTTCCCCGTCTTCAACAAGAGATCGACGATATCTAGATGTCCATCTTGTGCTGCGTGAGATAGTGGTATTATTCCATTATTATCTCTTGAGTCAGGGTCAACCTTCCCCGTATTCAACAAGAGATTGACGATGCCTAGATCTCCATCTTTTGCTGCGTGAGACAGTGGCGTCTTCCCATAATTATCCCTTGGATCAGGGTCAACCCTTCCTGTTGCTAGGAGCCGGGTACATGCATGTATCTGGCCTTTGGATGCAGCATATGAGAAGGGCGTTATCCCCTCTTTATTTTTGATATCAGGGTCTAGTGAGTTGCTGGCAAGAAGCACATCCATGAGAACGTGGTGTTGGGGGGAGGCAAGTCGAAGATGATAGGCATAGGAACCCATCAGCCGATCGAGATTATTGCACCCCACTGTGTAGTGTAAAGCAGTGTCGCCGCAATTATCCTTTGCATTGACATCCATTTTACCAGTGTCCAGAAGCAGCTGCGCAATATCAACGTGTCCCTTTCTGACAGCAGCATGCAGGGGTGTCACGCCGTGATGATTAGGAATTGTAGGATTAGATTTACCCGTTTGCAAGATTAACCTGAGAATGTCCTCGCGTCCCCACTCTGCAGCGCAGTACACTGATGTCTCTTCGAACACGCCTTCTCTATCATTCAGGTCAATCCGTCCCGTGGCTAGCATTTGGCTGACAATAGCTGTCTGGCCATACTGGATGGCCCAATGAAACAGTGAGGGCTCACGGTTTAGGTGGCTGGGGATGCTAAGATTCGGACTGTAACCTGCAATGAGAAAGGCTAAAACCTCACTTTTGCCACACTTAACGGCATCAGAGAAGAGACAGATCAACTCTGAATTAGCCACTGGATGTAAGAAGTCGGACGCATCGGTAGCCTGGACCGTGTTGGCACCCCCTCCACCGGTCACAAGGAGGACGGCAGCAAGAGAGTATTTCTTCTCCGCGAGAGCAAAAGAAAACAATGATTTTTTCTTCGGCAAATTCATATACCCTCCTAGCTTGAGCAGCAGGCTGGAGAGCTCTTTCTCATACATCGGCCGAACGAGGTCACGGATCCTCTCGATTGTCAGTAGTCTCGTATCTAGCTGTAAGAGAGCTGACACTGCAGCAGGACTTTCACTTGCTATGGCTGCAAGAATAGGATACTGATAGCGTCCCCCTAGTACGTGGACATCTGGAGCCTTCTGTCGAACATTCTTTATCAGGTTCGCAAGATTGCGTTCTGCAAGGATATACAAAAGGCTCACATCCAGTTCGTGACGCCGGACCCGAAATATTTCAAATGCGTTGCTGTATCGAACCCAGTTTGCTAGGTCAAAGTTATCGAGGAAGACGTTTTGATCAACGAAGCCTCCTTCGGCAGCGTCAGCATGATAGAGAACGTTGTGTACTGCATATTCCAGGAATGGAAATTTTTCGTTAAGGTGATTTTGCAGGAGTTGGACTTTCTCTCTAGATGCAACCAGCATTTCTTCAACTGTAGGAACGTGGCCGCAGATGTTTGATTGCAAAAAGTTGTGACAGCATTGCTTCAATCGATCATGGCTAGAAGGACCGAAGTTGGTCTGATCAGGCCAAAGCTCCTGCAGACCGTTCTCTTTCAGTAGGTAATCTCGTACAGATTCATGAATGAACTGCACCGTTTTGCCTTTAGACTTGGTTATTTCGGCAAGCCCCTTGGAGGTACTAGTTATAAACCGATCCATGTCCTGAAGAGTGATATCCTCGGGATCCCAGGCCTCGGCTAGGCTCTCAGGCTCCTCCGAGAGTAGGGCAAAGTAGAGCTCCTCTCGCTTTAGCGGTCTCTTGGCGAACAGGATCCACTGGATACAAAGCAAAAGATCGTCCATATTTGCGCCGTCTCGGGTCAATATGTCCCTGAACAGGTCACTCAGCCTGCCTGGTATCTCGCGCAGCCTTTTGCGAAGGGCGTGTAGACGACCGCGCTCAAACTCTCGGTTCAGTATTTGAACTACCAGAACGGTCCAGAGGAAGATCCCCGATGCTTTTTCGAGTATCTCAAGTCTGATCTGCTCTGACTGCTTGCTGCGCCCAATCTTCAACTCGCTATGCAGGAATCGGGCGATATCCTCCGCATGACCTTCCTGATCTTCAAGCTTCATCTCAACCCCTTTCTCCACCGTAATATGGGGGTAGTGGCGACTCGAGAAACAAATATTGAGCTGAACTCGTGAAGATGCTGCATGGTCTCCTAAGGATTCGAAGTAGTCAATCATGACGCGAATCTGCTCTTCATCGCATTCATCAAGCGCGTCGATAAAGCATACGACGCGTCGACCTCCAAGCAAAGCGATTGCTCTGCGGAAGAGATGTTGAAGTATATTGATGTTCCATGATCCATTCTCGTTCCGATCCAAGCACGCTGAGGGGTCTACCTCATCTAGTAGGACCTGTACTTCCGGAAGGCGCTCAAGCAACTGGAACAATAGAGAGCGGTACATGCCAAAGGTTGTCTTCTCCAAGTCTTCGCCTCTAGCGTTGAAGAAAAACGAGAGCGTCACATTGTTCTCCTGCCTTGGTGTGAGAGCTTGTTGAAAGGCGAACTTCATCATGGTAGACTTTCCACTTCCGGCCTTACCCTTGATCCAAAGAAGGCCATGGTGCTCCGGGAATCGGTTGTAGTCCAACCATTCCAAGTACTCTTGCTTCTGTAAGAGCCACTTGCAGGATTTTGCGTGGGCAGCCTTGATTGTCGCCTGTCTGCTTTCCAGTGCATCAAATGTCAACGCATCCATGACCCGTCTGCGGTGGCCTTGCACGTCACTGGGAACTGGGCTTGCTGTGTTTGATAAAGGCCGCGATCCAGTACCTCCCATCGCAAGCAGAAGTTCTTTTGCATATGCGGCGGCTGTTGCAGCGGCGTACCCCTGCCATTCCTTCTTCTTGTGCGAATCCGAATAGTCCGAGATGCCCCTGATGACCAGGCAAGGGAAGTTGTCCATCAGCCCAGCTGCCTCCATCTCGAAACATAGGATGTTCGACTCCGCAGCCAACCGATCTCTGGTTTCGGCATGTTTGATAACCTGGTTGCCGGAGGCTATCAGGCCGTAGTGAACCACCGGCCGATCGTCACGGCGAGGCGCGCGATCCACAAGCCTTTCTCGGTCGCATTTCTCGCAGGTTTGCTCTGATATGTCATGCTCATAGTCCGACTCGAAGAGAAGGTCTTTCTGGGCACCAGGGAATGCGTATGCCCTGGCCATCTGGGGATGTCTGGACAGCATTCCAGATACCAGAGTTGGAATTTGACTCTCCCTGAGAAGGTATTCGGCCCGTAAATTTGTGATTGCAGTCAAGAGCGATGTTGAGGGTTTGTTCAATCTGCCCGTTCGCTCGAATCGCCCCTCCTGCACGGTTTTGCCGTAGTCGTACTGGACCACTCCCTCGAAGCGTGCCGTTGGAACACTGACGACGACGTCGCCTAGTCTGATGTCTGCAGACTCGGAAGGCGCCCCTCCGCCAATGCCAACCATGAGCAGATGGTGTATTGACCCGAAGCTGAAGCGCATGCTGCTTGCGACCGTTGTGGCCGATGTGGTCCCGTAAACCCCGGCGGGAAGGCAGGCAATCACGACATTCCGATTCCCGATCGCTCCGAGGATATACGAGTTTTTGTCGTTTGGAGAGGTCTGGAGGGGAGGATGGATCTCGTCGAGCATCGCCTTCGCTGCTGCTGCTTCGAGGGCAAGAGCGCAGAGCCAGCCGACGGTGTAGTCATCGTGGGAGCGCTGGGGTTGGCTGGAATCGAGGCTGTTGTCAACTCTTCTCCGCTTGGAGAGGTTTTCGGCAGGATACTCTCTTCTGTCCATGGAAGGGTTTGAACGATGATGGAAGGATAGGTGATACTTCAACGGGGAAGATGTCTTGTTGAGAGGTGGTAAAGGGGGAAATGGGAAGGTGCGATGCTGGGCGGAACTTTCAGCCTCGCCGGACTAGACCGGGGGGGGGAAGAGGGCTGTGTTGGCATCGGAAGGAGCGGCTGAGGGGCTGCATGCTGGCCAACAGCGACTTGAGCTGTCTCTGTACTAGTGAATTCATTCTGCATTGAGTTGATCGATAGATATTCGAGGACATATCCTTGAATCAATCCCAGTTTCATTTTCTCACCCCCCCCCCCCCCCCCAGGGCGACATCAGGCGATAACATGGAGTAGTGATGCATGTTATGCATGTTATGCACCTATCCGTCAGTTCCTGCTTTTTCTGCTTTCCCTGTCTCAACTGTCATGACTGTTTACTGTGGACACAAGAGTTGTTTCAATCTTGGCTTATTTCTCAGTATATAGAAAATACCGCCAAGGAAGGATCGCCTTACCGAGGGTTTCACTACAGGGGTAGCCTATAGCTTAAAATCCCTATCGAAACCCTCACGCCCTTCCCAAGCCCGCCGAACAGCCCCCCAATACCGCTCCTCATCGCTCATAACCAACGCACAATGCCGACCATCCTCGAACCTGACTCCCCCAGCCTCATACCCCCTCTCTCTCGCCTCATCCAGATGTCTCTCCACCTCCTCCCACGGAATCATATCATCCACCAAAGAGTAGAGATACAGCCTGCGAGCCGGCTTCCCAAACACCGCCGGATCATTCAACTCCGCGCGATAAACATCGATCGACCTCATCACGCCCACACTCTGCAACGCACTAACCGCCCGCGCAGTCGGATACAGAACCGCAGACCCGAGAGCCCGACCCGGTTGTGTTGTTGGCAGCGCCACAGCGGCAGCATTCCAGAAGCGCTGGAACGATGTATCCCCCGGACAGCAGTCAAAAACTATCAATTTCAGGGCTGATTTGAAATCTACACCTCCTGCAAGGCTCGCATCTTTCATTGATCTCGCGAGATGGGTCACGGTGTTGCATCCGCCGTTGGAGAAGACGTGGAGAAGAATGCTGGCGTTGGGGTTGGATTGCAGGATTCGGGTGATTGAATCGCGTGCTGGGGTGAGGTTGGGGTCGACGGCGTTGAATGACCGGACGGTGAAGTCTCGGATCGAGCTGACGAGGAGCAGGATGGATGTGTCCGGGTAATTCTGGCGATAGCGCGTGGTGTATTTGGAGATGCGACGGGGAGTGGCGCCGCCGAACCAAGTGCAAATGATGATTAGGGCTGGGTCTGGAGATTGTGGTGTTGCTGAGGGCTCGTGGAGATAGATGTTTTGCCCGATTGAGCGGAAATTCTCGATGAATGGGGGGTCCATGGTATTTATTGTAAGGCTATCACGGTTTTCTAGGCGCCTGGATACACTTTGAGTCCGGTGTTATTAAGTTCTTTTTACTAGTCCGCTGGTGAGGGCTGGGCTTGCATGTCGGGAATATATACGAGGGTTCGAGTCTTGCGGGAGAGTCTGGACCGATAAGCACGACCCCTTCATCTCGGCTGAGATTGCCCAACTCGATTGCCAAGAGCAGGGTGCAGATGAAGATTACTTATCTTGAACTTTGCTTTTCTCTACGGGCGACCATCTGCAGACCCAGAATTGCCAAAATCCAGAGATTCGGAGAACAACACGCGAGGTCTGCGAGGCTACCACCCTTGACTGTGCCCCTGGGCATGTCCGATAAAAAGCAACCAGGTAGCTAGGAGAGGCAAGCATGGTTTAAATCCCATTTCTGTTCCCAGTTTTAACACACGAAGAGCTGGGGGTACGAGTTCGATTATACAACAAGCGGCACAAGACTGACCAGTTGCTCAGGGGATCAACCGGGACCAGTATTAAGCGCCGTGCGAACACATCCAAGTCAATCTACGCGCCGACTCTCAGCCTCACCATCTTGTGTCATCTATTTACGTCCTTGTATTCTTTAAAATTGCGATACATTTCACTCAACCCAACACATCATACCACACCCGAAGCCACTACAATCTAGCCTGGATCGCGCCCACCCCCATTGACCTAACCACCAAGCGACTCAAACAGCTCCATCCTCGGCCGCATAGCCACGCACAACCTCGTGATCCTCGCCCTCGCCTCCCCAGGCCCTCTCTGCGCCGCCACCAGCGCCACAAGCATGCGCCGCACATTCCCCAGCCTCCGCTGCGGCCTACTAGGAGGCACAGCCGGTGGCGTCCCGACCCAGACCGACGCCGGCGACATGGTCGTCAGCAAACCAGATCTCGCAAGCCCGGGGGGGATCCCCTACCCTACGACCATGGCAAAATGCAAGTGAATGGATTCATCCAAACCGGGTGTTTGTCCCCGCCTCCGGACGAGTTACTCGCCACGACGGATGTTGTGGCAATGAAGCGGGCGTGTTTGGCATACGATCCATTGAAATTGCATTTAGAGCGGATGAGGCCCCGAAGTACGGTTTCCGGGGGCGAGGATCGGATTTCCTCTTCCCTGCAGCGTGTGTGCATGTTGATTCGAGGCTGTCGTGTGTAGAAGCGGGGTGTGATCCTCGTCTACGGGTGCATCCTCCGACACAGGAGGGGGGTTGTGGCGAGGAGGATAATTGGGTCACGGTGCATCGGGGAAATGTTGCGTCGGGATTATACATTGCCCAAGACCGGGTTTGTTCGTGATGGTCTAGCGCAGAAGCATCGTGTCTTCTGTTTTGAGACGGAGGCGGCGGGGGTCTTGCAGGGACTGGGGTTGGGGTGTCTGATTGTTCGTGGTGTCGAGTCGTATTGCGACTCGCATCGGAATGAGATGTGGCAGGGCTTAATGCTGCTGGGGTGGCGGCGGCATAGGCGAGGGATGTGTGTTTGCATCTTGGTCCGGGAGTGGGTGGTTTATCTGTGAGTGGTTTTGTTCTTGTTGGGTGTTAGGGAGGGATTGGGGTGAAGCTGATATGGCAATCCTAGGTCTCAACGCGACGGCAACGGAAGGTCCCGATTAGGTCCGGTCCGAGTTGCGAGGTGTATCAGGGGACAAGGAGACTGAAGACCGGCCATTGGGGTTCTATCATTTTTCTGGGAAAGATCGACGTTCACAGTCCGGTATTGGGGAGGAATGCGGCGTGTCATCTAGCCCTAGTCTGGAGGCGGGCGAGGTCGGAACACGACTTGGCGCGACAGAAGATTCATCAATTGGGCCAGGAGCAGGAGGAGTGGCAGGATATTCCTGAGGGCTGGACCATTGGACTGACGGCCTTTGATCGGTTCAGCCGTGGTAACATGGAGCGGAAGTATAGCTGTATGAACACGAGTCATGTCCTTGAATAAGGATATTCTGCAACTTTGCATTGAACGTTGCCGAGAAAGGCTCCCACAAAAACAAATCTGACTTGGACGAGCCCAAGTCCAGTCTCGACGACAGGATCTCTGACGCAAAGCATTTTGAACTTGCGGACCATGTCCCCGACATTGAAAGCCTGGCAGCCAGCGTTAGCGACCTCCCCGTCACCTGGTTCGTGTGGCTCGTAGCCCCAACCGCCTAGATCAGCGGCTGCGCTCTGATGGTCATCTCGCAGATGAGCGGGTTCAACGCGCTGATGTACTACTCCTCTACACTGTTCGTGCTGGTCGGGCTCAACAACTCCACGGCCGTGGGGTTGGTCGTCGCGGGGACGAACTTCCTCATGACCTGGGTGAATCAGATGGTTGTGGACGGGTTCGGGCGGCGACGGATCCTTCTTTCAACGGTCTGGGGGATGGCGGTGGGACTGGTCGCCGTCGCCGTGGCATTCCACTACATCCCAGTCGACCTGGAAACCATGGATCCGATCAACCCGGGGGTGTCGGGGCCGGCGATTGTTGTGCTGGTCTTTGTCATCTGGTTTGTGGTTTTTTTGGCGTCTTGGTGGGAAATCAGGCGTGGATGAGCACGGATTTCTTTACTCTGGAGGTCCGCGCCATCGGCACTATGTGGATAACTTGTTCGAATTCGGCAAGTAATATTATTGTCTCGAGCACGTTTCTGTCCATGATGAGGTTGATGACTCCCTCTGGGGCGTTTGGGTTCTACACCGCCATTTTCGGGGTGTCTTGGGGGTGGATCTATTTACCATTAGACTAAATGGGCGCCCCGGACCTGCAGATTCCCACGGGAAAACCCGATCTTCATCTCCCCCCTCTCGTCTCCCAGCCAATAACCCCTTGATGTTTTATAGCTGCCTGGACGCTTTGGAATCTGGGCTCCGGGGTGGTCTTCTGTTGCAGGGTCGTGCGGTCGGCGTTGTACTTGGAGATGGGTGTTCACGTTAGATTCATGTTATATGAACGTAAGATCCACGTTAGATGAATGTAAGTCAGATAACCGTTAGCTAGACGTCACAGGTCCGTTAGTTGTACGTCACATGTCCGTTACTTGGACATTAGATGCTCGTTACATACGACTTAGTTAATCTTATACCCTCGGAGGAGATATAATTTCGCCTCGGAGAGGTGCATTGTCCATCGGAAACCAGAATCCTTCTCTCTATCTCCCACAGGGATATATGTTTCCTGGGTCGCATGGGCAGCCGCTAATCATGCAACGCGCCCATGGTTTTCCGATGGTCGAGACCTGTTTGATCTGCATTACTATGGAGGTGCAGTCCCCTCTGGTGGCGAGTTTGTAGCTGGCTTGCGGTCAAGGCTTTCCTCAATGGTATTCATGATATGCATCCCTTTTTGGAAACCATTACTTCAGCTCACTGACTGTATTGCTATCCTGATTGGGTATTCAAGAGCTGTACTTAGTCCCAAGTCAGTGCTATTTGGACAGTACTGATAGCCAGTGACCCTCGATGGTGTGGAGGTGGTATGTGGTGTTGTCTGTATATTCACTTATGCGCGAGGATCCGATCGATAGGCTCCGTTGCATTCAATATTGGATTCCTCATTGATATAGTACATGTCTAATGCCCACTACCGTGACAAAATTGCTTACCAGGATCGGCCAAGTTCGATCTTGAAATCTGTTAATGTCAAGGTGAAGTGTTTTGAACTCAATTTATTGAAATTCAATGTATCTCAATCGTTGTTAATCAACGCTATTGACGAGTCGATATTCAACCTGTTGAATTCAAGTCCGATAAGGACGTGAAGTTGTGGAAGTCGTCAAATGGTAGATGTCGTGAAGTCGCCGATTCCGTGAATTTAATACCTGCCTCGAGGGGTATAAAGCCCCGCTCCCCATCCATCTCGGGCTCTCTTCTTTCTCTTCTGTAAATAATCATATTACTGCGTTGAATTATGCAATCTAGTCCTGGGGCTTTGAAGCGATACAATCTGGTCTTTTGACGCTAGTTCTTAACCTTCACGGTAGAATAGTAAGACTCTACCATGACCATAATTATGTACTTCTCGACCACAGAACGTGCCATGGCATTTCTTGAAAAATGTTTTAACAGTATTGACGCATCGTCGCCAATAATCAAGGGGCGTCTCATGCCAACCGTTGGAACGGTTTCTCGAAGGGTGCTTACAAGAACTCTACGGGGGAAAATGCATTAGTCGACGCAACAACTGCCGGGCTTCAAATGGCCCGCGGCGTTTCCGCGTCTCTCAATTGAAGATATAAACAAGTACCTGGCAAGCCAGAAAACCAGCTGAAAACATATCATGCCGGACACTGACAGCATGCGAAATCACCTGGCATGGTGCAGGCAAGTACCAAGTACTTACATACGAGGGATCAGAAATCCACCGGAAAACACTTCATCAAAGAACATCTTTCCTTTACCTCCGATACAAACCGGGAAAAAGACGACCAGAATACTTGTCAATACGCTTTACGTCTGAAGAGCATAACCTATTCGTCGACTAAGGCCCTCTCATTCGGACCCTGTTGGGATATAATGGCCCGCTACGCAGAAAACTACCAGATTCGGTAGCCGACTACATCTATTAGTACTCGCTGCCAGTGACATGCCCGCTGCAATACCGATTCACCCGGCCGACAATCGACCACGATAATACATGTGGCGATCAAGCGATCGAGGAAATGATCGCTCTCAATACACCAAAGGCTTGGGCTGTCGGTAGCCCGCGGATTTTCAAGACCTCAGCCGGCCTCCAATAATTTCGCGTCTACTGTTCCTTTCCGGCACTCTGCAACCTGCGCAACATGCAGACATTTAACCTATCGGTCGGAATTACTATGTCTATACACTGGACTCTCAGATAAAGTCTGCTCCACTGAAGTCGAGCAACTGACGCGTCATGGACGGTCCGTGGACAGCCGTACATCATTGTGCCAAAAGATGACCTTCCAATGACCTGTTCAAATGCATACTGTTCGACCACGCTTTTTGTCGCTGGGGGTCGAAGATTACAGTCCAAATCTTATCTCACTTCCAAGAATATTGAAGTAATCTCTCTACGCCTGGCCCTAAGGCCAGGTAAACGTCATTGGATAATGTCTTGCTTGGCATGCGACACCTCGACAAATATGGTGTATAACCAACACAGGTACAATTTATCCACAACACCAGTATAGGATATTATGTCCCGGTTCCGCGCACATAAATCGAAGGAAATTGTTTCACGGATTATTCATGGTACGCCAGGATAATTAACCCGAAACCCGCATCATGATGCCCCTGGCGATCGAATAGAGACTTGGGGATGGAGATTCAAAGATGAATTGGGACACCTAAAGGCGCAAACCTCGAAGACCTCAGTGTCTTCAAAGTAGCAGTTCTTGATTACAGGTGTAGGTAAATGTCAAGTCTGGTTAAGAACCGGATATAAATATCAGCAAAGATACAGATCGTCAGGCTGCTGTTGGAAATCCGGCGGGCGAAGAAAGAGAGCTGCAATCTTCGAAGGCTCCGAGATCCGAAATTTTGAACTAGAGAGAATTGTAAACGAGCCTTCAAAACTGGGTTGAACAACTCTTCGCCTGCCACAACTGGCCCTAACAACAATATCCACTAAGCCGTCGTGAAATTGCTCGATCTCCAGTGGCGCGACGAAAGCGACAGGATTTGAAACCGCCGAGCTTATCTTTAACTCGGAAAAGGGCAAACCCGTCTTTTAAGCCTGGTTGCATAGTTCCTCTCGCCGGTTACAACTGGCCGTTATAATAGAACCGGGGAAGCAGTGTGGTGAAGCTGATTCTCAATCTCCAGGGAGGGAAGATTGCAGCAATCTTCGCGAATGCTGTGGTTCCATGAAACTCGGAAGATTCAACCAGACTAACGAGTCTGGTTGAAAAACTTCTCACCGGTGAAAACTCGGGGTCATGAAAACAGGGAGGAAGCAGTGGTGAAGTTGCTTCTTGAAATCTAGCAACAGCGAAGAAGGTAGTGACATTTAAGAAGGCTAGGCTTGTTTTGAATCTAGAAGATTTAGAAACGAGGTTTTCCGTCCTGGTGGACGCAATTTTCGCCAGTTACAACCGGTCGTCATATCAAGATCAAGGAAACAGTGAGGAATTTGTTGCTTAATCTCCTGTTGTTTTTGAAAACATCAGCAGCCTTCAAAAATGCCCCGAGTGTATGGAATCCGGGGGGATTTTGAATGAGGCTTTCCAGTGTGCCTGAAGAGCTTTCCGCCAGCACAATTGGCAGTTCATGAAAATATTGAGAAAGCGTGGTCAGGTTCCTCCAGCAGAGGAGATGGAGGAGCTGCAGAAGAAACGGCGAAAGCTGAACGATGATCTGCAAGTAGCGAAGAAAAGGGCCCTGCCTCCAAGTTTGCGTGGCTGGAGGTAGACATAGCCTTTGAGAGCTATGAGGCTATACAGGCTCAGATCTATGATCTATCAAGTTTGGAGACCCTATATACTCTGGAGCATTATCCAAAGAACGCACAGTCACTCTGTCACCTCTGACCCGATGAAAACCCGAAACTATGTTACGTGGCTTGCTAGTTTTTCTTTCTGGGGTCGATTGAAATCGAAGCATTGCGCCATCTATACAGGGAGTGTGATCGAGCTGCTTTCTCTATATCACACAGTCATAAACGTTCTGTAGACTAGAAAACCGACAGGCACTTTTGGCCTGCTGAATCTGCCGAAACAGACCCTGGTTTACACTGACGCGGCAACCCCGATCGGGTTGATGAAGTAGTCCTGGTTCGAATACGCGATCAAACGGGTGGGAAATAGACCAACTTCTTTTCAGGAGGCGCAATTGCACACGACGCCAGAAGAAGAGAAAATGGCCGAAAATGTGGAGCAAAAAAAAAGCACGTCTTGAACACGGACGCTGGCCGCTCGTGGCCAACTGGCCGCCCAGGCCAAAGCTCACGACGACGCAACATTCGATATCGACTACATGGATGATTCAATGTTCGATAAAATCTTTCACCTTACTACTTCGAAGCAACTCGCATCCGTGGATTTAACATTCGACATTTTTGCCACCGCTTATATCCAGAAGCTACCCCAAGGGAAGATGTACGCGTGGATATTGGAGACACCGAGGTGCCGAACAGCAAAAGATAACAATGCCGCCAGAACTGCTATACCAGCACAGGGTCATGCTGTCGGGTCCTATCGAGTTCATTCGTACTTTTTACGATGCTACAGACTGCTGGTGATCAGGTGGCATTTTCACGTATTTTCTGGCAGATGGAATGATGGAGCTTTGGGTCATTGTGACGAGCTTGAAGACGGTTCGGGGCGCAACTTTATGTATGTAGAAACAACATCAATTCATGCCATCAATTTACCTTCTTCTCAATCTAAAGCTTAATTGGCTCAAGAGGAAACTCCTGATCATCCGGCGTAACATCCTTGTAAAGACTTTGCCAGCGACTCTTCAACGGCTCCGGGGTTTCCCACGCATTCTCGGGATCCCGAAGCCAGAGGCGAACCAGATGGCGTCTGTGTCTCAGTCAGCAACATATCATTCCTTAATATGCAAAATTAGAAAGACTTACTCTTTCCCTGGTCCATCCTGGAAGCCATTCCGGGCATGGAAGATACTAAGATTATTGGCGTACTGAATATCACCCTTCTTAAAACCGAGCGATGCGCTGTGTTTCTCCGCCAGAAAGTGCAGCGCGTCGAGAGCCTCGGCCTGTGCTTCGGTGATGGGTGGAATGTCGGTGGATCGGGGCTGCGCCATGAAACCCGTGAAGTAGCGCCGGGCGTACTGGATCAGGACACGTTCGGGGGTGGTGGATGTCGCGGGTTGATGGTAGAGCAGAGGGCGGGTGAAGTAGGGGAGGTTGGGATTGGAGAAGCTGGATAGACATTAGGTCTCCAGTGATGTCTCAACTGCATGGAACGACTCACCCGTCAAATGGCCACTCTTGTGTGAGTGTATGGATTAGATCCGGCCTCTCCTTGGCGAGAATGTTGTAGACATGCCAGCTGCTGGCAAGCTTACTCTCTCCTCCCTCTGCAGCCTCCTGGAGACAGAGCAGAGAGATAATATCTCCCGAGTCAGTGTGGAACACTTGTTTGTCGTTGGTCTTGGAGGGCGCGCCGATCGTCTCCGGGTCGACTGTCCGCGAGACATCCTTGATGTGGGCTAGGACTCGCGAAGGAGTGCCCTTTGATCGGTTGTCCTCCTGGCGGCCGCGAATGTTGCCGATGTGGGAGGATACGCCGCCGTAGATGATGATGTTGTCCTCTCGCGAGTAATTGTCGATGCGCAGACCGCGCAGTACAAAGAATCCGCGTCCAAGGTGGACTTCGCGGGACAGATCACGGAGGATGGGATGGAGAGTTGGTAGGGGAAATGTAGACTGGTCGATTGCTCCCAGAGGTAGGTTTTTTGCTGGTAAGATGAGCGAGAAAGATAACTGAATAGTGGATGGGGGAATTACATTTGAACTCCTTCAACCCCTGATCAATCTCATCAAGTTGAGCATCATTCAACCGGTAGAACCAATCATCACGCTTTTCAATATCCTCTCCCTCCCAGACCAGGGGAGAGTTCAGCTGCGCAGGGAATCCCGCAGGAAGTGTCTTTGGCAAGGGCTCCGCCTCGACGCGCCGCTGACTGCGTGCCGTATACTTCGCGAAGTCGGGGTGATATTGGATATCAGGCTGAACGAGAGTTTGAACCTCCACCATGATGTAATAAAATCAGTCGGAAATTTGTGAAATGTTTACTTGGATGTCAGGTCCATCCATGGTTCAGGAACGAGACAGTGAAAACAATATATCCAGTTTGTTGCGGATGACACCATCGCATCCGGACATTGCGAACGCAAAGGTATCAGCATCGGCAGTGGCTGCCATTCGTTGGGACCCCGCACGGGGATTCGGTCATGGGTTACGCCATTTCCGTCATCTAGACTTAGTAACTTTCCTTTGTCACGGGGATCGTTAGATGAGACTGGGTGGGTGAATGGCATGATAGTGGTCTGGTGTTGTTAGGGCTTGGAGCGTCAGTCGACATCGGGTTCCCGGTCACCTACTGGAGAGTGCCAACTGGACAGTCGCGATGGAATTGATTCGGGCTGAAAGCCGCACTCGGATTTGACCGTTCTTGGGTTTGTTTCGACTGGCCAGGTTCTTTTATGGATGATGGTCAGCTTCAGAGCTGCTTGGTCACCAAATAAAGATTATAGAAGAGCAGTCTGAGTGGGACACTGATGTGTTCGCCCGGATAATATTCCCCCGCCCAATCAACAGATGGCTGTCCGGAAAAGGTTATCCCACCATGAAACCTGTTCTTCACAAGTCCTTCTAAGAAGTTAGGAATCATCCATGGCTTCAACGTATCGGGTTATACCTCTCCACACGAGACAAGTGTCCCAATCTTAACACCTGATCCACCCGTACTTGGATCCCAGTTTCTGTTCAAAGTCATGAATATTTCTCTCGATTTACTTACTAGAAGGTGTATAACTATGCCCTGGAAATAAAACTTCCGAGACCTGCAAAACTTCCGCAGATTACCCCGGAATGTTTTTCGTTCCTACTTTCTGGGGGAAACTCCGGGGAAGCTCTTCTCCACCTTCCAAGATATGACAGCAGTGCATAAGGTTCAAGTGACAAGGCTTTGCTAGCTCTATCGAATAACCTTCCTTGGCCACTGATCTTACCGATATCGGCGTGTGTCCTTTACTCCATTTGCCATGGGTGAAGCAACTTATGATCAACCTCACTCCCAGAAGAGCTGAAATGACCTTGGAAAATTACCCGTTGGCTGCCTGAGAAAGAGACATTGCCATGAAGTATGGCGTAGTTCCAGTTGTCCGGGGACTATCAATTCAAATCCGTGGTAACTAGCCCATCAATGCACTGTTTCTATCAGTTTTGTAATCTTCCATTCTTCTCCGGTAAAGCTGGGCGTGGAGTTCTCCTTTTACCTCTGTCGTCTTCCCCTGTCTGTAATGAAAGCACTTTATTCTCTCGGAAATATTACTTACCCGGCGGATTTCCATCAGCAGCTGGAAATCACCGTCAGATTCAACCGTTCACAATGTTCCTCCCCCGACCCGTCCCCGAAGAAAGCTTGGGATCATGCCTCCGTATACTTCCGATCGGGTGCCAACGCTGGACGTGTGACAAGGATGGATGAAAAGGGCTGTTACTTGATGTGGGTTGTGGTATACTTACGACATCCGAAATCCTATCCCAGGGCAAAAGCTGGTTCCGATATACCAAAACAGGTAACTTTCTTCGTCGTCTCCCATCGCCTATCGATTCAAATGACGTCGTGGGCTATATTCAGCGCTTTAAAGCACGGTGTCTGCGCTGCAAACCCTCCGTGCAGGCAAATCAATCCCGCGAGTCTCCTTCACATGAATCCGACGCAACCCCCGAGCCATTCTCCATGCCTTCCAGCCGACGCTTCAACATGACACTCCGATCAATTTCCCTCGACGAGATGCCACAAGACCCGGAATTCATGCGGTTAATCATCAACATCATTGTCCTCTCCACCGTGGTCATCTACCACACCCAAAAGCACGCACCAGTCTACCACACCAAATTCCACAAAAGCACCCTCTGCCTCCCAATCCACATCACCACCGGCCTGATGGAATCCTTCCGGTACCAAATCCGCGCCGCCACGTCCGACCAAAAAGACATCCTCCCCAACGAACTCGACGTCATATCCTCCTTCATCTGGTCCTGGACCAGCTTCGTCCTCGTGAAGTCGCTCCGTCGCGGCCATCCCAGTACAACACGTCCGCCGTACCAAACTGCCGCTGTTCTGCGTCCGGTCATCTCGCTCGCTTCGTATGTGTTCGAGATTCCCGGCTTTTATAAACTCTCGATCCGCGCATTGGATAGTTTCGGGTATGCGCGCCTGGCGATATTTTTATTAACTCATACGCCGTACCTGGAGAAGGTTACGTCAAGCGATATCTACGCGTTGGCTATCCCGGTGGCGTCGCTGCTGAGTATCCATGGCAGCAGGGTTCCGGGGGCTACTTTGGCGTTTGGCGTCATAACGGCATATGTGGCGAAGCTGAATCGGTGGGTGACACGGCGGTCGAGGGAGATGAAAGAGTAAGTTCGTTTTCAGGATTTTGTTCTTTGTGAGTGTGGTTGGTTGGGGTGATGCTGACGGTGTGTGTTATAGACCGGACGTCTTTTTTAATGCGTCGGCGTTCGAGAAGTGGTTGGTCACAACGTTATTGCATCTTGGGTTTGCGGAGTTGGAGGAATTGAGAGATTTCAGTCATTCGAAGGCTTTGAATGCGCCGGTGAATGATGACTATGTTCCCAAGAGAGAGAGTCTGGCGAATGGGGCATGAGTATGTTCTGCATGGAGAGTTTATCTCCGAAGAAGGGGAGGGAAAACCTGCATATAACAAGAAGATTTTCGATTACGGGGCTTAGACAAACTGTTGGCTCTATACATGATTTAAGATTTGAAGAAAAATAATTTTGTTTCCGGAATTCGAAGGGCGATTCTGTAACAATTATCGGGTTTTTCCCAAAATGAGAGATGGTAGTTTGGTTATAGACTTGAAGTTGGCCACCCCCTTTGCCTTGTTTCCTGACGGCCTCGGCATTAACAACCTGGGCCCAGAATATCTGGCCTGGTCCATAACTCCTATGTCCCTTATGTCCGCGTTATCCCCTTCAATGTGGGAGACGAAGAATGAAGGAATCCTTCGACGGACTTAACGGACTTACGCTAAGCCATGGACATGAGTACAAAAATGGCAAAATATAAACTCCGGAGAGCATTTGCCTTGAAAACCGCAAAAGCAATCAGCTCTTCTGAATTATATACCATACATATATCTTCAGACTCCACCATGGCCGCCCCCTTCTCTCTCCCGACAACCCACCGGGCGCTCGTCCTCGACAAAATCGGCGAACCCCTTCGAGTCGAGACACGGCCCACACCCCAGGTATCCCCCGGAACAGCAGTTGCGAAGATCCTCGTGGCCGGACTGCTCTCCTACTCACGGGAGATCTACAACGGCACACGCAAATACAACCTCCCCACACCATGTGTTCCCGGAAACGCGGCCATCGGACGCATTGTCGCGGTGGGCGCTGACGCCACCAGGTTCAACCCCGGAGATCTCGTCCTCATCGACATCTTCATCCGCGGACGTGACAACCCCAGCATCGGCGCTCTCTCCGGGGTTCACGATGGCCACACAGAGGCCAGCAAGCGCATGATGCACAGCGAGTGGCGCGACTCGACATATGCCGAATATGCGAAAATGCCGCTCGAGAACTGCTTCCCGCTGAATGAGAAGCGGTTGCTTGGGGATCCGTCCGACGGCGGGCTTGGATATACCGTTGAAGACCTGCTCTATATGCTGCCGCAGATTGTGCCGTTCGGGGGACTGCGTGCCATCGGATTGGATGTGTGTGATCGTGTCATTATCAGTCCGGCGACGGGGGCGTTTGGGAGTGCGGCGGTGCAGGTCGCTCTCTCGATGGGGTCGAGTGTTATTGCGATGGGGCGGAATAAGGAGACCCTTGAGGCGGTGCGGGGGTTTTTTGCGTCTCAGTTTGGGGAGGATCGCATCCAGGCGGTGCCTATCACGAATGATGTGCAGCAGGAGGTGGAGAGCCTGGCGAAGTTTGGGCCAGCGGATGTTTTCTTCGATATCTCTCCCCCGCAGGCGGCGGGTTCGACGCATGTGAAAAGTGCCATCCTGTCGCTCAGGCACTCCGGGAGGGTGTGTCTTATGGGGGGTCAGAGGGAGGATGTGGGCATTCCATTGGTGAATGTGATGCGCAATGATCTGACCATCAAGGGTAAGTGGATGTATGAGAGAGGGGATGTTGCCAGGGTCATTCAGATGGTGGAATCGGGGGTCTTGAAGTTGGGAAAGGATGCTGGGAGCCGGACGGTGGGTCGGTTTCCGTTGGAGAACTGGAAGGAGGCGTTTGATCTGGCGGCAGAACATGCTGGTCCTGGTGAGAGAGTGGTGTTCACTCCCTAAATCATCGTAGCTACTCATTCACTGGCACTGTTCGGTGGTCTGTAACAGTCCAGCTCTTCCGGGTGTTCTCGACCTCAGTCTGAATCGCACTTTGATCCCCTTCGAATATCATACATTTTGCGAAGCTATTCAATCCAAAATCCCTCTGTACGCACTATTCAACCATTACCCATACCCGCAGATTACCATATTAGCCTAACAGCAGCATGTACACAGTTTGGTCAGAAACGAAATCATCTCAAAGACCCCCAGAGGTTGTTCAGACTCTCAGCAAACGTCGGGTGTGCGAGGACTGCATCCTGTAGTTTCTGATAATGAAGGTTGCCAATCATCGCCACCTGCACCACACTCATCAACTCTCCCCCTTCAGCGCCCAGGCAAGAGAATCCCAGAATATGTCCCGTGTCTCCGTCTACCACGGCCTTCATTGCGCCTCTTGTCTCTGCCGTTTCCAGTGCCCTTGCCACATAAGTCATGGGCATCTGCGCAGTCAGAATGGTCCGATCAGGGAACTTCTCTCGCGCTTCATGCTCATGCAGCCCAACATGGGCAAATTGTGGGTCTGTGTATGCCACATAGGCCACCAGGCGGTCTTTCACCGATAGCTTCGAGGCAGTCTGGGGCGAAGGCAACAAAGCTGACCGAAGAACGCGAAAGTCATCATAGGATATATGCGTGAAAGCCGGTGGGCCCCTAATATCGCCGATGGCATAGATTCCCGGAGCGGAGGTCTCGAGGAATTCGTTGGTGACGACATATCTCTTTGCATCTGTTTTCACCCCTGCCACTGCAGCGTTCAACCGCTCAGTATTCGGGACTCGACCTGCCGCAAACAGGATATGCGATGCATCCTTCAACACCGCCTCTCCATACTTATCCCTGATGGATACATCGAACGACCCTTTCGCACCCGACGAAACCCCAGTCGGCGTTGTCTCCAGATGCACCGCAATATGATCCTCGCGGAAAATATCCAGGAGCGCATCAGCCAACTCCTTGTCTTCGCGCGGAAGCAACTGCCCTCCGCGATGGACGATCGTAACCCTAGCCCCAAGCCTCCGGAACAACTGGCCAAACTCGACCCCAATATACCCACCCCCGACCACAACCAGATGCTCAGGAACCTCCCCAAGCTCCATGATGGACGTTGAATCCAGGATTCTCGGTCTGTCCACCTTCTCCAGCCCCTTCAGCGGCGGAACCACCGGTCGACACCCGGTATTAATGACGATCGTCTCCCCACTGACCACCCTCTGACTCCCATCCCCCATCACCACATTCAACGTCCGCTCGCCCACAAAGCTCGCCTCCCCCATCAAGACATCCACCCCCGCCCCCTTCGCTCGATTCTCATTCCCCGTCCGGAACGAAGTCACTATATCGCGCTTCCGCTGCCTCACCTTCGTCATGTCAATCGTCACCTCGTTCCTCCTCACCGACTTACTCGGCCCCGCCATGTGGACTCCATACTCCGGGCCCAGACGCGACAAATGCGCGACTCGTCCGGACGCAATCATCGTCTTGGTCGGCGTGCAGCCATCATTCACGCAGCAGCCCCCGATATGTTCCCTCTCGATCAGCGCGGTATTGTACCCTGCTTCCGCGAGGGCCCGGGCGAGCGGTGTCCCGCCCTGCCCGGAGCCGATGATGATCGCGCCGTATTTGGTGGTTGTTGACATTGTACGGATGAAGTGGGAGTAGCAGTAGTAGTAGTAGTAGTAGTAGTGTTTTTGTTTCAGGGGACGGGAAAGGGTACGTAAGGGTCGGAGATACATACTTTCCTTTCGGTGGGAATGGGTGGATGGTGGGGAGGGGTGCGCGGAGGATAAATACCAGTTGCATGCATAGCTCGTGTCCGTGCGACGGGACGGGCAAGTGAGGGGAAAGTACCTTAGGTAGGGAGCGAACAAAGAATGGAGGTGAGGGCGTTCGTGTCATGATTATATCATCTATAGAGCTCGTATGTGAAGTTACATGTGGGGAGCAATTCCGACTAATGGGATTTAGTTGAGACGGGGTTCCGTGGGTGGATGGAGAAGCCACGGAACCCTATCTTGGGTCTTTTTTGGAGGGGGGATTGGTCGCTCGGATGTTCGCTGGTATGCATAATTTGTGATGGGTCTTATGGGTAAGAAATGAGGTGCTGGGGAATAGTGGGATGTTGTCAGCAATTACTTCCCTGTAGAAGCAAACGAGATGTTGCAGTGCCTGCTGCCCCCGCAGCCTCCTTATCCTCTCTCGTCCTCCTGGCTAGCTAGCCACCTAGATTACCAGGTAAAGGTACCCTGGGTCACCCTTCCCCCCCACACAACTATGATTTATTTGGCATGCGCATATTGTTCTCCTCAGATTTGAAACCAGCATTTTGACCATCTATATCCCGAATCTCCCTAGCCCATGGAAGTAAGATTTAGGAATCTGCTGCCTCCGTCGATGCGGCTGCCACCTGCTCGATCAACTCCTGCCGTAACCACGCGTCCGCCGGGGTCAAATACCACGACACCACCGCAAAGATCGTCACAATCGCCATGATAATGGGGGCATCTATTCCGGCATCAGTACAGTTCTTATCGTCTTTAACCCCCCCCCCCCCCCTCCTACTTCATAAACAGGGAACTTACAATTCAACGTCCCCGCAGTAACCGGAAACTCATACGGAGAGAAGAGAACCGCCACAACCCAGGCATTCCAAATCACAGCAATCAACTGAAACGGCTTACTCCACCTGCCAAGCGACCACTTCGCATCCAGCTTCTCCTTGCGCGTCAGAGTCAGCCTACCCAGACTGATCAGTCCGTATGCCGCAGCGGAGGGGACCCCAGCGGCGGAGACGAGCGAGGTGAACGCCACAGCCGAAGGGAGGATCGTGCAGGTGATCAGGGCAGACACGCCCCAGACGACGAGGATGGCGTTGCGCGGCTGGCCTTCTTCCTAGACGCGAGAGGTCCAATTAGAGAAGGGGAGAACGCCGTCACGGGCGACGGCGAAGACCAGCCGTGAGGCAGCGGTGATTGCGATCGCGGTGTTGAGCCATAAAGCTACTATGGAGAGGATGTTCATGATAATATGGCCTCCGCGGCCGAGGGCGACGGCATACAAGGGCACGAAGGGCTGCGGGGCGTCGTATGAGAATAGGACGTCGATGGGGGGCTGGAAGTGGTCAGTTAGCAACCTCCACAGTGCGACGATGAGGGTTAGTAACATACTGTTGTGAACAGGAACAGGATCACCGCAGTCAGTCCTAGCACTCCACTGATGACTGTACTCCAGAAGATCCCCTTCGCTGCATTAAGGGAGGCGTTCTTCGTCTCTTCGGCAACATGCCCCGATGCATCGAATCCGATCAGAATCCCTGCGGTCGCCAAATACGACAGACACCAGTTCCAACCAGCTGGGGCTCCGGTGCCGTTATACGTGGTCATGAATGCTTCGTGGGTGGTACGCAAGCCATAAGTCTCATGCGCGCCGATCGGAAGCCAGACAAGGTTGAGGATGAAATCCAGAAACACGGCTCCGGTCGAAAGCCAGAAGACATATCGAAATATCCGCGCTGGGGTTTGTTAGTTGGTGACGCTCGGGTGAGGCAGCTGGCTACATACGCGAGCCAAGGTTGATCCATGCTGCCAATGCCAGCATCACTTCCGTGCAGATCCATTGCAGTGCACGGAATTTGATGCTAGATGTGTCTGTTGGGAAGTCCACGTTGAATACGGTCAGCTCCTGTAGCTTGTGAGCATTGTATCCTGTGAGACGATCTTGTTGAAATGAGTTGACGTACAGATAGCATATAGTTGACTGTGGACTGGGTATTGCCTGTTTTGTCTTATTACATCTCTGCAGACATCGTGAGAAATCGAGAAGACCCACTGGCACAAAAGGTCGTCCAGGCAGTCGTACTCCACCAGGCGACGATGAATCCAAACAGCCGCCCGAATCGCCGGCCTCCGGCTTCTGCAGCCCACAGGTAGATTGATCCTGCAGTCGGGGCCGCGGAACAGACTTCTGCAATGACTGCGGCGGTGATAAACGTGAAGACGCACGTCACGATATAGCTTGTCCTGATGATGTGTTAGTGTATGACACTTCGCGCAATCATGTCGAAGTTACCAGTATGCCAAAGGACCTCCAGCTGCAATTCCAGTAGTAAAGGTCACGCGAACACCTCCGACGAAATACAATGCCGCTTGGGGTTCCGAGTCAGATCTCACCTCTTAGGTGGTCGGGCAGGAAAACAAACCGAAAGAGGTGGAGAAGTTTTCAAAGAGCGAGTAGCTCCGATGAAGAACCTAGATGTCTGTCAAGACAAAGCCCCTTCCACGAATTTTGTCACCTACTTGTTGATAACCAAGGCGTTCCTATGACTCGTGAGCTGGCTGGTCTCACTGAGCAAGCAATACCGAGAACCTACCAACGCGATCTCATCGTTCTTCAAGTCAACGACCGCCGAACTCGACGTCGGGTGATCTTTGCCCGTCATGGCTCGTGACAGCGCCGATCGAATCGAATTGGAAACCAAAGTTGGGTTGCGAAACCAGCAGACAACACAGGCCCCTTTAACTGATCGGCCATCGTAATCGAAACTGGGACATACAGAACCACTGGTCTGAATGACGCCTTCCGGGCCCGCTCTTTGTCCACGTGGATGGCGTCATGGGCACATGTTGAGTCGCGATGGTGGGTAAATTAAAACCTCGTATAGGGCTCTATGGCGCCATTTGGAGGATTGCCGAGGTGATCTATTCACATTGCGGGTACGAATGCCGCGATCGCAACCTGGCTTCCAGAACCCTTATCAGACCCGTTTCGGTGGACATCCCTGAATGAGTTAGGCTCTGAAGTAGACTGCTCGCTTGGCGGGGTCCGCGGACGGACGTGAAATATAATACTATGTGTCGCTTGGATTTTTGGGAGGGGAGGTCGAAGCCAGGGCACATCATGGTGTTCATCATATCGAGTGGGCTGGTGCTAGTCGCACTTGGAGCTTGGGTATGTAGATTCATAACATGATCCGACAGACTCTGGAGTTTTACTAACCGTTAAGCTTATATACACATATTTCCTCTCCCCTCTGGCGTCAATACCCAATGCAGGGTTCCTAGCCCCTGTTTCGCGTCTACTGTGGGAGTTTCCCGTCGAGTATCAGGGCAGGATCACGCTGGAGCTTCCCAAACTACACAAAAGGCTTGGTTTGTGGGCGACCTTCCGCCAGTCATGGCCATCGCTGATGAGAGGCAACTCTCCCAGGTCCCCTCGTTCGCATCGGCCCCAATCAAGTCTCATTCTATTCACTGGACATATACAAGAAGGTCCATGCACCGAATAGTCCGTTCGCCAAGGACCCTCGGGTCTATAGTCAATTCGTGCAGGATGGGCATCCTGCGCTGTTCTCGATTACGTGGGTACTTCCATTGATGTTAAACCGGCACGCGTTGGCTAATCGGTGACGCGAAAGTGATCCGAAGGAGCATGCTCAACGTCGGCGCCACATGGGGATAGTGTTCAATCGCAGCAAGGTCCCCGCATTGACGGATATGATGGTGGGTACGATCGACTCATGGGTTAAGTACCTCGCGTCTGTCAGTGCAAAAGGCCCCGTTGATCTCGGACCAACCTGTCGCGCCTTGGAATCGGACATCGTTTGTGAGTAGTATTCTCCCCACGACTTTTCGACTGTTTCTCACAGGGCTGTTCAGCAAAGTTTGCCTTTGGAAATGCAATTGGGGCAGTCAAGTCACTTCATCTGGGAAAGGAAGTTGCCGTTATCAAAGAAAATGACATCAAGTCTTCGAAAATGCCGGTGGTTGGTGGCATTCAAGTCCATGTCGTTGGGAGTGGGCTAACCCCTTCAACTCCAGTATACAAACTTCCCGATCCTTGTCGGTCTCTGGCACTATCTTGCAGATTGGATCTTCAAGGTAACTGGCTTGGTGTTATCTTCGGTAACGAGCTCGCAACAATTCGATCAGGTAGGACGATATCTACGTGGACTCTCTCCCGTCATACAGGTCTCCCTGACATATCGCTAGTGGGCCGATTCGCAACTCCTCGCCGTAAAAGATACCGAGAAAGCACCCAGCCTATCCTTTCTCAAAGTCATGTCTGAAGAGAGAATACCCGAGCAGTCAGCTTTATCAGAAGCGAAAGAGATGCTTGGCCCCGGTACCGACACGACCTCCGCGACACTGGCTCATATTCTCTACGCCCTGTCTCTCAACCAAACCTTTCAAGAAGATCTAGTCTCTGACCTGCAAGCAGCTGGATGGTCCGTTGATATGTCTGCACTGGAGTCAATACCCAGACTTGTGGCTTCGGTTAAGGAGGGCATACGGTGGACCGGGGCTGCCGCCGCTATGCTTCCCCGGATCGTTCCACAGGGGGGTTATTTGCTAGCGGGGAAGCATCTTCCTGGTGGAGTACGTCGATCCCTACTATAATGCAAAAAAATAGTCTCTAACCGATAGCATCAGACGATGATCTCCAGCTCCCCAATCTGGTATCTTCGCGATGAGACCGCATTCCCAGACCCCGAGCGATATAGACCCAGTCGGTGGCTCGTCCAGGAAAATACCGAGGCCACTTCTTTGCGCGACGACTACTATGTTCCCTTTTCCAAGGGCGCATCCACGTGCGTTGGCATTCAGTATGTGTTCTCGACCGTCAACTGAACGATATGCAGAGACTGACTTGGTAATGGCTCAGCTTTGCTTATCTAGAGCTGTTTCTCTCGCTATCGCAGTTGCTGAAACGGTATTCCATCCACCCAGTTAAATCATCGAGAGTGACTGCTCTGGACCATGAGGCCATTCTTCCCCCGCGACGGGAATGGGTTGCTGCTGTTCCTATTGATCGCTTGGAGGTGATGCTGCTTGAACGGTGATTGAGAATCGCCCACCTCGGATGTCGCCAGTCCACGCCTCTCATCACTGTTGCATTCCAGAGCCAATCTGTTTGTCTACATCATTCTTATCCCAGAGAAAGCTAGCACATACGACCATAGGGTGTGGAGAACAGGGCTTCCCGTCCGCTCAGCCGTACTTAAGCCACACGCCGGGAGGTTAGTAGTTGGGTGGGTGACCACCAGCGAATCCCTCCTGTTTGTATGTTTTTATTTTTTTTATTCTTGTATCTTTTCACCGCATTATTTGGTGGTGCACCGTTGATTGTCTGGCTGCATGGGGGCGGGGAGGGAGGATGTGGATCGGACAGGTTATTACACCACCGTATTCGGGTTGTTACAGACTTTTGATCTGGTTTTCATTCTAATTCGATGCCACTTTCTTCTCTAGAACATATGGTTTCTACAGATGCCCATGTCCATACCACGGCTGATATAAACCTTCGCCGTGCGATCAATAGCCTCCGCATCATTAATCCTCGGAAACGGGATATCCTTGGGCACCTCCTTCCCCAGCGCCCTACACAGCGGCTCCCACCCCTCCTTCACATCCACGACCACCAGCCGCTCCTCCGGCACAACATCCTTCAACCAAGCAATATGCTGATGCCAGATATCAATATGCGACCGCCCCCCCCCCCCCCCCCCCCCCCCACTAACCATCCGATACACCTTCTCCCACTGCTGAACTAGCACATTGATATGGTCGACGAAATGCCTCATACCGGGAAGTGGCAGCAGAACCGCGCGGAGAAACCACATCGTCGCCAGGCTCGTAGTAATTTCAGCAGAGGGATTCCATAGGAGTCGTGAAATTAAAAAATGGGGGGAAGTGTATTTATTCTGGTGAATGTGTGGGTGAAAGCTTGTAGAGATTGACGGTGGTAGGTGGGTGAACATATACTTTGGTGTTGACGAGAAAAACGCAACATTTGTGGAAGATCAGACTATCAGCAAACTATGTCACGGGAAGAGGACAATGCTGTCAGGATAATAGCCCGGATTATACTAGTAGCTGTAGGGAATGGAAAATTAAAATTTGTCGAGAGCTTTGAACGAAGTACCGTCTACAGGAGACAAGGAGAAACTCGATTTGCCGTGTAGATATAGGAAACATAACTGCTGATTGGCTGTTTGGGCACGACCAAAGGTAACGCTAGTACGAGATAGGACATATATGGTGCCTGGGTGCCTGACATCTGTGTAGCAAAAGAAGAAAAAAAAGTTGCCTTGTGAACTGCAGACCAGCTGGTTCTAGGAAAAAGACATAGTTTGACTAGGGAGTAACTCTGAAATCAGGAAATAAGTCAAAAAAACCGTGGTTCGCGTTGTGTCCGGAACAGATCTGGTAGATTTGAACCTTGGCTTATATAACCACATGAGACGACCTGATTCAACAATTGGTTGTGTAGTGTAATGGTCATCACTCTGGATTCTGATTCCAGCAATCCCGGTTCGATCCCGGGCACGACCTTTTTGGCTTTCCGGGTTTTTGATCCGGAACTAGTCCCGACTAGGCTAGCCCCAGACCCCGTCCGCACTTTGCCTAATCGGGCCCTCGTTCTCGCGGTTCTGTTTTGTCTCGCTTGTTCTCCTTTCCCTCTTCCTCCATCTATCTACTTCGCTCCAACATCACCATCATCTTCCGTCGATACATCTGTTCTCGACGATCCTCCATCGACCAAGAACCCCGAACTGGTGCTGCCCATGGAGCGAGCTTCGTCGATGCAGGCGTGACAATGCTCGTTGATCAAGCGACTCACTGCTCCCAGTGCGGCGTTGTCCTTCAACAACGCGTAGTGGTCGCCGCAGTCCAGCACATGACACGTGACATTGCTGCATTGGGCTCTCCACCAGTCCACCACCCCATCGTGCAGTCGATCAGGTAACGCCAGATGAAGGCTTCTCCCCTGAAACACGGGTGGGCTGTGAGACTGCCTCAGAGCTTTGACATGGCGGTTAAAGTGTTCTTGGAATGGCAACATGTCCTTCGACCCCATATCTGCCATACCGAGTGAGCTTCGTATCATATCGTCCCTTTCACTCGCATTTTCCAAGGGGACATCCTCTGCTCGATAGGTTCCTGGGTCAAGCAAGATGACGGACGCAGGATTTCCCGCGCACTGCTTGTCCCATAGGAGAGCCATCTCAAATGCAATTAGACCGCCAAAGGAGTATCCGCCAAAGAACACGGGCCGGTCGGACTGGATGTGAGTTTGGATGTCATGGAGATAAGAGCTCGCCCATTCGGTCAGCGTTTCCGGACACTTGGAAGTGCCGACGAATGGGTCGTTGACGAGAATTATGTCGAACGACTCATCCAATAACGGAACCAGAGGCTCAAACACAGTCGACTGCGCGAGGAAAGGATGAACGAGGACGATGATTGCTTCACTCTCCGGGCGCACATGTAGGCGTAGGTACCTGGGGTTGCCGTTGACAGTCTTACTCTCGTGAAGCTTGGCAGCCTGGGACTGAACCGTTGACGTTTGTGACAAATCTGTCATATCGAAGTGCAAACCATCTCGTCGGAGTAGCGCGAGCAGTACAATGGCCCGAATAGAGTCACCACCCATCTGAGAGAATGTTGCAGTGATGTCTATTGCATCTTCTTTTGCCCCTAGCACCTTTGCCCAGAGTGAGGCTATCTTGGCTTCCTCGCTTCCCGGTGACGCCTGAACGGGAAGATGTACCTTAGTCGAGAGGTTCTCTCTATGCTCTTTGTACTTGCTCTCTGCCATCTTGCTGATAGCCCGTTGGTCCAGCTTACCACTCGTTGTTCGGGGCAATGGTGTCGTTTGCAGCCATACACAAGCGGGCACCATATAAGCCGGAACGCTGTGTGCAATGTGCTCTTTTATGTCGCTTTCGGAGATGTCCTTGTTGATTGCAAGCTTTCGGTCCACCTCGACGACTGCTGCCAAAGTCTCATTGCCATTGCTCTGGACCTTAGCTACAGCACAAGCCATGACCTGTGGGTGGTTCTGTGCGATGGAGCAGATCTCATTCGTGTCAATCCGAAGGCCTCGAAGCTTGATCTGTCCATCTATTCGACCAAGATATTCAAGCTGCCCGTCACCGTGGAGTCTCGCTATATCCCCTGTGCGGTACAACTTCCCGTGTCTAGTCGGCGAGAACGGATCGTGGGTGAATTGTGCTGCGGTCAGGTCAGGTTGGCCTAGATATCCTCGCGCAATCTGTGGTCCGCCAATACACATCTCTCCGACCGATCCTATGGGAACCTGCTCTTGTGTTCCAGGACGCAGCAGATAAATGCGCCTGTCCTTGCTAGAATTTCCGATCGGAACATAGAGCCGGCCCTGGCGCATGTCGACACCAGGGCCTTGTAGTTTACAGGCCGCTACCTCAATAGTTGTCTCGGTCGGACCATAGCCATTCCAGATGGTCAGGTCTTTGGGTATTTGATCGAGTAAGCTTGCACGGAAGGGCTCACCCCCAAAGACCAGTGTATGGAGGTGGGATAGTCGCTGATTGTTCTGAAGGTCTTTCATCATGAGAGCACCCAACGTAGGGGTCAGCGCCAGATGTGTGATGTTCAACTCTTCCAGCCAATATCCTAGCCGGGGCAGCAACTTGTTTTGTTCCACAAAGAAAAGCCGACCGCCTTTGCTGAGAGTCGCGAACAGATCGCCCACTGATGCATCGAAAGTAGACGCAAGTAGCGCAAGGCGGTTGGAAGTCCAGGAGCAATCTGTACTTCCTTCTTCGGACAGCGCAAACGAGGCCAGACTCCGATGCTCAACCATGACTCCTTTCGGTACCCCAGTGGACCCTGATGTGAAGAGAACATAGGCCAAGGAGTCCAAAGCGAGCCTTCTTTGGATAAATGGTTGGCTCTCGTTTTCAATGAGGTCGCTCACGGTGCGTAGGATAGCTCCTGTCGACTTCGCTAGATTGCGCAGCTTCTCACCGCCGTTGATGCCGTCCCAAATGATAATGCTGGCTCGAGTAGCCTCGCAAATTGCCTCCAATCTCTGCATCGGATGTTGAACATCCATGGGAACAAATGCCGCCCCGGCTTTCAAAATCGCCAAAATGGCAGTCACCATGTCGATCGACTTCTCGAAAAAGACGGGAATGTATTGTTGAGTAGGCGTCTTGGTTGCATGCTTGGTGATCAGCTTTTGGAGTCCAGAGGCAACTCGGTCGCTTGAATGATCGATTTGTTGATATGTAGCATAATCGGTTCTCTCGACTTGGATGGCAATCTTTTGTGGTGCATCGGTCGCATGTCGATGGAAGATGTCGACCACCGTAGGAACCGGTTCAGCGTCTTCGCATGTTACAGCGTTCCCGCCGGCTGACACTTGCTCGAGGATCTTCTTCTCATGGTCACTAATGATGAGACTGGCCTCGGAACATTTTCCATCAGGCTCGGACATCGCACGGCAAGCAATCAGATCGAGCGAGTCAGCAACATGTTGCAAGATCCATTCCACATCCGCTGATGGAAGCACGAATGGGTCGAATACACCCCGCATGGAGATATGGCCAGTTATATTATGACAAGAAACTTCGAGCACGAGGGGGAACTCTGCATGGCTCATCTGGCTATCACCGGTTCTGAAGTTGCCCCATGGCTTGATCTGGTTCAGATCTCTTGAAACCGACTCCTGGTAGACGAAGAGTACCTGGAAGGGCAGCAAGTCGGGATTCCCAGTCAGCTGCCGAATGGGTTGCAGACCAAGATGCTGATAGGGTATTGTATCCAAGTATGCATCTCGAGTACGTCTGAGAAGCGTATCCACCGATACTCTTCCACGTGGGATACTATTGTCTAGCTGCTCTTCCTTTGCAGCTAGACGAATTCTCACCGGGTGTGTTGCAATACAGGGACCAGCAACAAAACCCGAATGAGATCGCCCACTTGAAACCTCTCCCCAAGTGATATCGTCTGAGTCACTGTGTGTCGCAATAGTCAAGGCGAAGGCTGCTCTCGCCATTCCAGCAGGCGTGGTTCCTAACGCCTTGGATACCTTTCCCGCGTTACCTCTCCACTCAAAGGCCCTCACCATGGCAATATTTTCTCCTCCTATAGGACCTTTCAGACCGCTTGGAATGGGCCAAGTACTGGTTGGGGCATCTTTGAGGTACTCCTTCCAAAACAAAGAAGTCTTTGAGTGCTCTTTGGTTTGCAGCATACGGACGAAAGCCGTGAAAGGAACGCGAGCGTTTTCGCAACCCCCTTCATTGCTACCTTCACTGGCTCGATGGTAATCATGTGATAGCCCGTCGAGAATTGAAGTCAAATACGCCTCGTCGTATAGAGCGTGGTGGATTGTTAGCTCTAATTCATGATCATCAGAGTTCTTGTTTGGAACCCAAGACAATGAGACTGGTATGTGACCCATCTTAAGGTCCGGTGGTGAAGTGTGCCCTTCCGCATCAAACCCTCGAATGGTAGCGACTCTGACAACTTCTTCGGAGTTGTTACGAAGAACCGCTTGCAAAAACGCACCACTGCAAATCCCCTGTCCATGCAAAGCTCGGGTAGTCGGCAGGAAAGCCGTTCGAAGCATTACCTCTCGCTCAACCGTTGATTGCCATGCTGACTGCATCTTGTCGAAATCCAAAATTCCATCAAATTCGAGTCTCATAGTAGCCTGATAAGTCGGGGATTCTCTAACGACCATGTCGGTGGTGAGTACACCTTCTTGAAAAGGTGTGCATGGCATGATTTGCTCAATATCTTCCGCGCAGAGACCACTTGCCTCGACTGCCTCCTGCGAACCATCTAACTTCATTGGGGGGAGATCGGCAAAGACTATGATGTCTTCGCTCTCGCTTTCCATGGGTCCCTTTTCACCGGCAATCGATGATATTTTCTTCGCCAGAGCCTCCGGCGTTGGACAGTCAAACAAGTCGCGGACAGTGATTATGCATTTCAATCGCTTGACAATGGAAGAGATTGTTCTTGTTGCCATTAAGGAGTGTCCACCAAGATTGAAAAAGCTGTCGGTGATACCAACTTCCGATCCAAGTACAGTTGCAAACTCTTCACAAACCACCCGTTCCATGTCATCTCTGGGAGGTGCATATGTTGACGCTGGTTCTGTCTGCTTGGAAGATGCAGTTGTGGCCATTCTAGCCAGTACCCGCCTGTCTATCTTGCCGTTGTGGTTTATCGGCATCTTGTCGATAACCTGGATCACCGCTGGGACCATGTACGATGGCAGACGGCTCTTTAGCAATTGTCTCAGCCTTTTATTTATGCTTCTCCCTGACCGATTCTGCATTGGGTTATTGCTGAATGTCCGAGCTGAGCGACCTTTATGGTCTGTCTTGAACCGAAACATCGTTCTTTCCCTGTTGCATTCGGGCTCTATTCTGTGGAAAATGGCGTCAAATCCACCGTGTTGTGAAAAATGTCGCGCCCAGCTTATTTCAACGCGGAAGTTTGCGAGGGCACCCAAGTCCATCAGGTCAACTGCAGAGAGTGCATTGACCTCTTCGGACTTCTGACGGATAGATAACAACTCGTCGACCCCCGTGGATTTGGACGGATCTGACAGTGCTTCGACAATGAGCCTTTCTAGCACGGTCTTGCTGTGCGGAATGTTAGAAATAGCTAACACGGATGGATCAGAAGATTGCTGCAATAGGTGCAAAAGCCGTTCCCGGTCCAGTCCACGAGCACTGAAATCTATCCATTGCTCGTCGTCTATAATGTGGACTTCCTGAGATTGGTCGTCACACACAGCGTGAATGACAGCCGAATAGCGATAGCAGCTAAGCTCATTACTGGCTCCCATTCTCTTGGGTAGAATCTCGACATGATGGATGAGATCGGGGAGTTGGTCCGTCAAGACAGTGAAAAATGCCGGGTCAACCAGCAGCTCGGTCTCGCTTTCCACCGTCTCAGCCATGTTTTCGCGGATGTCGCTTAGGCTTGCCATTTCCCCGCAAGCATGCAATGCCTTTGTCACCTGAAACTGGCTGTACAGGGCATACGATCGAATATCCCCGAAGAATAGCGTCTTTGCACGATGCACACGGATCAGATCCTCGATAAGCCGGCCCAGATAATCCGCATTTGGGAAATATTGGGCGACAGAGTTGACCACGACGAGATCAGGCTGGACGCTGTTGCTTGCGATACTGCTCAAATCACTCGCGCTTCCGACATGCAGCTGTACCTTGTCAGCCAGGCTTGGTTTGAGATCTGTTATGGTCTTGTTGATGAAATCTACAAGGGGCTGCACCGGCTCGAAGCCGATATAGCTTTGCAGACCCTCTGTAAGATTGAAGAGGATCATGCCTGATCCTGTCCCAATCTCGAGAACATGACCTGGTGGCCCACCGTTCAGGAGCGTTGCGATGCTGTCGTCCAACCATTCGCTCATTTCGGCTTTATCGATGTCGGCGCCGTCGTACATTGACTTCCATCCGGAAAAGTCCCGCCCAACATGATGAGCTCCGATGCTGGTTTCGTAAGCAGTGGCATTGAAGATTTCCTTCCAGGCTTCTTCTACATTGTGCTCTTCTGTCATGTCTTGCTCTGAGTGGGTGTGGGTTGCATGTTGCATGTTTCTCTCTCTTGTGACAAAAGCGACGAGTTGAGGGTCCTTATTGTCTTCCTGCTGTAGGATAACAGCAGCACTGTCTAACAGGCCAGACTCAAGGAGAACATTCTCAATCTCGCCAGTCTCAACTCGGAAACCTCGGACCTTGACTTGACCATCCAGCCGGCCGATGAATTCCAACTGCCCGTCTGCTGGTCGATACCGAGCTCGATCCCCTGTGCGATAGCCCCTGACCACTTGACCGTCGATTTCAATGCTGACAAACCGATTCAAATTCTTGGTTGCATCACTATATCCTCGTGCAAGACCATCTCCAACGACAACGAGTTCTCCCAATACACCAGGCTGCATCACCCGCAAATCTCTGTCCATGACATATGCCCCGGAGTTGTGTACTGGTTTTCCAATAGGCACACCGGTATGGTACTGACTTTTGCCTGAAACCCGATGCAAGGTGCTGTAAAACGAATTCTCGGTTGGTCCATATGCATTGACAACTTCTTTGTGAACTAGCCTGCTTGCCTTGATTAAATCCCGAGGATCTGGCCGATCGCCCCCAAGAACCAGGATATCCAACTCAGCAATCCCAGCCGGTGACTCTAAAACGAACTGCTTCAATACCGCTGGTGTCATGAATGCCGTTCGGACATTCTCCTCTTGAAATATATTGGACAGAGCTGCGTGGTCAAGAGCCGTCATGGTGTCTATACAAAGCACTGTGCCGCCGTTGAGCAGTGGGTTGTATATCTCCCAAGCCGCTGCATCAAATCCAATGCTAGCCATATGCGCGAATGTCTTTCTTCTGTCATTGCTGGCAAACATGCTGGAATCCCTCGCGCGTAACACGACCCCCCTATGTTCAATCATGACTCCCTTGGGCCGGCCGGTGGATCCCGAAGTGAAAAGAACAAATGCCAGGCTGTTAGCACTGGGTCGACTGCGCTCAGTCTTCTCTCGACTCTCCTGGATGCTTGTGTGAAGGACTCGTTTTATCGGTACCATGTCTAGACGATCTAGCTGGATCACCGGGGGTTCAAATTCTGACCCCAGGAGAACTATTCTTGGTCCTTGAATGGAGGAAAATATGGTCTCGATTCTGGAAGTGGGAAAGGTGACATCCAATGGGATGTAAGCCATATTTGCCTTGAGGATTCCCAGGAATGCTGCGACTGCTTCGCATGATCGCTTCGAAAGTACCGCAATCACGGTCTCTGCCTCAAGGTCCAGCCCGGTCAACCAATCCGCTATTTTTTCGGACTCGCGATCAAGCATGGAATACGACCATTTACCCGAATTGTCTTTGATGGCTGTTGCGTCGGGTGTTGAGTTTACCTGCTGGCGAAAGAGATCGACTATACTTGAGTCACGGGGATAATCAGTGCGCTGGATCTCGATCAATCCCATGTGTTTAAGTGCAGATGTTCCGTCCTGAAGAGGTATATTTTCAATCTGCGTGTCAGGTTCGTTCAAGCCGCTTTTTAGTATCTGATGGAAGGTCGATACCAAAGTTTCAATTGTCCGGTGATGAAAGAGATCTGTGGCAAACAAGATCTCACCATGAAACCCGCGCTCATGCTGGTGAAAGTGGAACTCGAGATCAAATCGTGTGACATGTGTGAGATTAATCCTTTCTGACTCCAGACCTTCGAGGGGAACTCCGTCGTGGTGCTCGGGGTGAACAGCAAACACTGTCTGTATCAAGGGAGTTCGAGAGGTCACCCGTGTGGGCTGCAGCTTGGACACGATATTCTCAAACGGCACTTCGTCGTGTGCAAATGCTGCGGCTGCTGTGTCCTTAACCTGCAGAACCAGCTGTTCAAATGACTCTTCCTCGGGTATCAGGATCCGCATGCACTGCATGTTTACAAACAGCCCAATGAGCCCTTCGTGCTCTTCGCGATTGCGGTTAGTAATCGGAGTGCCGATCGTCGCGTCTACTGACCCCGTCATGCGGTAATGAGCTGCTCGAAAGGCGGCTAAGAGAACAATGAACGGCGTTACTTGCAGTCGCCTGCAAAATCGCTGCAATTCTTTGTACAAGTTATCCCCGATACTAAGCTCTCTGACATCGGCAATTCCTGAAGGTATGGGGGGTCGAGGATGGTCGCAGATGAACTCTGCCGGATGGCTGCCTTGCAGTTGACGGGTCCAGTACTCCAGTTGACGGTTTTGCTCCATCAGCTGTTCTTCCTGGCGCTGCCATAAGGAGTATTCCTGGTATTGAATCGGGAGTGGTGGCAAGTGTGTCATTGGATCCTTCCCACGGATCCCAGCGGAATAGAGAGATGTGACCTCGCGAAAAAGGATTCCCAGGGACCACCCGTCTGCAATTATGTGATGCAAGACGATCGATACAATATGGTCTTCGTTATTCATTCGGATTACCGCAGGCCTCCATCCACTCTCGCTGCTGAGGTCAAACGGCGTTGTTTGCTCCCGGCGCAAGGCATCACGAAGTATCTCTTCTCTATCTCCTGCAACGCTCTCGATATCTAGTAGCCGGATCTTTTTCGGTACAAAACGATGAATTATTTGCAAATGAACACCGTTCCGTTCTTCGAATGTCGTTCGCAGTGTCTCATGACGTTGTTCAATTGCAAGGAACACGGCCTCGAGGACGTCAAGCCGAAGCGGCCCTCGAACCCGGAAAGCAAGTGGTATGAGATACCAGCTTAGGTTTGAATGTAGCTGCTCCACGAACCACAACCGCCCCTGTGCAAATGATTGCTCTAAAGTTCCATAAGGCGAGTGGTGCGGCATCTCGGAAGAAGAGCCCGTCATTCCGCCCGATTGGCGAATGCGTATGCTTAACGAGTGTGGGGTCAGACATTCTAGGATGTCTCTGAAGGTGATGTTAGTGCGGATTTGTTGTCTAATTCTGCTGGCTGCGCGAATAGCCGTGACTGAATGTCCTCCAAGGTTCAGAAAATTGTCAGAGATCCCAACTCGGCAAGAGAGCACCGTGCTGAAGGCTTCGCAAACCTGCTTTTCGATTTCATCGCTTGGCTGCATATATTCCGTTGGCATATAGGATCTATCGATTTCCATTGCCAGTAGTTTTGTCGCCCTCGATGCCAACTCCCGTCGATCAAGCTTGTTGCTGGCCAGCCGAGGAAGACCGTCGTCTACCTTTATGATATATCCAGGGATCATGTAATCAGGCAAGCGATTGACCACGTGCGATTTGATTTCGGCCATGGTATGTGACCAGTCATTATGTGCAGCATTTTGGACAACTGTGCAGGTTGTCTTCGTCTCAACAAATGCAACGAGGGTCCCTCCGTCAATACTCTCGCCTAGAACAACAGCGCAATTCTTGACTTCTTCATGTTGCCCAATCAATGCCTCGATCTCGAGGGTCTCGACCCTTTGTCCGCGGACCTTCACTTGGCTGTCTATGCGCCCCAGATAGTCAAGCATGCCCTCGGGGAGGAATCGACCAAGGTCTCCAGTCCGGTACATTTTCTGGTCGTCATCACCGCTGAAAGGGTCCGGTATGAAATTGGCAGCAGTGATATCAGATTGTCCCAAATAGCCTCTCGTGACCTGAGGGCCACCGATACAGATTTCTCCGACTTCCCCTTTCGCGACTTGCTCCAAACTTCCAGGTCCTAGAATGTATATCCTACACAATCCATACGGACTACCAACCGGAATTGTTGATCGAACCTGATCCGCCAGTGATACTCTGTATCTCGTTGCCACGATGGTTGTCTCACTCGGGCCATAGCCGTTGTACAGGCGGCATTCACTTGGGACTCCCCCTATGAGAGACGGGTGGAAGGATTCTCCGCCAAGCATTATCGTTGTCAGGTATGGCGGGACCCGACTTTCCAGCAAGTCTGCTATCAGCGGTGTGGTTATCAGATGTGTTATACTCGTCATCTCCAACCATTCAGGTAAACGCGAGAGGATCTCTGCGTCTGGACCGAGAGTCAAACGTCCGCCCCGGCTCAGGGTCATGAATATATCTTCCTTAGCCATGTCGAACGTCAGGTTCGCCAATTGAAGCCCAATGGTCGTCCAAGCCCACAGGGATTCCTCTTCCTTTGGTTGCATAAGAGCCACGAGGTTGCGATGCTCGACCATGATACACTTCGGTGTTCCTGTTGTCCCGGATGTCGTTTGGACAAACGCCAGCGACGAGCCAGACACACACACCTTCCTAGAAACGGAAGTTCGGTGCTTTCTCTCCGTCTGCGTCTGCGTCTGTGTCAATTCGCTCACTGTGACAATTAAAGCCCCAGACCTTTCCGCAGCTTCTTGCAGCTCCACGGTGTGATTCTGATCACCGCACAGAATGACACACGCTTTCGTATTCTGGAGTATGCTTGTGATCCGATCAGTCGGATGGCTAATATCGATGGCGACGAAAGCAGCGCCGGCTTTTAGAACAGCAAACATGGCTATGATCATCGCAATTCCCTTTTTGAAGCAAATTGGGATGATGATTTCCTCGTGGGGCATTTTTGTACGGACGCCATCAAGCCAATCTATGAGGGCGCCAGCGACTTCGTTGCAGCGGTCGTCTAATTGCCTGTAGGTCATGTATTCGGATCGCTCGTATTGTAGAGCAATTTTCTGTGGTATTCGTTTGGCTTGTTGCTCCAGAAAATGGTGCGCGCACATGTCACTCTTATGCATGGCTTGCATTTGACTATTTCGGAACATGTCGGGGTAAGCCTCCTGGCTTGGGTCGATGGTCCCAGAACTTGACTGGCCTGTGAGAAGATTGAGATAATCCTCAGCTTGTGGGCAAACAGAAAGAACGTGTTGTACCGCAGCTGCAAAGGTATGGTTCTTCAAATTGCTGTGAGCCTCTTGCAACCATTCGACCATTCCACAAAAGAACTCCTGAAGAGCCACGATGGTATTTTCTGCGAACTGTTTGCGGTGGTAGCGAATGGAGACCAGACAGGATTCATGTCCCAGGGGCATAATCTCGACGGTCAAGGGTATGTCAGACTCTGACTTCTTGCCATCCCAAATCCAGGAACCCACTCTGGTAAACGCAGGCTCATCTGCATGACAGATCAGACACACTAGATGCCGCTTGTCTAACTTCGGGAACAAAGAGCGTATCTGCTCCGGCGAGAAGCCATGGCCGATGTCAGTTTCTGAATTAAGCTCCTGGGCAATGTCATATAGAGAAGCATTGCTTGCGAAATGACACCGCCGAATCTGCGGCACCGAAACATGACCTAGCACATCCTGGTGGACTGATGGGAGAAGCTCTCTACCTGACATCAGCTCAAAAAATGTTGCGTCTTGAATTTTTCCGAGTGTGCACATTGACATAAATAGTGCCAGTCGAGCCATCCATGCAGGTACTGTAGCATGATTGTTATCTCCGCGGAGACTTGCTGTCACTTTGCGAATCTTCTCTCCGTGTCCGAATCTATTTTCGAGTGCTATTTCGTCGGGGGAGAAAGGAAGCGACGTTATTCTGGAGAACCTCTCTTGCAACCGAGCCTGGATATCTCGACTACATCTATAGGCCTGGCCCTTGTGGACGGCGAAAAAATCGGACCGATCTTGAACGGAACCAGGTGTGCTTAATTCGCCCTGCAGGTACCGCACCAGTCGGAAGGCCGATGTCTGGTCCAAAAGTGCCTGGTGATAGCTCAACGTCACGCGGGATCCCTGCTTATCTGGTATAGAGGCGACGGAGATCTTCCAGGGCATCTCTTTACGCCACTGTCCAGCTGTCGCAGACCCAGGGGATCCCAAGACATCAAATCGAACATGGATATCGTTGGATTCCAGGCCCAAAGGGGAATTTTCTTCAACAAAAGTGACTGTCTGTCCAAGGTAGTCGCTGCCAAGGACTACCATAGCGATATGGCTTGCCTGCGGATCACTGCATTCACTCCAACAAAAGATGGTGCGTAATACAGCATGCTTCAGCGCCAGGGCATGAGCGGCACGCTCTAATTCTGCTGCCTGGACGGTCTCACCAGTGGTGAAATGCTGTGTTTCGAGATAGGCCAGATGGTTTGGATCGTTCATGCTTGCAAGAACCATTTCTTCTTGCAGATTGGGAGCCTGGTGGAAAGCTTGTACACCGCTTAGTGGAACGCCAGCATTGTCGAGGGCATTTGCTGCTGCCTGGAAAAGCAACCGGGATCGTGCAGTTGGTTGGATAAGCTGATTCATCATGTCTGCGCTTTTCTATACAATCAAAGATAAAAAAGAATGTCGGGATGAAAACACTATTGATGAGTCTAATATTACGAGGGGATAGAAAAAGGACGTGTGTGTGCAAGGCCTTTCAAAAGCATATAAAGTCCCCCTATATGCAGACGCTACGACCGTTACTTTGTGAGCAGACGTGGAGAAGCATCGTACAATGTCCCCTCTGGGAACGGTGTGAGAGCTACGGTTCGTATATGCACACTATCCTTGTCGTGGCCGGCTGTTTCGGCCAAAAAGCGTCTTGACCCTGTTTCTAATCAGCATAAATAGGGCACTCTATGGGCGGAGTTAACGGGAATCGATGTATTCGATATACGTGCGGGTCCATGTTCGGTTCCACGATATTAGTCTGTCAGCCACTTCGTATAGGATTTATGCAACCCCTAGCTCAATAAAGCATGGCATTCCGAGTCCGTGGTCTATATATGGTATCATCACGAGTATGGCGGTTATATTCACGCATTTTGAGACATGAATAAAGATCGAGAAACGCAACACTGTCTCCCAGATCCAGCAGCTGACCCTCCTGCAAAGTTCTCGCTTTTTCAAATCGTCACTATTCTAACAGCTCCGCTCACCGCTTCAATGCCAACCCTTTCCGGACTCTATACCTCGTTCTCTGGTCGAACGCTGACCATCGATGAAGGAAACCGGCTTATTCTCCTCCCGAAGGATGGTCGGCCTGATACCATCGACAGTCTCCGAGCGGATGGCGAGTTCTGGCTATGTCGCAATGATGGCGTAGGTGATCCCACCGCACTCTGCGCTTGGAATACATTGAGCTGATGGCCTTGTGGAATTGGTAGTTGATTGGAAAGTTCGGGAACCCTACCAAGGTGGGCAATGCTACTCCGGAACGTGGTTGAATGGCTGCTAACATTTCGTTTATCCACTCCAGATTGTTTTCCAGGACCAGGATCAAGGATATCATATTTGGGTTGAGCCGCGTGGCTTCAGCGACGGAGCAAATGAGGTACGTAATCTGCGTGCCATATCCTGGACTAAGTTTGCTGACGCGTGGAACTTTGTACGAGCATAGTATGGCCTGATCCCCATTTTGCCCGGAGGAGAATACAGCAACCGTTTCTTGGCTGTCAATGATGCTCTTGACCGACTGGAGGTTGTCGATTCCTGGACACGGGAGGCGATGTTCCGGTGTGTAGAGTAGCCACCTGGGCTCAGAGTCATGCTACAGCTCGGCGGATTTATTCTTGCTCCTTGTCCAAGACACTCGATTTTGCATTGTGAATATGAGATGAAACTTGCTTTGGCTGCCATTGTCTCATATTGTTGGGGTTACGGTCCTATAGGTGGTGCAATCAAGGTTACATCTGACGGCGCCCAGTCCGTGCGCCGACCACGCATGCATGTCTAAGCAATTCTCGGAGAAAATCCTACTGGATGGATCGAGTGCACAGTAACCTATCATAATCTCCACCATGGATGAGATGACAACGTCTGTCCAACGTCTGGCAAAGCGAATGGCATCGGTTGTCTGCACTTTTCCCCGGTGCGGCTGACAAACGAAAATCATGATGCTCATTTTAGTTCCAGCTGTCTAAAATCTCCGACTGATTTCCGTGTTGGTCGTACCTAACGGGTGTCGGATTATGTCCCCGATGTTTCACAACGTTCGGGGCTTGAGTCCTGTCAATAAAACGGGCGTGGTCTTACTAAACTACGCTGCGTGTGGTATTGCAGTGTTCAATGATATGCATTCGCGATACTATCTCACTACCTCGACACTCAAACCAATACACATCCATATGACGTCTAAGGTTAGCAAAATGTCTACTCCAGTGACTTCAGAACATCCTTCTGCAACAGCTGCTCGGTAAACTCCCAGATTTGGGGGGTGTTATGGGACTCGAACGTTGCCCCGGTGTAGTAGGTCCGTCTTTCGCCCTGTAGGGCATTGAGCTCGCGATAGAACCCATTCTTGACTGCCTCCGCAGAGACACTCATCTCATAGGGGCTGTGATTACCGAGAGCCAGGAATTCGGGGTCCGCGAAGTCGACCCCACTCCTGCGTCGGATGCAGTCCAAGTCCTTGAGAGCGCCATCTTTCCACTCATCCTCCGACAGAGGCGTCAGACTCGCATACTGGACAATCCTCAGCTCGGGCACCTCTGTCGCCTTGAGGATGATCATCCCCGGTAAACGAGGCTGCATAGCCGGGTTATCTTCTGTCCGGTTCACGTAACAGACGTCAGCCGGCAGCCCATGGATGCGGACCAACCCCGTATAGAAGTAAAAGTGGCTGAATTGTGCAAACAATCTCCGCTCCGTCTCTCCGAGCTTGAAACACTCCAGGTTCTCGAACGTCGGGGGTACCGCGACAATGATTCTCTTCGCGCGAATCAGCTTCTCCCCGTCCTCTCCCGCCGTCCTGACTCTCACATAAGCAGCGTCATCATCATCATCATCATCATCATCATCATCATCACTCTTCTCCCTCTCCCTCTCCACCCCCACAACCCTACTCCCCAACAACAACACCTGGTTTCGCTTCAACTCCCCCTCTGCCCTCTGATACAAAACCCCATTATTCCGATCCACGGGTCTCACAAACCCCGTTACGCGATCACCCTCCAAAACCTCCGCATTCGCATACTTCATGACATAAAGCGTCAGCAACCGCGGCCAATCCCCCAGCGGCACGACCGTGATCCCCAGATCATCCGCCGCCGCATGCAAATCATACTTCTCCCAGAACTCGCCGAACGGGAGCAGCAAATCCTCCGGCACGGGGTCGGGCAACTCAAACCCCGTCTTGAGGAAGGGATACCGTGCCAGCTGTGCCATGTATCGTTGCATCGCGACCTCGGACTCCGCCTGCGGCAGGGGTGGGATGATCGCCCCGGTGCGGAAATCGAACATGTCGAGCTTGTAGCCAAAGTCGGTGCGACTGAGGGGGATGTTGAAGTGCGCGAAGAAGGCCCGCACGATCGGGAGGTTCTGGAAGTAGGTTACGCCGTAGTCGATGGGCTGGTGGCTGTTGGAGGGGCATGTATAGGTGGTCGTTTGGCCGCCGAGATGCGGTTCGCGCTCGATCAGCGCGACGGTCTTGTTGTGTTGGTGGAGCCGGATAGCGGCGTAGGTGCCTGCCGCGCCGCCGCCGATGATGCAGACATCGACATCGTGGGTGATGGGGGTAGTTCTGGTGGGGTTTGGGGTTGGGGTTGAGGTTGTCGCGGCCATGGTGGTGGTGGTGTTGGTAGCTGTGACTTGGAAATACGCGGTGGCAAAGAAGACAGATGATGATGACGGTGGGGGGATGTGTCTTGATCTGGTTGGGGTTGTATCTGCGGAGGATATTTATATTTGAGACTTGTATACTCGAAGACGCTGGTTGTGCTTGGTTACGCTGGAGATGACTGCATATACGAGTGGACAGAGAAGCGCCATTTATGTCATTGGCGGATGGCTACTTCGTACAGATGATGGAAACTGGAATATTCTAGTTTATGGACTTTTTGCAAACAAGAATTTGTATGCATGTTAGCTAAGTTGAGCTACAGCAGGGCGCTGGAATAGGTTGCATCCTTAATAGTTTCCTGTTTTTCTCTAATACGATTGATTTGGGCCAGGAAGGGGGAGTGTACTTCCGATCGCTCTAATCCTTGTTGCTACTAGACAATGTCTTGGATAATGCAGTGTTCTGAATTCCTTATACTTTCATTTCCATCAATTCTGCCAAATTCCTTGGCTGTTCGCTTCCATGATCGGGGGTTTCGGGTGAGTTTCGAGTGTGAAAACTCCCACCTAATCTAATGAACTTCATAGCCCTCTGGGAGGTAAAGTCTCGCCACTATCGCGGATCATATGAGGTTATGCACATAATACTGTCGTATTTAGCTTGTAAAGAGGGCTTCCGATACGATGATGTCCCGGGAGTATAATCACTCATACGATCATTATTAGAAGTTGTGATGCGACACGAGGCGCAAGGGGCGGGCTGGTTGTTCGTAGCTTACGGTTTTCTGAGAAGCATTGTTGATTGAGTTGGCTTACTGACTGGGCTTTCGTTTGGAATGACCTTTTGATGCGGTAGAGAGAAAAAAAAGATGACGATATCTGGATGCTTTATTCGGAGAAGTTGCATGGTTGACTCCCGCTTTAGAACCGCGGACCGCCTCGGGGCCATATCATTTAGCACTAACCAGTTCGAGCTAGTCATAGAGAAAAAGCCAGATGGTCTTTCTTCTCTTCCGTCCGCGCCCAAGACGAAAAAGAAAAAGAAAAAAAGAATGCCTCCACGCGGGATTGAACCGCGGACCTCTTCATGACCGGTATACGAGTGAAGCGCTCTACCACTGAGCTACAAAGGCCGTTCTTGTTGTAACTCAGCTCTGTCTACGGATTCTTCACCGCGTAATAGGTTTTGCTCAATTGATTCTCCCTCCTCAAAAGACCGAAGATCAATTTATACCATTTAGAATATTTCAAGACTAATTACGCATTTTTCTTAGGCTCCCGGATTAAGCCAACATGGGTATGAATGCCCTGACCACCGTACGGCTCCATGCCAATCGATACTCCCTCGCCAACTTGCTTAAAACCGTTTCGTTTGTATAGCTCGATCGCAGGGCCCTACGTCCCGTCAGGATATATAGAGTCGAGACCTCAATGAGACAACTTACATGCAAGTCGGTGTCCAAATAACAAGCAACGCCCTCTCGATCAGCCTCCTCGAACGGAGTCCGGATCAGTTTCGATGCTGCGCCGTGTCTCTGGTATTTGGGGTCGGTCGCAAGATTTCCACAGTCTATACATAACTCAGAACACGGCCACACTTATCCGAACCGGAAGGGTTCTGTACTTGTTTCGCCACAAGACAACTTTTTTTTCTCTTTCTTCTCTTTTTTTTTTTTTAACAAAAATAAGCGGGAAATACATACACCAATTCAACCACCTCGGGACACCCAGAATTCCCCTCCTCATTTCCTCGATCTTCGGCATCAAATCGTTCATGTAACTTGGCGGGCCCTCGGGGGCATCCACGGGCGGGAGTGTTTTTCTGCGCTCCTCGCGAACCCGCTCCTCCTTCTCCTCGGTGACCGGGAGAGCCCAACTGATGAAACTAACAGAATCACCAGATTCCAGATCACGGATGACCCAGTACCGTCGGTAAGGATGTGTGAGATCACGCTCGAACATCGTCGTCAGAAAGGCGAGTTGTTTTTTGGTCTCCTCTTCCGACGGCGTGGTCACCTTGCCCTCATTTTTGTCGTCGATGGAAGTCGAGAGGATCCTGGCGAGAGAGGGCGCATCGCATAGAGTTGGTTGGACGGGATCGGATAGTCGCATCATGGTGAGATACTCCGCGGTGGACAGACAAACGGCCGATGTGGTAGATACTAACCGTCAACGTTGCGCGTATGCTTGTAGCGGGGAGAGAATTTGAAGGGTTACACGGGTGCATTTATGTAGAGTACGCCGTTGTCTTATGTGGTGGCCTAAGCTCTAGTGCTTACATTTGCTGCATGGCGTCTTCCATGGAAGGGGTGACTGACTATCTTATCATGGCTTGGATTCGTCTGACCGTGTAGAAATTCCTTAGGCTAAGATCCTGAGATCCGAAAGTCAACTAAGATATGTAGCTAGCGAAATAGAATTTGAGTCATAGTAGAGCAGGTAGATAAGCCGGGAGGGGTAATCTTAGTGCATTCGCGTCTAGAAAATGTCGCCTAGAATCTAGATAGTGGCTTGATTTAGATAAGCTTGCCATCGATAAAATCAACCACTTGGACCTTGGCCAGATGCTCTTCCACATTCTGCACGACTCCGATGTGGGCTGGGTCCTTGTGCACGAAGTAGTCGCGGTCTTCGGTGTTTTCGAATACGGAGACGAATGCGTGGCTGATGCCGTTCTTTACGCATGGGTTAGTGAGGTGTGGCTTGATACATTAATGGCATTCTGTTGAAAAAGACATGTACCTGAAGGCTCTCGATCGAAACATCGGCGCCGGCTTTCATGGAGGCAATGTAGGGCTTGCCGGTCACGGGATGGATGCAGTTCCCGCGCAGCGCTTTGACTTGGCTTGCCACCTGTGTCAGAGAAACAGAAGGAGAACATTATTAGTGCCGAGTTTTGTAATTATCATTAACGAAAACACTCACATTCTCCTGGACCTCGGCGGTGACCTCGGGTTTGAATTGGAGGAGGACGATGTGAGTGACCTGCATTTTTGCTGTGGTTTGCGTCGGCCTGGAAAAAAGACAGGAAAATGATTCAAATTCCGTTATTCAGCGGAGAGATAGTGGCTTCAATTGAAATGATATTTGGACACTCAATTCTGGTCCAGATAGATACTTTAAATTCCCATCCTGCACCATATTTCCACACCCGGTCTCCGTCACGAATATGCCGCAAGATCTGATCTGTAAGCAGCATAGATATTTCTCGACGCGATTATGGGTCGGTCTCCGGATGACGTTCCAGAAAAAAAAAAATTAAGGGCATCAGACACCAATTATTCACTGAACTGAGACAGTACTAAGTGAAGTAGGGGGCATCTGGCCAGGGCTGTTGGGTGCAGCGGGATCTAAACCCCTTCGGGCAGGGCACAGACAGAAGCTTAAAGCAGGGACATCACCTTCCCAAAGTCCATTTCTTCACGGTTCTCAGGACCCATGGGTCAGCATTATCCATGACCTTAATTTTATATCGTCCCGGGGCTTAGAAAGCAATTCCAGGTGGGCCCATTTGCCCCGTCGGGATGTCTCAACCCCACCCGAAACCGTTCCACCCAAAGACTGGCGATACTTCTGATGGGCTCAAAAGGCAGGACTGGATCCATCCGTCCCACGAAAGTGTAGTGGATACTGGATTAAACGGATCCCCAACAAGAGCAAGACCGATGATCTCACACCGTCACAAAATGCATTTGTCATCGGTAAAACGGCATTTGTCATTTCTATCACGTTCTTGCTCTTTCGTGCCTCGCGACTTGCCAAAACCCATATAACCTCCCAGCAACCCCCTGACCTAACCCGCACCCAATTCACTCCCCTCCACCCACACAAAAATTCCAACCCCCACTATGCCTCAGAAAGCCATCATCGTCACCTCCCCCAAGCAGGGCGGCCTTGTCACCGACCGCGCCATCCCCACCCTCCGCGATGACTACATCCTCGTCAAGACGGTCAGCGTGGCCCTAAATCCCACAGACTGGAAACACATCGCCTTCCTGGCGCCCGAGGGCTCCCTGATCGGGTGCGACTACGCGGGTATCGTCGAAGAAGTCGGCAAGAACGTCAAGAAGCCCTTCAAGAAGGGCGACCGGATCACCGGGTTCGCCCACGGCGGAAACGCCGTGCAGCACGAAGACGGCACCTTCGCCGAGTACATCGTGGTGAAGGGCGACATCCAGATCCGGATCCCGGACAACCTCAGCTTCCAGGAAGCCGCAACCCTAGGCGTGGGCATCAGCACCGTCGGCCAGGGACTCTACCAGAGTCTGAAGCTTGCTCTCCCCACCCAGCCCACCAAGGAAGCCACCCCCATCCTCATCTACGGCGGTTCCACCGCAACCGGTGCGCTGGCTGTTCAATTCGCCAAACTCTCCGGCTACACCGTCCTGGCCACCTGCTCCCCCCACAACTTCGACATGGTCAAGAGTCTCGGCGCCGACGCCGTCTTCGACTACAAGGACCCCAAGTCTGTCGACGAGATCCGCAAGTACACCAACAACAACCTGAAGCTGGTGTTCGACACGATCTCCGTGGAAGCGAGTACCAAGTACTGCGACTCGGTGATCTCGGACGAGGGAGGCGACTACAGCGCGCTGTTGGCCGTGGGTATCGAGCGCGCGAATGTCAACGACCGCTGGACTCTGGGTTACACTATCGTTGGCGAGGAGTTCGTGTTCGGCAGCACCCCCTTCCCCGCGAAGCCCGAGGACAAGGAGTTCGCGGAGAAGTTCTGGGCTATCTCTGAGAAGCTCCTGGCGGAGGGCAAGATCAAGGTTCACCGGCCCAGTGTTCGTCCGGGGGGGTTGAAGGGCGTTTTGGAGGGGCTGGAGCTTCTCAAGGCCAATAAGGTTAGCGGCGAGAAGCTGGTGTACAATGTTTCCGAGACTCCTTGAGTGTTTGTTGATACGTGAGACCGTTCATGGGCGGCTTTTTTTGTATGTATGTAGTATTATTTTATTGATTGATTGAGTGTTACGAAGCAGAATGAAAGTGATTAGTGAACGTATTTTCTTACCTACTTTATGCTGCATGCTACTATATTGTATGTTGGTCGACTTCAAGGGAGCGTACTCTGCTGGAAATGGATGCATCCGATGACCTTACCCGTCCATGGCGCATTCATCTGACTCCCGAGAGTCATGATGACGGAAGGGCCGGAACAATGGCCCAAACTTGCAGAAGCCGCCGCCGTCTTGGCGCGGTGGGCCGGGCCCGCCCCGGCAGAGCGGACACTAAACCCCATCCGGCGGTGGCTGGTGGAGTGCCAGAGACGGGATTCATTCAGCCACTACAAAGTGAACGCTGGATTGACTTTGCCACAAGGGGATTATTCTCGCAGGGTAATTTTTGGGAGAGTGAAACCAGTCGAAGACTTGACGCGCCCCTCAGAAATTTTACGGAGCTACAAGGAGCCGAGGATGAAGGGTGGAACCAAGACCAAGTAGAGTGAATATCACGAATGACACTGTACTGGATTGTTGATAAAGAGAAAAAAGCATGAGTGGAAATAGGACAGGAGAGGAAACACTTCAAGCTCAAACATGGGCCTAATGCCCCATCGACAGATTGTGCATCGCACACCCTCCAGCCCTCCTCAAGCTGCAACAATTCGACTCCGGTAGCGGAGAGTATCTCCCATGGAAGGGATTCTCGACCCAGCTGCCATGAACTAAAGATAGAACAATAAATGTTCTACCAACTCCCGGGCGGGCATTCTTCATCTTCTTCTCCTTCCTCCTCCGCTCCGCTTTGGCCTCCTTCTCTGCCGCTTTCCTCGTGGCAGTGTCCTCCTGAATGGCTTCCCGCGCCGACTTCCACCCCCGTACTGCTTCCTTCAAATCATCTGACCCTTGCCAGGATTCTTGTCGCACAAGGCTTTCAACTCACCTTATTCTTCTCGGACACCCCGCTAGTACCACCGTCGGGTTCGACAGAGTCAGGGACACTCCTTTTCCGTCGACAGTGAAGCCAAGCTCCAGGGCCTTGTTAGCCCCGATGGCGTACGGGACGTGTGGTTTCTGATCTTCGATTTTCCGGGCTGTCGCTTGCAGCCCGGCTTGAAAGACCCCGCTGTTGAATGTATGCTGTGAATGGCCTTATTTTGACAGGTGGGAAGGCATTTGCTTGGCTGTCCGGGTAAAAGCGCAGTATTCGCTGCAACGTCTTGCAATGTCGAGCCAGTGAGTCTGGGAACATTTATCAGTAAGCGGTTTCGTTGAGTTTTGTCTTCGGCATCGGCCGCCTCGTTCAAGCATCGCCATGTCTCCAATTCATGCGTGGCAGACGAGAGTTGCCACTTTGACCATTTCCATGAAAGATCCAACAAGATACTATCCTCGAGGGCTCAAATGGTATGTCGAGCTTCGTCAAAGTAGCCCTTCCTGAGACCTTTGGGTCAAGTTGTCACGAAGCTCGACAACACCTTCCGCGATGGCCAAGCCTTCAGCGGCCGCCCGCGTCTCTCAGAAAACCGCGTAGTCTCCGAGTCGATTAAAGAAGCGGCACTGACGAATTCTTTCGCCCGTTTTGAGACGGTCGAATAGTCGACTGAAGTAATCTCCAAGTTGATGAACGAAGTGCTCAAGCTGATATTTTCCGACGGAGTTTGGAAGATGCCTTTAAGCTCAGGCGTCGAGGGCCCGTCGATCTCGGGAAGCGTTGCCTTCCCTTGTACGGGAGTTGAGTGATGGGGGTATATGTACCCATTTCAGCATTCCAATACTCAGACAGAGAATCTTATCTCTTTCTGGAAGCGAGAAGTGCTCGTTTAGTCTAAATTGTCAGCAAAGACAGGTGAGTGGTTTGGCAATCGCCTACCTGGAGCCCTATCTTCTCACCGAGACTCGTGCATGTGAGGGCGCTGCGTGTACAAGAGAGCTTGATGGTTGATGAGCTTGTTAAGCTTTGATAGACTTAAAATGCGAGAGCAAATATGCTTGGACTCGATGAAATGGCTAATTTTTAATGCGTAACGGGGGCTAAGATGGGCTTCATGTGCAGGAAGAAGTGTACATTTCTATCCACTAGGCTAAGCATCATGGAAGGCCATTTGGGAAGGTGCTGCCTGGTCAATTTCTGCCTGGGCAACGTAATCTCTTCATAACAAAAAGCTCATGATGACGCATCTACCGACTCAGATGGAAGTAGCGGCCGAGTTATAGGGTGGTTTGCTCTCATCAATACTTAAGTACTAGTATTGCTCATCCTTGCGTTTACTCAGTAGTAAAGCTTTTTATCTAGAAGTATTTACTGTAGATATTGATGGGATCTTTTGATATTTCTAAGAACGCAAGTTCAATACAATAACACAGCCCCCGGCAACTTCCAAGAGACAATGAACAGTTCAGAATTAGACTCGCGGCAACAACCATCCCATTTCATCCCAAATCCTCCGACCTAATCAGATAAATCCAATCTCATACACTTTGTGCAACCCAATCCATTTATGCAACTTAAGAGACCACCAAAATTTTTAACACGGCTATCCAGCGTCGACTCATTGTCAGACGATGCCATGTTTTAACAAAAGACTCGAGAAAAAATAATCATCCAACCCATTCAAAACAAAACATTCGCCAACCCCCCAAATACGACGCGACATTCAAACGGCCGCCTCGTCAGCATCCTCGTCCAACCTCTCAAACATTGAAAACCAACATCGCTCCTTCGCCCGACTCTCCAACGCCCACGCATTCTGCCCAGTCGTGCCCGAGACTTCCTCAATCATGTTCTGGAACCCAAAGTCCCGCGGCACCGGCTCCTGCATACCGAGTCTGTCCCGACACGCCTCCTCCTCCTGGACACGCGCCTGTGTGAACTCATAAATGCCATAATAGAAATATTTATACCATTTACGCGCATCGCACTGCACAGCGCAGAAGAAGTACGGGTCGCGGAACGTTGCCACGACGTAATGCAGACTCTTCAGCGTCTTGTATCTGAGCGACAGTTTGCTCAGTCTCGGGTCATGCACTGCGATAGTAGCAGGGTATTGCTCGATAGTGTGCATGGTCTTTCGCTGGTAAGGCGAGTCATACAGCAGTCTATCGGAGGTTTGGTACCAGTGGGCGAACCGGTCACGACGAAGGAGAGCAGCTGTGTTGCCCGGGAGGCCGTCCATGCTGGTTTCGAGAAAGAAATCCGTGTCTGCAATCCAAGTAGGTAAGGAATCGAACAGACGCGTGATTTCCCTATATTTAGGGTTGCTGCTGAGAGGGCAACCGTTCCCTTCAAGGCACCCGTTGTTGGCGATAAAGTTACCGCCGTATCGGAGAAAGTCCCAGCCAGGGGATTTGCGCAGTGCGCGCGAGCTGGAGGTAACTTTGCAAGTTTCGACCCGGGTCAGACGGCAAAACGGGAGAAAAGCTATGATGAAATCAGGGAGCGGATGACCTGGGTATGTAATACTCTCAGTCATGATCCCATCTGCTTCCCATTTCTGCTCGTCACGATCATGCAAACGAATGTTGACCTGGGGTCGGCGATGCTTCGCACGGTTCAGGATGTCAACGAGGGACTGTGCTTTCTGCCAAAGCAGAATAATCTCGCCTGGCTCCTTGGGGTCTGGCGCGTAGATGTTCACGAAAAGCTTGATCTTCTCGTATGAGAGCATCCAGAACCGTTTCCATTTCTTTCGCCCCTCGGGCTGCCTCAGATCCCATGACAGGCGTAGTCGTCGACACCGGAAGGTCAGCCATGGGTCCTCGTATCGAGACGACATGTCTATATCGAACGTGGAGTATAGACGGTCGGCGATGTCTTCGTATATTCCTCGGCATGTTTGGAGGAATGCGGGTGCCCCGTCTGATAGCAGGTTTTCCCAGATCAGGAGGCGAATCTCGACCGGGAGAATCCCGAAATCGCCCATGGGGGAGGCCATCGTCTCTTGTTCTTGGTTATCGTGAATGGTCTCGTAGAGTCGAGGTTTAGAGTGTAAATGGATGGTATGGATAATGTTTTGATGAAGAGGATAGATATATGATATGAATAGAGTACTTTGATGAAGATAGTGCTAAGGATAGTAGTAGAGTGCGAGATGAGAGTGAGAGAGAGTGGAATGGAGTGGGAGTATGTGAGAGAGAGGAGGGTATTATATAGTGTTAAGAAACAGTGAATAGGAAGAACGGGAGTGAGGGATATTTAGTAAGGTGAAGAGGTTTTCCCATTTCTTGACGGATAACAGCATCATGAAGTCATAACAGATAGTTATGAGGTAAATATCGTATAAGGCTCATAGATACAGCTTTACAAAGTTGGAAAGCTAATAAATCACCAGTATCTACGCTAGTTATGGCGGATACTGAAAGAGGAAGGAAGAGGTAGCCACTGGCAGGTGGCATTCACTGACAGGCACACTCTTTCCCTGTTTATCATCTTGTTGTATTCAGGCAACAGGTAGTCGAGTCACGGTATCCCTACCTATACTATAGCTTTGGAGCCACAGAGCTAGCCAAACATGCCAAACCCTTCTGCTTGAGCTTAGTATATGGATACCGTGGCAGCTGACAGGGGCGCTTCGCCACTAAAAATGCATCTGAGATGCATTAGCCCAAACACCAGCGCTTGCCTGAGTTTAGCTTACAGCTGCTATCTCAGCAATCGAATACATAAACCATGTACGCACTAAGGCTAGTAGGTCGACCCCCCCAGAGCTCCTAGGCTATTTAAGCGGCTGAAGCCCGATCATCCCCGGCTGGAGAGCTGCTTCCTCTAGCCAAGGTCTACCGCAGCCACATAGAGAGCCCCCAGCTCCTTCCTTTCCTCGTCATCGTTCACACTACAAGGGCCTTTGACTGCGAGACCGTCGAAGACCTGGACAAGATTCACGAGGTTGAGGAACCGACCGGATATGGTCCCGAAAACCGAATCCTCCCAGGAACCCGGTTCGACTTTGACAAAATCTCCGTCTGGCTCAGGGACATCGGCTCCTTGCAGACGCATTTTGCAAACAAGCATCGCCAGCTAGGCGTTGTCCGGAAGATTATCACCACCCTCAAACGAAGACCTTGGGGGTGGAGGTGCCCACGTATCCAGCAGTCATGATAAACCTTGCGAGGGACTGCCCATATTGATCAGCATCATCAACACGCTCGAGGACTATATCTCAAACCTGGAAGAAAGGACCGGACGCTCATCTCCATCTCAAGTTCATCTCTCCCTCCAAACACCATATACACAACTCGCAAAGATCAGCTGTTCGCCCTACTCATGCACGAAAACGCCTCAGTGAACACCGATCTCGCGCAGTCCAGTGTCAAAATCGCAGAAGCGTCCCAAAGGGACAGTTCATCTATGAGGGCCATCACCATTCTGACCATGGCGTTTCTCCCCGCGTCTTTTTTTGCAACGCTGTTCACGATTCCCACTCTGAATTGGGATGCAGAAGACGTTATATCGGGGAGGTTCTGGGTCTACTGGGTTTTTACAATCCCCGCAACGGCTTTGATATTTATCATGTGGATTATTATAACGAGTGAGGAACCGATCTTGGATTGTCTGAGGGGGTGGTTGGGTACGGAGCCGAAGACGAAAGATGAGGAGGAGGCTTGATCTTTAAAGGTTTGATACAATACGAAATACCTACACTAGTTTAGTATCTTACACAGTTGAACCACATTCCTTCCGCTAAATCCATCCCAATATCTCCCCGCCAAAGTCTCAATCAACCCACTATATCAATCGAACAAATTCCAAAACCGCGTCCACACCCCCATCTCCGCCGCCGATATCCCACGCGCATAGAGCTCCGTCCACTCCCAAAACCTCAACGCATCCGGCGCTCCCTCTGCCCTTTTCCATTCCTCGCGCGGAGGAAACGGCGACTTATCGAGCACCAACCGCAAGGTGAAGCGTCTAGAATCTCTCGTGCTCACGGCATACATCCTATCGGACTGGGTGAGGAGTACCCCTTTCTCAATTCTGACTGTGTACATCTTCGGCTCGAATGCCTTCTCGGTGAGTAGACATTCGTTGATCCTGTAATGCGGCAGTTCGCGACCAGGGATGCGGCGTTTCGTGAGCGTCATTTCGATGTCGAATTCGGTGATTACTTGTGGCTTTCTGGAAGTGGTATGAGAATTGAATACCTGCTGTAAGACTTCGGAACTTGGGAGCTTCCAGTCGAATTCTGCTGCGATCCAGACGTTCAGCTCTTGTCGACATATTAGCTATGGCTTTGTCAGATGGAGATCCTTGAGGCTGCAGGCAGATGATACAAACTGTGCCGGTGCCATTATCGTTGAATTCAATCTGGCTGTGTTCGTTTGAGTCCCAGATCCAGGGTCCTGAGAATAGGATGGATTGGAGAGTCTCAAGCTCGCTCATTTTGGTCGGTTCGCCTTGTGTTCTTGGTGGTGGCCTTCGATGTCGTGGAGGTATTCCACTTGGCAACTTGTTTCGGGTGTCAGGTACGGTGCTGTGGAGTTGGTTTCGGACTGAGGGGTGGTTTGGAACTCACGTACCAGTGTAGAAAGGGATGGTGTGGCCTGATTGAAAACAAAAGAATGACGCTGAAGGTAGCTGGTTAATCGCTCAGCCTTACGAGCTCGGCGGACTTAAAGTAATCTGTTAGCGTTAAAGATTGCTTAGGGCTATATAACACAAGTACAGCGAAATACATATCGACCGGCCTGCTGGCCCAATGGTAAGGCGCTTGACTACGGATCAAGAGATTGCAGGTTCGAATCCTGCGTAGGTCATTTCTTTTTGCTTTTTGGTTTTCTTGCCGGTGGACGGTGGGTGGGTGAGTGGAGCATGGCGGAGTGGAGTCTATCCGGGAGGCCATTGAAGGTGGATGATGAACGCTGATCTGCCTCGGTTCCGTTACGAACATCACTCGATATTGGGGAAATGAAACCTCGGAGTAAATGACCTCCATCACATGGAAGTCTCAGTTTTTTTTTTGTTTGCTTGTGATGGACATAATCGCGTCGATTCTATGTAGAGAAAGCCTTTTGGCTTTAAAGTGTTGATTTAAGGATTTGTAAAGGGCTGCAAATTGATGATCAGCGCATACTTGTTCGAACTATTCGAACATGAAAACGGCGATTTCCTACAAGAGACGACGAAGAAGGCGAAATATGAAGCAATAACAGGCATGAATTCTAATTATCAATATAGCGGACTGGTAGCCTGTATCATAACTTAAACTCACAGCAAGTTCTCAACGAATGACAAATATTAGACAAGTATAATCATGAACGAATGACAGCAATGAAAAACCCCCATCCTTTCCTTCCCTCAATTCCTCAATGAATCATTTTGTTGGATCAATCGATTCCCATGGACGCAAGGACCATCACTCGCGTGTCGTGTATGTGTTGTAGTGAGACGACTTCGAAATGCCTGAGCAGGAGAGAAATGATCAGTGAGATGCATCAAAAGAGAAAGATTTAGAAGAGGAAGAAGAAGAAGAAGAAGAAGAAGAAGAAGAACACACCTATCATCTAGGCAGAGAAGCTGAAGGCAGCAGTAGCCTGCGCCTCAGCGCTAGCAGAGGCCTCAGCACTAAGACTAGCGGCGGCATCAGCACTAGCGGAGGCATCAGCGCTTGCATTGGCGCTGGCATTCGCGCTAGCAGAGGCATCTGCCGAGGCATCGGCGCTCGCATCAGCACTCCCCGATGCATCTGCTCCGATATCAGCTCCAGAGTCGCCGTTGCCGCCAGTGCTGCCGGAAGCCGTGATCGATCCGCTGGCACCGCCGCCGGGGAAACTGACGCTGGTAGTAGCACTGATCCAAGTGGTGGTGGCAGAGGGGACATCAGCAGTGGTGGGAGAGACGCCGACATCGCCGGAGCCAGAGCCGGAAACATCGCCAGAGCCAGAGCCGGAAACATCGCCGGAAGCACCGCCGGAGCCAGAGCCAGAAACGTCGCCAGAAGCACCGCCGGAGCCAGAGCCGGAGACATCACCAGACCCGGAGCCACCGAGACCAGCACCGAGACCAGCAGAGCCGGAGCCACTGAGACCAGCGGAGCCAGAGGCACCAGCACCAGCACCGCCAGTGCCAGTGGCACCGACGCCAGCAGTTCCAGAGCCACCAAGACCAGCACCGAGACCAGCAGAGCCGGAGCCACTGAGACCAGCAGAGCCAGAGGCACCAGCACCAGCGCTACCAGTGCCGGAGCCACCGAGACCAGCACCGAGGCCAGCAGAGCCACCGAGGCCAGCGGAGCCACCGAGACCAGCAGAGCCGGAGGCACCAGCACCGGCAGAGCCAGTACCAGAGCCGCCGAGACCAGCACCAAGACCAGCAGAGCCAGAGCCCCCGAGACCAGCAGAGCCAGAGGCACCAGCACCAGCACCGCCAGTGCCAGTGGCACCGACGCCAGCAGTTCCAGAGCCACCGAGACCGGCACCGGCGCCGAGGCCAGCAGAGGCACCGAGACCAGCAGATCCGGAAGCACCGGCACCAGCGGAGCCAGTACCGGAGCCACCAAGGCCAGCGCCGAGGCCAGCAGAGCCGCCAAGGCCAGCGGAGCCGCCCAGACCAGCGGAGGCACCGAGGCCAGCGCCGCCAGAGGCACCAGCACCAGCAGCACCAGTGCCGGAAGCACCGAGACCAGCAGAGCCGGAGCCGCCCAGACCGGCACCTAGACCGGCGGAGCCGCCCAGACCAGCGGAGCCCGAGGCACCAGCGCCAGCGGAACCAGTGCCGGAGCCGCCGAGGCCAGCGCCGAGGCCAGCGCCGAGACCAGCGGAGCCAGAGCCGCCGAGACCAGCAGATCCGGAAGCGCCAGCACCAGCGGAGCCAGTACCAGAGCCACCGAGGCCAGCGCCCAGACCAGCGGAGCCACCAAGGTTAGCACTGCCAGAGCCACCGAGGCTAGCACCAAGGCCAGCGCCAGCGCCTCCGGAAGCACCAGCACCAGCAGCGCCAGTGGCACTGGCACCGCCACCAAGGCCGAGAGCAGCACCGAGATCAGCTCCCAGACCACCAGAGGCACCGGCACCAGCGCCGGCGCTGCCACTACCGCTGCCACCAAGACCAAGGCTGGCACCCAGGTCCGCACTGCCGCTGCCGCTGCCGCCAAGCCCACCGAGGAGGCTACCAGCGCCGCTGAGGAAGGGAAGAAGGCAGGGGATGGGGAAGGCGGAGACGGTGACCGTAGTCGCGAGGGCGGCGGTCGAGAGTTTGGAAACGCGAACCATTTTGAATTCTGCTTGGTCAGTCAGTGGCTGAACCTTTGCTCGCGGGGGAAGTCGAATAGGTGGGTGGATGGATGGCTGGGCTGGGGCTGAAGTGCGTACCTTGTCGAAAACCGGAATCGAGAAGAAACGAGAGGAGAACAAACTGTGAGAAACTGGAAAAACGGAGAGAAGCGCAGCGCCGCAGGCGATTTGCAAAAGGAAATAAGAGACAAAGAAAGACGGTTGAGGGAGGAGAAGGATGAGGAGAATGAGGATGGAAGAAAAAAGTCACTGGAACGACGGAAGTTCGGTGGCTATATATGCATTTTCTGAAGCATGAGTCGACAGGTGAGAGACATGGTTCCGTGCCCTCGGGGATAGGGGCATGAAACCGCGGGTGTTTGGGTCCAGGCTTCTTGTCAGTGTGATGGTTCTAAGAAAAGCAGCCCGAAGACGGATGCGGTAATGGGTATACGGAAAGATGGGATCGGGAAGCTGCCAAGGTTTGGAAAAAAAACCCTGGGACTGAACCATGAAGGGGCGTCTCAGACGTGCACGGGCGGATGCGAGTGGGGATTTGGCGCGGGATGGATCAGATCGCGTTGCTATACTTGTCTACGGGGTCGAGCTAGGGCAGGCGCACTGTTCACGGGGAACACCAGGCTATCACCAACGGGGATGCAAAGTGCCTATTCAGGAAGGGAATCTCGGCTCGCAGACAGTCCGGCGTCGCTGCGTCGAAACACACTAGACTCCAGAGACCCGGATATCCAGCCAGACTGCCGGAGGGTTGTGCTACGGGGACGGGGAAGCCGGCCAATGCGTGGAAGATGATCGCTCGGGTGCGATGTGAACCTGGCAGGACTCCCGTCCGGTAGACAAGCCTTAATAGAGCCAATTTCGAGTTTGGGTCAGGAACGGGTGGTCTGGGTAGCAAGCGAGATGAAGAGCTGCTCGCTGGTGACCAATTCTGCGTCGCGCCGGATAAAATTTAAAGATGCCTGCTGGACGGCCAGGAAGGGGACGGGCCAGTTCCCAGTGCAAGTGTATCACGATCGAGACCCCTGCTGGGTGGATCCACATTGCCTGTTTTGAATTCTCCCGAATATGGGGGGATCTTCTGCGCCGGCTCAGATCCTTGGTTCTCCCGAGCGTTGCGGGCATTTTGGACTTAGGGCTGGTCGGTATTGTTCGATCGCGTTTACATTTGTTCCTTTACTTGTCTTCTCCAACATCTATCAAAGCCCCCTTCATCATTATCACATTTCTTCTACTCAGTCCATCGCCTGTTGTTGATGTGGATGTGGATGTGGATTCGATGGCCCCGTTCCCCTGATCCCAGGGCGGGTAGAGTTGCTTAGCGGCCGCGGTTTCGAGCCAACCCTAAATCGTCTCATCCTGAAACCCCACCGTTCACGCTCAACTTTGGGGTGATCAATCACAACCATCGCAGCCCTCGGGCCCCTGTCTACCATCCCCCAAGCGGCAGTAGTGTCCGTCGCCAGGGCAAATAGTGCCTGTGCTAGAGCGCTAGAAGCCTCAGGCCCTCCAGCCCCCAAGCAACCGAACCCACGAACCCTGAAGCAGCCTAAATGCCTCGAAGCCCAATCATCTTCCGCAGCGATCGGATGCCCCTGAACTCTCTTCCCTGAATCCATCCTTCCGAAGCTTAGCCCGCAACAGAATCTGGTTAGAGCAGAAGGCATTCTTCCCATTGCTCCCTAGTCGGAAGTCCGTGCCGGCACGGGTTGGGGTTTCTTCCTAATTCCGAGGACACCCACCCCCTGCAGTGGTCTGCACGCCATCCTGCTCGGGTTTCATCGCCCTGCTTTGGGATGGGAGCAGCAGGGGGAAGGCGGGATGTTCCATCCACCGTCCCCATCGCGGAATTCAAGAATAGAAACATCCCCCTCATGTCGTCCCGGCTCGTGTGGTGGGACGGTGATATTGGCTCATGCGATCGCGTAAAACTCCGCGATGGTGGTGGAAAATGATGTGTCCGATGATGCGATTCATTGATGCGAAGAGTCGGTGAGCGGTGGCTTGGATGGGGGAGGTTGCACGGACGAGGAGTCGGGGTGCTTGGATGGCCATGTCTTTGGGGTTTGTTTCATGGGTGGGAACTTCTTACATGCGATCTTGCTGCTCAGGTGCTTTTGGGGATGTAAATCCTGTTTGCACAGACCAACTTCGAGTGCAGGAATTTCGAGAAAAGAGCACGATATGGAGGTGTTATTCAGCGGCGACTCGAAATCCGAAAGAGACCAAGCGGGATAGACTGGAAGTAAACCGCCCAGATCAAGAACTAACTCGGTCCGAGGGGCCTAGATCTCGCGGTGGCAAGTCTTGAGAGGGTCTTCGGTAGGGTCAATAGAGATCATCGCGATAACTACCGACATTCAAGTGTCGACCCCATTTCTAGGCCGTCCCGACGGACTGAACATACATGCTTGCGGCAAACTATACCACCCAATTGTCTGTATCATGGATGGCTGGGGATTTTCGAGAGATCACATTTTTATTTGCTCACAAACCTCTCAACACTGATTCCTGGGTGGGATCGACCATGGTGGCTTATCAATCATTTTGTGTCTTTGGGATTGGAATATCAAGATTTATCCTGCTTATGGCAAGTTATTGACATTTCTCCGGTTGACACTGGGTAGATTTGGTCGCAGACACAGGCAGAGAGACACTCGGGAAGGAGTCGATGGAGATGGATGGGCTTACCAGAACTTACTATTGTCACCATCTAATGCCAGTACCATCGTGAATCTGTGCTCTCTATTGGAGCAATGGATATCTTTACTGGAGCAATATATTTTATGGGATGGATGTTGGTTCCCATCAAGAAGTTCAGATTGCTATCGCCAATCAAGGCAGCCTCTCTCAACAAGCAGTGCATCAAGTAGGGAATCACAGTGATAAACCTCACTTAGCACAATCCGCTTAACTGAAGATAAAATTATCATTTCAGACGGCAATAAGCTAGAAATGAGACTCAGGGGGGTTATGTCTGTTTTTTTATGGTGTCGGAAATATTACAATATCTCGATCATCAGCAGCAGTATCCTTAAGATACCGGTTCCACTTAAATGCAATATTAGTGGCGTGGTCTACCGGAATGTGACAACTACAACGCATAGGTAGGTCTACGGGCTATGAAGTCGGACGCTTAAAGTGCGCACTATCCAGAGTTTGCCTGCAACGCCCGCAGTCAGCCAGCAACAGGTCATATCAAGCCGCTGGATTCAGATCCAAAGGGTAGAAAACAATATTTACAAAGATCCGAGTAGTCCTGGTAAGCTGCTATTGATTCCAGGTATTTCACCTGTCGACCTCCGATGTGGTTGTGGAATGGTGTTGTTGATCTCGGCTTCAAGGAATTTGGGAGGCACAAGCATCAAGTCAGGGTATTCATAACATAGGTAGTGCCGCCAATATGCATCAGTGTGGTAAATCTTGATCTAGGTCTGGGTGAATCTAAATTCGTGATTGTCTTCCCTGGCAAATTACACCTGGATGAAAACTTCTGATGGCTATCTTCAGACTGGGATATATATATGTACAACTGCCGACGACACAGCCACGACAAGCATAAGATAACTTGAATTGAACGAACATCCCCCTTACCTCCATATCAACGTAACTTTGGGCCAGAGTGTCAGTAAAGAGCTGATATTAGAAAGGCTTTCGGATAAAATACCACCTATAACGCATATATCCATGAATATGAACCAACTCTGATGCCAATATTTGTGAGAAAACTTCACAAAACGCATTGCATATAACCCAGCTCTCTCCTTCAACAAGCACATACGACCATAGGGTGTGGAGAACAGGGCTTCCCGTCCGCTCAGCCGTACTTAAGCCACACGCCGGGAGGTTAGTAGTTGGGTGGGTGACCACCAGCGAATCCCTTCTGTTGTATGTTTCTTTTCCTTTTGTCTTTTTGCATTTATAGTCCTTGAAGGACAAAAACCTGCCTGTTTTGACGTTGTTTTTAGAAGGTAGAAGCTATCCCGTCAACCCCTGCAATGCATTTTGCTGTGTCCTCTAGAATCCTCCCTTACTGTTGTACAAATTGCGGGTGGCGCATCCCAGCGAACAAATCATCCGTGTGTATTGCGTGCTCCGTAACACCCAGTCCAAGAATCAGTTAGCGTCATTCTCGAGTGTTCAACCAAGATTGACAGATCCTATGTGGTGGATAAGGCTGTGGAGTCGCGATCTTGCACCGAAATCCGGCCTTGAAGAGAAATTGTATCAGATAATAACGATCTCCCAAATACACCGGCGATCAACAAAGAAATCAAGCATTGATTGAGACAAATGGGAATTTATCTTCAAAATTCGCCCTTTCCATGCCTTTAATTCCTTGCTACTCTCTGCCTAGCATCGCAGACCCGGTATTTACATTATCCACACATCAATCAACCCCCCCGATGACCGAGCACAAGTTCAAGCCAAACCACGAGTGGGTTCTTCTGCCAATTCAAAAGCGAGGCAATGATCTGTCCACCCGCAAACCCCGCCAGCACCTTCATCTGCAGGTTATAACTGGCCGAAAACACATGGCGAATCAGACTCTGCGTGGTCGGTGGCAGCTCTTTCAAGGTATTCGACGTTGCTGTCACAATGGCCAGGGCAATGCAGCCTCCCATGACCCGGAACTGGGCGACGGAGCCCATTGCGACCGCTACAGGACTCTGAGTTAGCGCGTCGAAGCGAGCCAAGATGACCATTTTGGGACAATAGAGGCGGAAAGACCTCCCCCCCCCCCCCCCCCCCCCCCCTCTGGTCTTGCGCTTCGGCAAAGGGCATCATCAGAATCAGCAAGCTAATATTAATCCCGCACCCAAGCCCAGCCAGGATCTGGTATCCGTATTGGCGGGCAGGGATCTCCAACGAGTCATCTAGGGTGCCCAAGAGGGCGAACGCAACCACCCGAACAACGGATGCGAAAAGAACCAAGTAAAGCAGGGGGGCTTTGAACTTCTTCCCCACCGTGACGATTTGAAACCTCTGCGGTAGTTCGAACATGGTGACAAACCATGTTGCGCCTAGACAAATCGCGTTTCTGTTGGAAGCTGGTCAAGGCTGTGGTGACAATTGGGATGGATTTCAAGGTTCGTGAGGAACAAGCACAAGCAAAGTCTTCCCATCGGTCAGTATCGCTCGTGTGGCTGGATATCGTACTCACGCTGCAGTGATTGCATGCAATCGTAGGCCCTGGATGTATTGACCTGGGGGCTCCCCGGATGACGGTGTACCAAGCGGGTTCTCCCCATCTCCATCCGTGATTCTGGGAAGACGCAGGCGGGAAGCTTCCCTTTGGCCGCAGTGCTTCCCCATCACAGGCACCAAGAACAATTCAACGGCTCCTGTCACCACAAGGCAAGAGCCGCAGCCTTGCGCGCCCTAGTCCAGTGGAAATTATCCCAGCAAACCGGCATTATCGATCGTCAATGAAATTAGTAGTGCTTATCCCTCTTTGTCGCCACTCGCCAGTTCGTCTACTGGGAGCGAGTACTGGAGCATAGAACATGCTCCGGACTTGTAAACTAATGGAGGCTGAGCTGAGATAAATAAACCAAACTCAGCCCCTCGCTGCATGTGCCGTTAGAGCCCAAGATTACTTTCCCTCGGACATTTCGCCATGGCTCTCTCAAGTACCAGTTTGCCCGGAGGTATTGCCCTGATCACCGGGGTGAGTTGTCATGCTATGCTCGTTGCCAGCTCTTCTGAGTCCCATAACTCATCCCAGCACAGGCTGCGTCCGGAATCGGCAAAGAATGCGCCTTTGCCTTTAGCTGATCCCTAACATGAGTCCGTTGAAGAGGGTGGCGTACCCGGAGGAGGTTGCTGATGCGGCGATCTTTCTCTGCAGCCCTGCTGCAAGCTTCATTAATGGGACGAGTATTGTGGTGGATTCGGGGTTTACTTTGGGTTCGATCCGGAATAGTATGTAAATGGTGTTGGTGGCAGATGATTCACGATGGATGTCAATCTACACCTCTCCAGTCTGCCCGGGAATGAGGAGTTGAGATTAAGTGTGTCCGAGTTTAAGCCGAGGATATTACTGATGAGGTTGCATAAAGTTTGGATGGGCGGAGGACCTTTTCCTCGTTGTTGTCACTGCCTCCATCGCGCAGCAGCGAGCCGTAGGTTTGTTAATCCATTTCTTGCAGCCAGGCATCAACCGATTTCCGATCAATCTTAGAATTGCCGCTCAGTGGAACAGCCTCGACACCAATCCAGACCGTTGGCACCATGTAGCTTGGCAGGTTTCCTTGGAGCAACCGACGCACCGGAGCAAGCAAGTTCACGTCCAATTCTGATACCATGGTAGGCTTCATTCAGCACGATAATTCTGTTTGCAACGGGGGAGCTGGGCGACAAGACATCATGGGGACTCATCATCGCCACCAGCTTGTCTTTGAGCGGTCCGTGCCGAGGAATGCGCGCGATGGCCTGACGCACTGTTTTGTGTGCCAACATGGCGTGTTCCACTTCGTCCAGCTCCATTCTTTGACCGTGAAGCTTCACCTGATTGTCTTTCCGATCCAGCCTCTTAGCCCAGGCTGGATCCTCGATGTACGCGGCTGCCGTCTTTGCGTCGTCCTTGAGATAGCCACGCGAGACGAGCGGGCCCTCGACAACAATTTCACCCACGCAGCCAAGGGGGACTAGCCTGTTATGATCGTCTGGATCACACAGCCACATTTGACTGCCCCCTTGGGTTTCCGAGGCCTTGTGCACTTGTTTCCCGGGTTGTCGGCGGCGTTGCCGATTCATAGATGGTGGTCTCGGCTGGACCCCAAGTGATGACGAGTTCCAGTTTCTCCAACCAGGTTTGGACGTTGTCTTGAGTGGGTGTCTCACCGAGGACAAGGGTGCACAGTGTTGGAACGACTTCTGGGCGGAGAAGCTTCGCCACCGATGGGGTGACCGACATGAAGTTCGCCTGATATTTGGTGATGGCGCCAGAAAGCTCGTTCAACCTCTCCCACTCAGGTGGCGTGCAGATTGTGGCTCCGCGTTGGAGTGATATGAATATGTCGCCGAGACCAATATCGAATGTGTAGGCCGAGAACTGGAACACCCTGGTGCCGGGATTGACCTTGAACTGTGCACCGTATGCCTGTGCGCTCATGCGCAGATTGCCGTGCTCGACTACGATTCCCTTGAGCCGACCCGTCCTCCCCGAGGTGAAGCTGGTGTACTGCTCAGTTGATCTTTCCAGAAGCCGTCTGACACGGCTCGATCTACTTGAGAGAGATGTCGAATGAAGACATTAAATCCTGGTCCCGCCGGGCATTGCTCACCAGCGTAGATCTTCTCCACTGGCACTCCAGCCATCATACAGAACATGATGGAGGGCCAAGACAAACTTGCGTGCCTTGATATCGATCGCAAAGGAGCAGAGCCGGCCTCCGTACTCAATTACGGGAAGACCGCGTTGCTCAAAGGATATCTCATCGGTGATCGTCTGCCATGTCAGCCTCTTCTTGACCACGACCTGGAGAGACTCGGACGCACGACCGAGGCCACGCGGTCTTTGTTACCACCCAGGAAGATCATTTCAACGACGACAGCATCTGCGTCAATGCCATGGGCCACAATGTTTTGTTCCACCTCACACAGCTCAATGCGCTGCCCACGGGCCTTCACTTGACTATCCTTGCGCCCGACGTAGAGGATAGTGGCGTTTGAGTCATACTTGATCAAGTCACCTGTCTTGTATAAATGCGCATGGTTTGGATGCCCAGACTCCTCGCAAATGTTGGGTTCACGATGTAGGCAGCAGCGGTCTGTTCGGGATTGGCTTTATACCCCCGTGTGACGATTGGACCTTCGACGCAGAGCTCACCCACGCAACCGATCGCCACCAGACGATTGTGGTCATTTGCTTCGGTGATCCATGTCCGGCAACCGAGTCCTCGGCCGATATTGTTCGGAGATGAGATCCCCGGGTGCAGATGCGAGACACTAGTCCAGATACTGCACTCCGAGGGTCCATATGACTGTTTATGGGTTAGCACTGGGGGTGGGGGAGGAAAGAACCACATGAAGAGAGAAGGAGAGGGTACGCACATTGAGGAGTGTTACTCGAGATGCCCAGCGACTGATCGCCTCCCCACCCAAAGCCAAATGCTTCAAGCCTGGCATTTGCTCCGGATCGAGTGTCTCTGCAGTTGTCGGAACGTGGAAGGACCAATTCACTCTATACTTGTTAACTGCGCCAGCGAGGTCGCTCAGTCGCTCGCTCTCAGACGGCACACACACACAGCCACCCCGCATCGATGTAGTGAATAACTTCCGTCCCATGCACACATAGCCTCGGAGTCTTGACGCTCCTTCGTTCGCTCTGCGATCAGTTAATGCACACACTCTTGTACCGTTTCAGGCAGATCACCATTCCATTCCATTATCTCACCGATGTCCTCGGGACTAAGCACTTGTATATCACGAACGCACGTCTCCGGTTGACTGACCAGTTGCTCCACCACATGGTTATACTGGCTAAGCAGTCTGCATATCCCGGTCAGAGATCAAGGTGTGATCATATCGAGCTTCCACGTCAATTGTTCCGTCACTGTGGTCGTAGTTGCGAACGACCAAGGAATCCGTGTAAAAGCCCTCTGGCAGGTCGGCGGATACGATTTCCATGCCGTCGTCGAGTGCCTCACTGTCCCCGATGCTCGGCTCCACCGCAAAACGATGTCCCATGTTGTCAATAGCCGCACAGGCCTGCTTATTGAGACGACGAATATTTTGCAGACCGGTGTGTTCGAATGGAATGAGTGTTACAGCCTGTTGGTGCACGTTGCAAAAGAGAGACGGCTGACCAGCATGGTGAGGAAAGCATCCACTCCTTCTTGGATGCCCGGGAGGGGAGCGTCGCGTCCTGCCGAGAGCTACCCGAAGCAGACTTCCTCGGGCGACTCCGCATAGACCCTGAGAACCAGGGCCCAGGCAGCATTGGTCAGAGCTGCGATTCCTGTTTCGTGTTTCTCGCGATAGGAGACGCCGAGGTTTTCGACAAGCATAGTAGCCGTGGCTTGAGCAAACATGGTGACACAAATGCAGGTCTGAGCATCAGGGCAAAACGCGGTCAGTCGATTAAGGATAGGATCCAGGCAGCAACAGTCTGAAGGAAGTATGGGACACGCTAAAGTTAGAATATTTCAAGCCACTCAGCCTCTGGGTCATATCGCAGCCTAGGGCTGTATACTTGAGTACAGCAGTATACCCACCATCGTGGGACTTAGTAATAGGGCTATTATTATCCCTGAGTTAGGTTAGCCTGAGGCCCCAGAAGTGTAGATGACAAGGCTGGGGTTTACCATTCATTAGGAATTTCGATGCCTATTTTTCTCTTATCTTTTTCCTTGTCTAGACGCCCAAGAGTGGCTGTGTTAACAGAATCCCCGTCGAAGGATTGCTTACGATCCAGGCTGAAACTGTATAGTAAGCAATCTCGGCCCCAACATTAAATCCGCCCTTCGCGCTGTTTTCTGGAGCCTCTGCCCACTGTTTCTAATTCTTAATGCTTACTTTTGACATCGGCAATCTGCTCTGTCTGTCTGTCAACCTGATTTTCTTCCCTCCTGCTCTCTCTTCCTGGACCTCCACAGCGAACTTCCTTTCCCCTTCTCCCTCCCTCATATCCACCCAACCCACCACTCACCATGACAGGCTGCACAACCGACTGGAGCAACGTCACGCTCGCTGCTTTCAACCAGACTCTACTGAACGACACCTCGCTATGTACGAAATGCACCTGCCCGCTCGTCCTCGACGGCGAGCAGCTGTCGTGGGTGCGATACTACCCGAATCTGGCGGGCAACGTCCTCTACACAGCCATCTTCGGCGTCTTCCTCGTGCTGCAGCTCTTCTTCGGGATCTCGCGCAAGACCCGGGGGTACATGATCGCCATGCTTCTGGGACTGATCCTTGAAGTATTGGGCTACATCGGACGGATTCTCCTCCGCTACTCGATGTTCTCTTTCTCGTGGTTCTTGATGTGAGTTCCCTCCCAATCTTACTTCAGACGCTCTCCCCCCCCTCCTCACCCAACTAATAACAATATGACAGGTACCTCGTCTGCCTCACCCTCGCCCCAGCCTTCTTCTCCGCCGCCATCTACCTGACCCTCTCGCGGCTCATCACGATCTACGGCGCCGAATACGCCCGCTTCCGCCCACAGGTCTACACCTACATCTTCATCACCTTCGACATCATCGCACTCATCCTGCAAGCCGCGGGCGGGGCCATCGCCTCCATCGCCTCCGCCTACTCGTCCGAGCAGAGCGCAGGCGTGCACACGATGGTCGGCGGCCTTGCATGGCAGGTGGTGTCCCTGTTCCTCTTCGCCTGCCTGAGTCTGGATTTCTATCTGCGGGTGCGCCGGTCCACCCGCAACGGGCTCCCGCTCAACCCGGCGTTTGATTCCCTGCGCGCGCAGCGGTCCTTCGAGCCCTGGTTTATGATCTCCCTGTGTCTGGCCGGTCTGTTTATCTTCGTGCGGAGCGTGTTCCGGTGTGCGGAGTTGCAGGGCGGGTTTGGCGGGAAGTTGGCCAACGAGGAGATTCCGTTTATGGTGCTGGAGGGGGCGATGATGGTGCTGGCTTGTGGGTTGTTGACGCTCTTTCACCCCGGGTTCGTTTTTGGGGCTCGGGATTGGGCGTTGGCTAAGTGGAAGAGGGGGGCGAAGGGGCAATAGATGGATTCTTTTTCTTTTGTTTCGCCCTTTTTTTTTGTTGATTTCTGGGGTTGAGATGGGTTTTGGGGGTGAGGTGGCGAGATGGTTACGTGGAAGGCCTTGTTTGCTTGCTTGCTTGCTTGCTTACGCGCATTTCCTTCTTGAAAAACAGGTGTTGCTTGCTTACTTTTTCTTCTTTTTCGGTCGCATAGGCTTCGCTTCGGTATTTCTTTATTATTTCTTTTTGTTTTCAGCCTTGAGGGTTGTTTGTGGGAGAGGTGAGTGAAATGACAGCTCAGATGCGAGTGATATAAGGGGTTAAGCATGGACCAGACCTACTCACCAGAAGATGTAATACCTTTGTATTCTTGTTGCATTCCCTACTACACTGGGTATTTTTGAAAAACACCCTTGGAACATGTTCTGATAATGAGACAAGTAATAGAATGATGATCTTTGAAGTTGGGCAATTAATTGTCAATCAAACCCTCATTTTTCTCGGCAGCGGCTTTGGGATGGGAGGGGTGGAAGATGATGATAAAACCGGTGCTTCTCGGTTTCAGAACTGGACTTGTTCAACTTCTATGCATTGCCCACGTGGGAGTGGAGTGCCCCCCTGCGTAAGAATCGGCCAGGGCAATTCCTTAAAGAAAGCATATAAGCACAGTATCTGATTGCTGACGATTACTATAACGTTTCACTTGGAGTGGGAGAATCTGGTGCGTGAGATGGTGTAGTAATAAGATAGTAAGCACTCGCGGAGACATGAGCTGATCAGATAGCTGTGCATCAGACTATGTGTTCCAGCCAGGTTCAAAACTCTGGTTCGGAATCAGTGAAGCATTTTGGTCTGAAAGTTTGTCGATGTGTTGTTTGAGACTTGATCCTAGAGGCTTCCTCCTCTGCATTCCTGGTTAATCGCATTGTCTCCACAGTGCGCAGCCAACACTCAGCCTGTCCGTGCACCTTATTGCTGTGGGGTTTGATGCCTTAGGACTATTGCATGAATGAATTATCTCGAAGTAAACTGCTAGACCTGGATATCACTGTACAATGTTGTTGTTTTCGGCTGTATACTATTTGCTACCACATGGCTGCCATCTTGTACAACGCTGCACAGAGATAAGCTTTGGTGCGACATAACTAAATCCACCCCTACCTTACTTCTTCCTATGCTATTGGAAATATTTCCATCACGGCAGCAAAGAGAATTACAGAACTGTAAGTAATAATCCGGACAGAGGAAAGGAGGATGGTGCCCGAACTCCTTGACAAGCACGGATGTCATCTCCAGTCGATGCAATATCTAGTAATAGGGCTACCAACACACCCATCTCGCTCGATAACAATTTTGCAGAACACCAGAGTCATAGCATTCGCCATCTATACAACCCGATAATACCATGGAGCATCTCCCTCGATAGATGAAAAATCACCTCCGCGTCCCCAGAACAAGATACGCCGTCCACACGACGCGGAGCTTGCCTGTCGGACACTCCTCATCAAAAACCCTCTCCCAGCCAAGCAGCTCCTCCCCCGGATCCTCCGGCGAGAGCTTCTGATCCGACGAGCGAAATGTATTCAAGAAAGCAACAAACCACATCTTATCGACATCAAACGCCCACCCGTCCGCCTCTGGATCCGTTCCAGTGTGATAGCCGACAATCCGCTCGCCGACACGCACCCGATCCAGTCCGTCCGTATGGGGCCCGGCCGGCCAATATTTCAAAAACACCCCCTTATAGGGCACGGCCCCATCCACCGGAGGATTGATATACACCCGGACCGGATCCTCGAACACCTCCTCGGGCAGCGGCACAGAATCCAACGCTCCGCGCCCGACCAGACGGCGCTCCATCGCCCTCGCCGCATGAGCCCGTGTCGCCTCGTCACTGTCCCGTTCACGCTTCTTTAGAACCACATCCTCAAACATCCGCGCAAACGCATCATGCAATCGCTCCGAAGACCCGGGAAACGTCGGCAACCAGTAACTGAACACCGCCATGGTGCCCCCGGGCCGAAGGATCTTTCCGATCGAAGAAACCAGGCCGTCGGGGTCGATGAAGTGAGCGGCCGTGGCACAGATCGCGAGGTCCGTTTCGTTCTCGCCGACCTTTGTGTGTGCGTCCTCCCCTGTTGACTGGGAGTATTCGAATGTCGGGTCAAGACCGTGCTGGGCTGCCCAGGCGGGTAGAAACGCGCGCGCTTGGGCTTCGTTGGATGCGCTGGGATCCGAGTTGTGGATGGTTTTGAAGTCGCGCATGAAGTTCGTGGAGGCGATGCCGGATCCGGCGCCGATGTCGACGAGGCGGTTCCATTGCGCGTCGGCGTGTTGACGTCGGTAAGCATAGATGATCTCGGTGAGGGAGGCTGGGTAGGGCGGACGGCCCTGCGAGTAGGATTCCCAGTTTGTCGCTCCGTAGGCAGTTCTTGTGGTTGGGTCGACGGAGGCCATTTCGGTTGCTTTTGGTTTGTGACAGATAAATGGATGGAAAAAGGGAGGGGGAAATTGGCTGGAATGCTTGCTATATAGGCCCTGGTGGTCAAGGTGTCAGTCTGTTGTTCCGCCCGCAGAAGACTTTTCCCAAAAGGAGTACGTGGTTATCGTCCATCGTCGACATTGCAGAGACCATTGGTTGAATGGGCAATCCGTTCGTATATCTTTGAATATTCGTGTATCTGCAGATCTGGGTGACGACATAACACGAACCACGCGGCTGATGGCCTGCTAGGGCCCGTCTCGGATGACGTCAGTCCGGATGCGCAAGATTTCTCTCATCGCTCAAAGGCTGAGGATGAGCTGCTCGTCGCCACAACCACCACTCCCCACATGGACATTATTGCGAGATATTAAGAAAGGTCTATTCCGTATGCGCCGATTGGTTTGTTCGCGTAAGTGGTCTAACAGTGGATATTGCTAGTGGGGAACTGGATGGGCTTCTGCACTCTACAGCGCGGGACACAGAGTTTTAGGTGCGGGCATCACTGGTCCCCGCAGGGGCAGGATCAGACACCGGGCCACCCGGGCACGCGCTCGTTGGTTTTGGTATATCGGTGGCTGTTGTGGGATTAAGTATAGATATTCTGGAAGCTCTGCCAGTCAGAAATGGGATTTTATAGTTTTAGTGGCTTGTGGCTTGATCCAAGGTCCCCGCCATGTATGCGAAGCTCTGCATCCCGGAACTACTTTCCCTCCCTTTATATACTAAATCTAACAGCAGCTGCGCGGGTGATTAGGAATGAACATTTCAAAGTATAGTGAGACAGAAGTTTGGAAAAAAAAAAAAAAAAAGGCACTGCTACCTGAACTATCGTCATAATCGCAAAGATAATTCAGAAGGAAAAGAATTCCGGACGAAAAAAAAAAAAAAAGAAAAAGAAAAAAGAGAGACCTGCCACCACACCCTCCCGCACAGTTTCGGTGCCTTCGTGTATCGGGATGCCCAAGACCCACACCACCCACCCACTCACTGCGGATAGTGGCAAAAAGACAAAAAGAAATGACCTACGCAGGATTCGAACCTGCAATCTCTTGATCCGTAGTCAAGCGCCTTACCATTGGGCCAGCAGGCCAATTGATGTATATCGCATCAAACTTTGGCGACATAGCCCTGCACTAAAAGCTTACCCCAATACCATCAACATGACTGCATTGAACGGACCCTGCTTCAATAGTATGTGCGAATGCTTTGATCACAGATTCACTTGGAGCATGTAGTTGATGACTGCAACAGCTATGAAATGAGCTATCAACTCGTCTGTGCAAGTCCTCTCAGGGTTGTGATGTGGCGAGTGTTGTGCAGCTTGGTGGAGAGGGAAGAGACGGCCTCGGCCTCGAATTTTCCCTCCATCAAATCGAACCGAGTCCTAGTCGCATGTTTTGTATAATTCATTGTTGGTTCTTTAAATTGGCATATATATATGTCTGTAGGTAGCCTATATGTCGACTCCGTCAATATACCTTATTTACCACCCAAATTATATTGATATAGAAGATTGAAACAGAACAGAAACTCACATGCTCCAAGTTCAAGCTCAATCCAAAAATAATTACCCAAATCCCCCTTCAACAACCGCATTCACGTCCCACAGCACACATCAACACCGTAAAAAGAGATTCTAAACCCCAAAGGCCGCCAACCCCGTCTCCAAATCCTTAAACCACTTCTCCACTGCCTCCGGATGCAACCCCCGCGGCACATTGGTCGTAATCCCCCTCAACGAGTTCCTCACCAAATGAGCACTCTCCTGCAGCTCGTTCCCAAACGCCGTATCCGCCAAGAATCCCGCGCCATTGTCCCGACAAAGCTGCCAGAAGCGGTCACGCAGACGATATTTCTCATCGAAGGACTCCTGTCCGGGCTTCGCGTTCCAGAGAAACGCCCGGACCGGGTCCCATTGCGGGTATGGGACGGCTCCAGCAAATTCCCAGTCCAGGATCGAAGTGATGCGGTCAGTGACGGAATCGTAGAGGATGTTGGCGAAATGCAGGTCCTTGTGGGCTAGGTAGATAGGGGTTGTGTTTAGGGTGGATGCGTGGGAGGGGAGGAGGCCGAGGAAGGCAGAGACTCGGGGTAGGAAAGGGCGGAGGGGGGCGAGCGAAGGGTGGATCTGGGCCACGTGCATATAGGACTTCACGGCGCCGGTTACATAGTCTGCGAAGGTGTCGAAGGGTCCACTGTAGTTTAGGCTGGTGAATGTTTCAGTGGGTGGGAAGAGGGCCGGGATGTCGCAGGTGAACCAGAAGTGCTCGTCCAGAATGGGACCCACTGTGATGTCTCGGGTCTCTGCGTCTGAGAAGGTGAGACCGCCGATCTGCGTGAATGGGTGTTGGTGGAGCTCCGATAGCATCTTCATCAGCTGCAGGAGGATGGAGTCCAGTTGCGTCTCGGTTAGTGTCTCGTAGATATCGGAAATCGCTTCCCCGGGGCACCGGTTGCAGATGAGATACTCCCGGCCCAATTGGTTCGAGGCGGTTACGTCGAACGCTACCACTTCTGGAACGGGGATCGAGGTGTTGTTTTGTAGCCAGGTGAGGATGGCTGTTTCATTCTCGGTTTTGATGCGAGGGACATGGTCACCCGAAATGCGAAGGATCAGGTCGACTCCACTCGAGGGGCCCGATGGGAGGCTGTCGGGGTTCAGACGATGTGCAATCGCCTCGCGGGAGTAGGTGAGCACGTATATGATGTGGAAGGCGGCTGTCACTTTCAGTGGCTTGATGGACAGGGGACGGCCAAGGCCAATGGCTTCGAGAAGAGAAATGATGGTCTCCTCCGGGAAAGGCTGGGGCAGGCTATCGGTGGTGGCACCCATGGTTATATAGTGCGGATTGACTCGGGTAGATCCGTCGTAGGTGACAGAACCCCACGTGGCGTTTGAAGGGTGCAATGGAAACCAAGGCCGATAGATAGTTGGATAGATGTTAAGCCGCTGGGGAACAGGAAAAGCATCATGCCTGTCGCTTGATTTATCTTATGTCCCTTTACCAACAACCCGATATCGGTTCAGGCTGTGTCGAGGGGCGGGAAAGATAAGACAGGCGCTATGACCATTCGCAATCTCCATCCCTAATTTGCCCCCGGGCGCCCGGCGGCTCTTCCCGCAAGGGGGTTCGATGGCAGCTGGTTAGGGCCGATGGCCATAGCACAGGAAGCTATTCGAATGACACCACTATACCCATGGATTGGATCACGCGGGGTTCTGGCAACAAATGTGCCAGTCGTCGGATATCAATTCTCGACTGTGTCTGGCTACTGCTTCAAATATGCCAATATACTGCTTACTGCCACCCATCCAGTTATCTCGAGCCATGATTGAAAGACAGGAGGATTGAGATCTACAACAGATCAGGCCAGGTGGTCGGAAAGCCAGTGCCAAGACTTGGAGGGGCGGAGAGGAGGGCAAATCACGAAATAGGATGCGATTAAACTATCCCACTACTGCCCGTAATTTTTGAGCCTCATGGCAATGGCATTAGTAATTGCGCTGACATTAGGAGTTGCCCCTCTAGATAATCTAGCCTGAGTCTTGCCGGTATCGGGGTTCGCAAGGACATCCAAATTGATACTTAGTGACAGGCTAAGTTTGTGCTCAAATCGGGAAAGGCGGGAAAGTAGTCTAACCCCAGGTTATTTTCGCCACTTTGAAGTGTAGAATAGTTGGGAACTGGAAGAATCCTTCTTGAAGTGACAGGGCGGTGTAATAATTTCCATCTTTCTTGTCTTGGGTGGATCGGTCAGGAGGCCCAAGTATTCTGTCGTTCGGCCTTCTAAAGCCACCTACAGAGGAATTAGGGCTTGAGCAGCACCAGGTGACCAATGGCGGCATCCGTAGTCCAACAACACATGCTCAACGATCCAGCTTCAGAGATAAGAAGAAATACAAACGTACTAGGATATAAGGATACATCAAGCCAGAGCTTTTGCAGATGGTTCAGACCGTCATTCTCGACACCAGAGTGAAAGGAAGCTTGTATTACCCACCTCATCCAAACCAATAGCCGTGGCTAAACACGATGACGCAAGAACCACTGGTATCCTCGCCTCGGACTTTCTTTGTAAGAAGCCTGGTTAGCAATTGTTGGATAGAACTAGGGATCAACAGCTCACGTGTGTCGCCCTGTCATCGGCAGCCGGACCCCTTACCCGTGTTCTGCGATACTCGCCTCATTCTACATGCGATAGACTGGTCCAGTTGGGGTTTCGATCAGGTTATCGCGCGGTGGACTTGGGGAATGGCCATCGCTATGGGGCTTCTGAGTTTTGGGGACAAAGAAAATGATCCTCGGGATCTGCGGGGTTTGCGATCAAGAATCTATCTTGAGAACGATGGTTTCACTCTTCGATGGATTGTCCCACCAAAATGCTTAGTGACAGGGAAGATACAAAGCAGAGAGGCGGAGAAGAGGGGGTATAGACATTTTACAGACAGAGTATCAGAACCACACCCGGCGAATATTGAATTCGAGGACCATCATGCGTGATGTTTGGAGGTTGTGCTTTGAACAGACTGCGAGAGTGATACAGACCAGTTCATATAAAGAAAGGGTCTAGAAAGTTAAATATCCGGTTGGCGATGGAAGTTCTACATACGTGCGATGGTTTTCTTTGTCCCTTCAACCAACGGGTTCGCGGATGACTTGGTCTCAGCCGATTTCCGCTGCACGGGCCCTAACCTTCGCGGGATGATACGTCTAATCAATGTTGCTTGCTTCGGTACTGGGTTTTGATCAGTTTAACCACAAACACCCGACAAAGCGTGTTCTAGACCGATGCGACTCTTCCCTGTGCCGCGGGCGGGCTAAAAGCGGCAAGTCGGGGCAGGGTTCCGACAACTTCTGGGTGCGAGAGGAGCAAGGGCTGCGGAGGAAGGACGAGGCTGAGATAAGTGTGGAGAGAGTGGGTGATAATTGGTCTCATATTGAGTCGGGCATCACCGTTGTGGATTGACAGCTCTCGGTAAGTTAATGCGGTATTCATGGCGAGCTGCCTTGCAACCAGATCTTTGACTGGGGTAGTTTATCACTGCCACATTGGCGATTGGTTCCATCGCGTATATTCGCTCCACTTCTCGAACCAAGAGAGCTTAGTGGACAATCCTGGGCCTCAAGTGGAGGGTTTGTAGCTCCGCACTGGAGATGAATAGCCCCCTCCGTCAGCACTAACGGCGGGCGGTGCTACTGTACTATATCTAGCAGCCAACTAACTCTATGGGTCTGTCAATATAGCGAAAAGCTAAAAGCCCGGGCTGCTCTTGCTCCATGTCATTCAGGGTCAGGGCCACGTTAAATAGAAGCACATTTCCCTCCCATCCGTAGGAGTCATAACATTTAATCCACACACAAACTGAACGAAAGCATGATAGCCCCAACTCCCTCCGAGTTCGACCCTCGCTCCCAACTTTTCCCCCATATTGTGGACCACTATGCCAAGGTCAAGCCAGACGCCGTCTACGCCGAATTTCCTGCTTCTTCTATAAGCGATGAGGGGTACCGCCCGATCACTTACCTCGCCTTGGCCAACGCGATTAATGGCCTCGCGGGGTGGCTGACAGAGCGGCTGGGCCCTGGCCGCGGAGAGATACTAGCGTACGTGGGCCCAGGCGACCTGCGATACCCAGCCTTGGTTCTGGCGGCCGTAAAGGCTGGATACTGCGTACGATGGGATCCCTCTCCGGTGGTGATTAGCACGAGCTGACGATGACCGGCAGATATTCACCCCTTCGCCACGCAACAGCGCGGTGGCCCATCGGTCCCTCCTTGAGCGACTAAACTGTACCACTTTGCTCGCCCCCACACCGTGACCTCCCGCTTTGACAACCATCCTGGAAGCCTCTCCGCTGGAGATCATCGATGTCCCGAGCGTTGAGGAGTTGTTGACCACCGAATATCCCTACTTCGAATACCCCAAGACTTACCCCGAAGCTGCTAAGGATGGACTGGTCGTGATGCATACCTCCGGGTCCACGGGGATTCCCAAGCCCGTTACTTGGACCCTCGATGCTGCTGTCAAGCACATACATACGCAAATGCTGAGCCCCTCCTTCGGAGTTAAGGGTCCATGCATTGGCAAGAAGCTGTATTTGACGATGCCTCCCTTCCATGTACGGAGCATTTCCATTCTCACATGCCCCTCATGCTGATTATCATGTCTCCTACAGGCCGCCGGGTTGGCCCTCTTCCTCTTCGCTACTATACCCGTGGGCATAACCCTTGTCTTACCGCTGGCGGGCTTGCCCACTGCCGCGAGTATGGTCGCCACCAGGAAGCAGACCCCGTTCGACTTCGCCGTGGTGCCTCCATCAATCGTGCAGGAACTAGCGCAATCGCCGGAGCTCCTGGACTACTGCAGCACGCACCTTGAGCACCTAGTCTACTGTGGCGGAGATGTCCCCCAGGCGATCGGAGACAGTGTCGCACGCAAGCTGAGACTAGTCAATCAGTACGGCGCGTCGGAGTTAGGGTTCATCACCACAATTGACTTCAAATCCAACCGAGATCTCCGGGCGGATTGGCGTTATCTGAAATCCAATCCGGGAGTGGGAGTTGAACTGCGCCACGTCTCCGGGGAGGAGCATGAGATTGTGATGGTTCGTGACCCCAAGTCGGAGTTCCAGCAGTTCTGCTTTAGTGTGTTTCCCGAGCTGCAGGAATATCATACGTCGGACCTGGTAATCCGCCATCCTGATCCTGCAAAGTCGGATCTCTGGCGCACCTCGGCTCGCATTGACGATGTCATCGTCTTCCTCAACGGGGAGAAGACCAATCCGGTCTCGATGGAACAGCACATCATTGCTGCAAGCTCGCAGGTCACTGGGGTTCTTGTTGCCGGTGCGCAGCGCTTCCAAGCGGCTCTTGTGGTGGAGCTCGGGGGGCAGACTCTCAGTACGAGTGAGCGTGCGGCGGTGATGGAACAGCTCTGGCCCAGCATCGTACATGCGAATGCGGAGTGCCCTGCCCATGCTCGTATTGCAAAAAGCCATATCCTGTTCACGACTCCCGAGAAGCCCATGCTACGCTCCAGCAAGGGAACCGTACAACGTGCTAGCACATTGGCCTTATACGCGCAGGAGCTCGAAGGACTATACGCTGATGCCGATAAACTGTCTGAGCAGCATGATCCGGAGGAGGGCGAGTTGCCCGGACCCGGCGGGGTGGATGATGCCACTGCAGTGGCCGAGTACATTCGAGGAACGGTCCTGAGCATCACAGGGTGGAGTCCCGACAAGTTGTCCGACGCAGAGAACTGGTTCAATCTCGGCCTAGACTCACTCCAAACCATCACGGCCACCCGAGTCCTCAAGCGTGGGCTGAACATCCCAACCCTCACCCCCAATGTCATCTATCTCCACCCCACAGTGACAGCCCTAACCCTGGCAGCTCGCGACCTGCACCATCACCTGGAGACGTCCACCGAGGCTCAAAAGCATGCATCCCTCCAAGAGCGTGACCAGCTCCTGGAAGAGCTTTTGAGCCAGATTGAACCCCCATCCACGGCCCCAAGCACCGTCGAACAACCCCCAACTCACAGCGTCATCCTCACCGGCTCAACCGGCCATCTGGGCACTTACCTGCTCGACGCCCTCCTCAACAACCCAACAGTATCCCACATCCACTGCCTCAACCGACGGCCGAATGCCCAAGACACCCAGCAGCAACGCACCGCCTCCTACAACCTCACCCCCATCGACCCCTCCCGGGTAACCTTCTGGACGACCGACCTCACACAGCCCAACCTCGGCCTCCAACCCTCCGACCTGGCGCACCTCTCCCAAACCACCACCCTCATCATTCACAACGCCTGGACCGTAAACTTCAACCTATCGCTCTCCTCGTTCAAACCCAACCTCAACGGAGTCATCAACCTCCTCAACTTCACCAACCACGCCACCCACACGCCACCCCTCTTCTTCATCTCCTCCATCAGCTCCATCATGGGCCACCACACCCCCACCACCCTCGTCCCCGAATCCCTCATCACCACCACCACCGTCCCATCTCCAACCGGCTACGCGACGAGCAAATACATCGCCGAGCACCTCCTCGCCCACGCCCCCGGCACACGCACCTCCTTTGCCCGCGTCGGCCAAATCTCCGGCCCTGTTCGCCACCCCGGTCTCTGGAACAAGAGCGAGTGGTTTCCCAGTTTGGTGCTCAGTTCTGTTCACGTCGGCGCGTTGCCGGATTCCCTTGGTCCGACGCTCGACCGTATCGACTGGGTCCCAGTTGACCTGTTATCTGACGTTTTGGTTGAGCTTGCTCTCCTTCCCCCTCCTCAATCTCATTCCGAAAACATAGCAGAGGAAAAAGATGAAGGAAGAGTAACAGTCCACCACCCACTCAATCTCCACCCCCAAACCTGGAATAATCTCCGTCCGCATGTCGCCAACGCGATCGGTCTATCGGGGCAGATAATCCCAGCCAAGGAATGGGTGCAGCGCGTGCGATCGGACATTGAGTCTTCGGGACGAGAGGGTGGGGATGCTGTCAAGAATGGCGAGTTGAAGGCGTCGTTGGAGAGGAATCCGGCGGCGAAGTTGCTGGGGTTTTTGGAGGCGGCGATGGCGCAGGAGGTTGGGGAGGATGTTTTGGATACGAGGTGTACAGCGGAGAGGAGTGAGAGGTTGAGGGGTGTCGAGGGGGTGAAGGGGACGTGGGTTGAGAAGTGGGTGGGGGAGTGGTTGGGGGGGTGAATGTCTTGTGGCTGGGAGAAAGTGTGTGTGAACAGGTTGGAGAGTGGAGTTTTGTGGGATTAAGCGGTTGTGGTTTAATATTTGGATTGGTTTGCAGGATCTTTCTCCAAGTCGATGATGTTTGTTTTATGAGAATTTGACCAGCGTCTCAGGTAATCTGGATAGTCCGAGATCTGAGTTGATATCATGTCTGTTTATAGGTCTACAGGCCACAATGCGGATCTATTCATTATGGGTGCCACAATTCCGGCCTGACAGCCGATGATCGCAGATCATTGAGTCTCTAGATAGAAAATCAGCAAAATGTTTGCAAGCAAAATCAAATACTAGATAGATAGTAGTAGATTGCCACGCCCAGATAGTGGAGACTGGAGACTGGCGCCCCACCCATATAGACGACTCCACCAAGCAGGATGAAGTCCGGATCAAATGCTAGTCGCTAGTAGCCCGTGCTCCACCCGTCAATTCTAGCCCGGCCATCGGCTATCTAGATACAACCTATCCAGCTGCAGAACCCTCCACGTAGATAGGTAGATACTGGTCAGCCTCAGCGATACCCGATATCGTCTCTACAGGGCACAGTCCGAGGTCTATTCCATGTTCATGGTCTTCCACCCCCGGATATGGAATGGTGAAGGCAGAGAATAAGGTGACCCATGAGCTGGAATGCACGTATTGGCCAAGTTGCAGGCAATGAGTATTCATCTGCACATATCTTATAATTCTCCGAATCCATCCGGTGTAGCTGCCGATAATTTCCATACTTTCTTGAATTATTGCATGTACAACTACATGTATTGAGAAAATGTCCCATAGTCAATTATCCATGACTTATCTTTTATGTAGGTTATGCAGAGTATCCATTACCATCAAAAGCAAACTATATCAAATCCGCGTCCACCAGTTGGCCTCAGGGAGTTGTATATTAGGTATGTATCAAGAGACTTATACATCATGCTTCTTCTTGACCGACTAATGAGACCCCGAATCAGGTCCCACTTTTCGGGATTTCGGTGACCATAGACTTGGTCTTTGTCCCTGGTCTTATCACCTGCTACACAACCGAATCAAAACAGGCTTCTCGACCCTTGGTAATCTTTACCCAGAGCTACTCCTCTTCCATGTAGAATGAACAACAACTCATTCTCGACTTCCGACGCGAGAGTCATGTTTCCAGGCCAGGACCAACCAGACCCGGCACCAACAAATCAAACATGAGGGAATATATTCACCCCCCGCGATCGGCAATGCAAGTGGTAGTCGATCTTCGCATTAAGCGGGGCTAAGTACTAGTTCCCATGTTTATGCTTGCAGTCGCACGAACTCCTTGGTGCTTATAGGGCTGACTATCCCGGGTGACCGGAAGACCCTCGTTCTTCTGGACCCTGTACCACTACGCTGGGCCGCTGTGCAACATCAGTCCTGGAGCTGACTATATACAACACAATACAGCAGTAACACCAGGATAAAAAAAATCAAGTTCTTGTTATGACCAGTCAACACAACGGGGAGGCCAGAAGTGAGCAATGAAACTCAAGGAAGGATAGAGGTGGTTTGTGAGGTGATGCTATCTAACTATTATATACATAGGCTACATACAGGAAGCAGAGGAAGAGCCCCGTAAAGGCGAAGTCTAGTGACCCAAATAGTCAGTCATGTTATCACACCCCGACCGCAGTTCTGCAGCTGTTCAGTTGGTCTGCAACATGATTACCGAAAACAAAAAGCAAAAACATATGATACAAGTGATTGGCCAGTGATCATCCACCAATCCATTACTTTCCCAAGGATGTTGTACAGAATATACACGTGTATACGTAAGTGGGTCCCAATCGATCACGCAGCTTCGCGCATCATCCGTCTCGCATGAAGGGAAGTATTGCTGACCGAGCTGCTCCCGTAGAGATCAAACGCCCAGATAGCCTGATAGCAATGGGTATCGACCTCGGCTTTCTGATTGCTAGCCTGGGCGTTGTACGAGCCGTTGGCCGGGAAGAGGCCGATGATATTAAAGAAGTAGGCCTTGGGAGAAGTCAGCGTTCGTCGGTGTTGTCAGTCAGGGGGATGATTTGTTGGGAATACCCACATCTACGGCACTCTCCAAGATACGGACTTCGGAGGGAACCTCATACTTGGTCGCTTGATCGATCGACATGAGCTGGGCTGCGCTGGAGGAGAACGCGTCCATGAGTTCGAAGAGCGATTGGACGAACTAGATGGAGAGCACTGATTAATCAAGTCATTCATCGAGACTGGGGTGATGTGCTAGGATGAGGTCAGGTCAGGCGAGGTTGGGGCGGATCATCTCACATTCGAATATCCCTCATAGACAGCCTGCTCCTCCGTCTCATCGGTAATGGTGGGAGTGTTCGTCATGAACTCCACATTGGTGAGAACCTCGGTGACGATGGTGTTGATCTCGGTGTAGACGTCCTGGATATGCATGACTGATCAGACTGGATTGCTTGAGAGGTGTGTGTTATGTATGTATGGCGTGGCAGTATCACACTGCGCTGCTCGGGCCACAAAGTGCCACTTACACGCATCGGACCCGCGTCCGAGGTGGAATTAATCTCCAGCACCAGATCCTTGGCGGCGAACCCTTGCAACGCCATTTCATTCAGCGAGTTGGCGATTTCACCAGACGTCATCGACGCGACCGCCCAGTGCGCGTAGACGCAAAGGGCGACGAGGAAGGAGAAGAACCGGGCATACATGGCGGTAATGAGATGAACGAGAAACGACTGACTGTAAGCTGGTAGGCTGTAGATTAGGTAGTCAATTAACCACAAGCGTGTATTATCAGAAACAGTAGAATGAGCGAATACTGTTCCAACCAAGCCAATTGATAAAAGAGTGTGGTGTTGTTCTGAAAAGAGTGGCAGAAACAACGGAATTCAGGGGGTTCGGGCGACGCGACGCGGGATGCAGGAACGAAAGTGAAGAGAAGAAGATTTGGGCCTGCGAGGGCGACAGGCAGCGAGAAAAGCAGAGCGCCCCGGATTTAATTAGAGGCGGGGTTGAAATGGTCCGATCCCCTGGATAATTTCCATCACGGCCGCTTGGGGAATGGCCCCCTGGCGTCGCTGTCGTGTCTAGTCCCAAAGTAGGGCAGGCTGTATCGCCGGGTATGGACTTGTACCGCCACCGGCCCGGATGGGCAAACTTGGCTGAAGGGGACACCTTCTTCTGTATGAAGAGGCCCGTGAAGAGTGCAAATAGAGAAGTAGAACTGTGGGGTAGCGAGCTAGAAGGTAATCTACTCAAGTACTGTATTCCAGTCCATGATTAATGATCCATATGAGAATTAAGTTTATCCAGCTCGGTACCTAGCACGAACCAAGAAACCCATCATCGTCCCTCTCATGTACGTACGTATGTATGATATGATATGATACACCCCCCTCTCTCCCCCCCAAGCGCACAATCGATACAGCTTATATACCAAAATCAAGCAACAAAGACTCCAGAAAATGTCACAACAACTAAGATATCAACAAAAACAACCCCTGGAGAAAATTAAGGTAAAAACGCCGGCCGATGAAATATATCGCAGTAAATGTAATCACGGCTTCGAGAGCTGTTCCTTGCGATAGAAGAAGATGCAGAGCACGTTGATGGAGAGCATCAACAGCAGACAGACCCAGAAGTCGGCCTTTCCGAGGCCGGCCGCCACGCCGGCCGAGAAATCGGGGAAGACGTTGCCGGGGCCCAGCTTGTCTGGGGCGGTGGCACGGGCGAGGATGGTCGCGAAGGAACCGACCACTTGCGCGGCGAGAAGGGTGAAGGTGACGTGGAAGCGGGTCATGGTGTTGAGGAGGATCAATCCGAAGCCTGGATTTGTCGCGAGTCAGTATTCAATTCCACCCACTGTTGGTGTTGTTGTTGTTGTTGTTGGAAGAGGAAGAAACTCACCGACGCCCTGAAGACTATCCAACACCCCCAACCAGAGCCACAGTCCTCGACCAAGGATGGCTCCGGCAACGGGACTACCAGCCCAGGGAAGGTACGTGGCGATGTTGGAGGTGGCCCACAGCATCTGAGCCCACCGGGGGGCGCCCAGGCCGATGGCGAAGATCGGGATGAACCAGGCGTGTCTCTTGGACAGGATGTGGAAGATCCAGAGAGCTGCCGCCCAGACACCGATGAAGAAGACCAGGACCAGGATGACGATTTGCCACACCTTTGCGTGCTTGCTGGACCAGAGGTAGAGCCAGTTTCGTCCGTACGGTGCCGATAGCCAGTAGTTTGAGATGAACACCATGTAGAAGAACCACTTGAGGATAAAAGGGTCAGTACGAGAATCAGATTGTATGGAGCAGAAATCGGAGAGAGGCATACAAGAATAATGCGACGCCGGAAGAGCGACAGGTAGAATGTCGGCACCTGACCCGGCGTTTGTCGGTAATACGACGGGAGTCCAAAGAACACCAGGGCTCCCAGCAGCCACAGGAGACAGGCGAGGCCGACTCCGATACCGAGCAATGCGTTGGGGTTGGTCACGCTAAGGCTGAACTGCGTGCTGCCTTCTTGGTTGAGATTGGCCATCCAGCTACCCCAGTACCAAAGGAAACTGATGCACAGTTGCTGGCTGCCCTGGATGAGGGTGGCTCGGTAGATCCAAGAGCTAAGAGGTGCTCCACCTAGACAGCAAGGGTCCGGTCAGTTCCATATTCCTGAGAAAGGGTCCGTCTAATTGCTTACCTTCATCCCCGAAATTAAGGGCGAAGAAAATCGATCCACTCGAAGACGCAATCGAATAGAAGCCCGTTCCCACATTCTGGAGCCATGTCTGGGTCATGCTGTCCTGGACAGGACCAGCAACCCCGACAAATAGGAAGGCAATGCCGTACATCTGCGGATAATTAGACTGCAAGCTCGGAGCCAAGAGGGATGATCATGAGGGTACGTACCAAGAAAGGAATCGTCAACACATAGACCGAGGGAATCAGCCGGAAAGCCATCCACCACCCGATCGAAGAGACCAGATAGATGGACGCCAGAATATACAACTTCTCCGCCGTCTCACCGATCTGGCCATTCAGCAGTGTGATCTGATAGGAATTCAGAGCGAGGATTTGACCCTAAGGATCCTGTTAGTAGCCGGCTCGGAATATTGTACAATGCAAGGCCAACTCACGATAGCAAGAATCATAGAATAAACAGGCCAATCGCCAATCCTAATCAACATGAACCGCTTCAAGCCCGTCGGAGGGACATAATCCTTCGGGAGAAGAAACTGGCCATTGTTCAAGTCTCCGACAGGAGCAGTCATCCCCGGCGTCGGCGGCCGACTGGTATCATAGACCTTGAAGCGGAAGACAGACGGAGACGGGGACGGCAGAGGCGACTTGCCCAGCTTGACATCGCGGTATCGGTTGAACCAGTCCTTCTCGCTCTTCTCGATGAACTCCTCGATGCACAGCTGGTCCTCGGAGTTCTTGCCATTCAGGTCCACAAGCTTCTTCTCAAACTTATCCGCGTATTCGTGATTGGCGTCCGTGAAGAAGGGGTTGACTTTCTGGAGGTTGTAGTCTTGCTTTTCCTTGACAATGTCGTCGACGCTGACGAGGCTCATCATGGACGGGCTGAGGTTTCGTCGTCCCAGCAGACCGTCTTCTGGTCCGGGACCGAGGGAAGGGGTGCTGGCGCCGGAATTGGCGTTGGCGAACTGAGGCGAAGGATACGAGGGACGCGAGAGAGACAGCGATGGACGGGCACTGGAGTCTTCCTGGCCGCCTAGCATGTGTTCGAGGATCTCTCCGTCGTTGGAGAAGGTGTACACGACTCGAGGGCCTGCGCGGGGGGTGGAAGACAAGGGTCTGCGGCGTGTCTCGGTGTCGGTCTCAGGGTCGCCGCTGGAGACGACGAGGCTGGAAGGCAGGTTGACCGGCAGCGAGGCATTGTGGCTATGGCCCAGTCGAGGTCCAACTTGCCTCTGGTCGCTGGTGATCGGTCGGCTGGGCGAGTTCGAGATGGTCGAGCTGCGAGATCGGCTGTGTTCGCGGCTGGCGTTGGAGCTGGACGGGCGTCCACCGTTGCCAATGCTGTCGGGGGCAGGGGGCGTGCTGATGCCGGATATTCTCCATGAGCTGCGGTAGTTGCGTTTCGAGTATTTCGTGTGCTTGTCTATCGACGTGCTTTGGAGGATGCCGAGATCTTCAACCCATTGGGCGACGGGGAATCGCTGCTTGCCGGATCGTGCGCGCATCATCGCGCGTGTCTCTTGGGAGGATCGCAGAGCGTCGTTGATAGCGAGCTTGAACTGGTGGGTGAGATGCTTGGTGGTCATTGACTCGCTGGGATGTGTCAGTTGCTGGGTTATGCGTATCATCGCAGGGAGAAAGAAACTCACATCGTGTACCACCATCCAGGCATCTGTCCAAGACCACCGACGCTACAGACACATATGTTAGAATTGAAGAATCATACCAAGCGTCAAGTCAGATCTTACCGCGAACCCACGCCCAACGCGCCCTTCCGACCGAACTCAACAGCCACCAACCCAAACGGTTCATCGCGCGAAGGAATCAACGCAAACTCAGCACCACTGAAGATAAACGGAGGCAGCGCCGTGAACTCTGGTTTCGAGAAGACCCGTTCGGGATAGAGCTCCATCAGCCTATTCAACTTCAACGCCGCGAACCGTCCATACAGATCAATGACGGGCCCAATGCACATCAACTGGACCTTGGGATGGGCATCGAGAATGGAGGGAAAGATATCCGCAATCAAATCCACGCCCTTCTGCATGGACCAACGGCCCACAAAGACAAACAGCTGAGCCTCGGGATCAACATTAAGCCCAGCCCACTCCTGCGCCTGTCTCTTCAACGGCGCACGACTCGCCTCAAACTCCGCGTCGATGGTGATCTCCTCCAGGTTATTGTTCGCATTATTATCCCACTCCGCGATGTCAGACGGGTCCGGGTTCGGGAGGGCGCCGATGCTCTTGAGGCCCCAGAAAATAGGGTATCGGACGTATGATCTCTTGCCGTATTTCTTTGAGACACCGACGGCGCCGAATCCGTTCTGGTGGATTTTGAGGTAGTTGGCGGCGCAGTGCAGCAGGTTGAACACGTCGCCGAACTGCACGTATTTCTTCACCACGGCCGGGTCGAGGTTGAAGACTCGGCAGACCTCTTGGCTTTGCTGTGCGTTTTGCATGGGCCAGAGGCCTTGGAATTCCGCGTTGTGGAGAGACAGGCAGCATGGGATTGTCTGGGGGAGGAGATAGAGGGGTGCGGCGGCGCCGTGATAGTCGTTGATGTGATAGAGATCGATGCCCGGGAACCGTTTGATGGCTTCGGCGATGCATTGGTTCCAGGCAGAGTAGAAGATAGCGGAGTCCAGATCATCCATGCGGGCTGGATAGGGGTCGGTTTTGCTTTGGGCCCGGAAGACAGGTGCGTCTAGCAAGACGTATGTGATATTGTGCAGACGGTGGTACTGGACGTCGACCTGGTAGTTATTCCCAAGGACAGTGACCACCATCGGCTCACGGGGATCGTCCCTAGGGTAATCGACGCCTCCGACGCAGGGCACCACCCAGATGAGGTCTTGGTGAGTCAGATTCTTGCCCATCAGCTGGGCCATCACGCCCAGTCCGCCGATCTTGATCTTGATGGCCCAATCTTCGATGTCGTATTCCATGGTGGCGATGAGCACGGTCCGTCGTCGGGTGTTCATCATCGCGCCGATGACACCGCCGCTTTCGGATATGGACGGGCTCACGGAAGTCGGACCAGATCCGGGATTTGCTTCTTTCTCATTCGAAGCACCGGTGACCTTCTGGAAGACGTTCAGCAGTGGAGCGAGACTTGACCGCTTCTCCGTGACGCCGATCTGGTTGAACTTGACCTGATAGAAAGCCTTGAGGTAGATATACACGGCGCCGACCGCGGACACGACAGGGAGAACAGCCAGCAGGATGAAGAGGGCCAGCTGGATCCATCTCGATCCAGTGGGGGTGGCATAGACCCTCAGATTGCCATCATCCACCGAGAGCACGAACGCAAGATAGGGCGAAGGAGGCGGGATAGTAACATTGAACACATTGTTCAGCAGGGTAACTGGCGGAACCTGATCCAGCACATGGTCGCCATCGATATCCCCAAACACCTGCGTCTGATCAGGGAGGCCATCCCCATTGATGCCCCAGGCATTGAACGCCACCTGCACGGGCCATTCGCCCATAAAGTGGATTTCCCACTGGCCAGTGACATTGCTGAGCTCCATTTGGTTCAGGTATCCCGCATCGTATCCAAACTGATTGAACTCGCCCTCGATCCAGAGGTTGGGGAAGCGACGGGGCGGCTTGTATTGCCAGTTGGAGTCGCCATGCAGCCAGTGGTCGCTACTTCCGGCCAGCTTGCTCCAGTATTGGGCAAGGATGTGCTCACCCTCCCAGGCCTGTTTGGCGGTTCCGGTCCAGTTCTTGCCGGGGATCGACGTGTTGAAGCCCGTGTAGGTCATCCAGGAACTGAACGTGGCGCCGAAGTCGAGCGAGTAGCGCCACATATCTGCGCCAGGGGCGTGGGGGGTCACGGATAAGGGTAGGTCTGCGGATGGGGTTTCGAACAGAAGTGAGCGACTGTAGTTGGCTATCTGGGGCCAGACGATTGGGTTGGTTGTCTCTCCGATGCGGAAAAGGAAGTGGTCGGTGGACTGTTCGAGTCAGTCAGTCTTTCAACTTTGCCTGTCTGGATAAGTGAGAATGGAAATGTACTCACGCCTGTGGATGAATTCCCATTCGCAGTGGTCACGTTGCTAACGGTGACTCTGTGAACCCCGGGATAGACGTTGGACAGTTCGATCTCGTAGCTGAAGACACTGGTAAGTGCACCGGGCCATGTCGCCACCTCAGTCTCCGCGAACGAACTACAGGAGGCTGTGGTTGTGTTGATTACAGCACTCTCGTCGTTGAGGGCTTTGGACGTGATGGTCAGCGAGTTGGTGATTTGGCTGCAGTTCATCTCCTGAGAGAAATTGAAGCCAATTCGCACTGTGTCTCCGGTGGTCTCCTGGGAGAGAAGACGGGCGTCGTGTCCAGGGGTAAAGCCGGTGATGTATGGGGAAGGCTGCACGAATTTATCCTTCGGGACGAAGGCTTTAAAGCCCCAAGCCGGGATAGTAAGATTCGGATAACACCCGTTGGGGAGGTCAGACCCTTCGAACCTGCTCGTAGTCAGTAATAGTCATTGATCTTCGCATAGCGATCATTCATACCCAAGCGCCACCGAGCTGTTCACCAGCGTGAACTCATCGAACGGGGGAAACATGTTCTTGACGGTGGTTCCGGTCGGGAACGGCGAGATCAAGGCATCCTTATCGCTGCTGCAGTTGAATTGGTGATTGACCGTCTTGTTGTCATTCGAGTACACGAGCCAGACACTCTGATTACCCTGGCCCTGGCCATCGAAGTTCTGCAGGTCCGCAAAGCGGGACCTCAGCACACTCCACATCCCCGTCTCTGTCGGTGTCCCATTGCTGCCTGGAAGATAGATGTCAAAAGTCTGGTTGGAAAGTTGCTGCAGATACCAGCCATCGTTCAGAACGGGGAAGTTCTGACGCATCTCGAACATCATTTTAATGAGACCGCGCACGGGGTGGGACGGATCTCGGTGGTCGAGGCTAACGGAATTATCTTCACAGCCGGTGAGGGCGCGGTCGAGCGGGAAGTCGAAGTATTTGTCGGATCCAAGCTTGTAGCATCCGTGAAGCTGCCATGCTTGAGAGGATGTCATGGGCCCGCGACCGAAGACTATGGAGAGTGAGCGGTTGGATAGCAGGCTGGGAGGTGGAGATCATACTATAGTTATTGGCCTGGTTGTCCAGTACGTAGAAATCCTGCTCCTCACCCCAGGAGAGAATGGGGATTCCCGGCATGACCAGCGAAGCGACATACAGTCCCAGATTCTGCTTGTGGGTGCCGTTCTGGATTGCCGGCCACCTGAAAACGTCCTGATTCGTGACGCCGAACAGGTGACGAGGGTCGAACTTGCCGGTGTTCGTGTTGACCATGTCATTGGTCGTGACAAGACCATTCCAGGTTTCCACGAAGTTGACCGGTGGGTCGCCTTCGGCGGCGTACTCACCGTCCAGACTGCACATAGAGATGTCAGCTTGAGTCAGGCGAAAGGGAAGTGGGTGAGTGGGACGGAGGAACTAACCCTAGAAACCGGCTCAGGGCACGATACAGCGTGTAATGGAACGCCGCACCGTCCAAGGCGGATTGCGCCGCAGGTCGCAAGAAGAGATCCGCATACGCTTTGTCTGTCTTGTTGGTCATCATAAAGGCCTCGGTGAGGTTATTGATGGTCTGATTTGTCTGGTGACCGCGACCGACGTAGAGCGAGCCAAAGGAGTTCCCCGACACGATCTCTCCGGGGATGTAGAAATTGTCCTTGCCCAGCTGCTGGGCGCATTCGCGGATGGACTCGGACCACTCGCCCAGAGAGTCCAGGGTCACTTGAAGGGCCTTGTCGACGCGGAATCCATCGATGTCAAGCATGGTGATGGTCAGACACGAGAAGTGCTTGATCTTGGCCAGGACATCCGGTCGCCATGCGCGCAGACGATCCTGGACGTAGGCAAATTTGGCAATTTGCCCTTCCCATTCGGTGTAGTTTCCGAAGGCGCCAACTTCTCCATACTATCATAGGCGATCAGCCATGCCCAGCACCAGAAAGAGACATAGAGAGAAGGGGAGAGGGGGGGTACCTGATCCAATTCGCTATACCGACATGAAGTGCCGAGGGTTGTGGTAGTCAGGCCGGTTCCGTCATCGTCCCAGAATCGCGGATACTCCCAGGGGCATTCAGCCTCGATTTGATTTCCAGGCTGGAAGTCCCAGTACCGACGGTCATACTTCCATACATAGTCGTACTCATTAGGGTTGATCGGCGCGGACCGGTTCAAGTAACCCTGAAAGCCGACAAGATCGCCCATTCTACGCGATCACAGTTAGCAGATGACCTTGGGATTTGCGCAGATTGATCCTACGTACGTCCCAAAGGTATTATCGAGAAGAATATAAAGCCCGCGCTGATGCGCCTCGGATATCATTGTGCGCCAGTCCTCGATCGAACCATAGTGATGGTCCATCAGCGTCAGGTCCAGCGGGGAGTATCCATCTGCGCCCCAGGGCCAGTTGATGTACGGTGTTCCGGCAAGATAGATGCCCTAGACCATGGTCAGTATGCTGTGTTTAAGTTCCCTCCGAGGCAAAAAGTCACCTTGATCCCCATTCCCTGAAGATAATCAAAGATATCAACCAAACCGAGAACGTCGCCGCCATGGCGGAACTGATTGGAGGTAAGGATGTGTTCCCACTGCGTGCCATTCGCGTCATCGTTAGTCGGGTCACCGTTGACGATTCGGTCGAGGAAGATGGTGTAGAAGGGGAATCGCCAGTTGTCTGGAGAGGGGGTGTACGAGTGGTCATCCCACTGGCCGGAGTAGTCCAGGGGGTCTGTCGCAGTCTGATTTGTATTGAGGTTCCAGTCGGCTTCCTCATCGAGGTATGGCAGGGATTGCGCAATCCGGGCGCATAGTGCGACGACGGAAAGAGAACGAGCGAGGGAAGTGAGCAGCTTCATTCTGCACAGTGAATGCCACTATAGTGACATCCACGCAGCACCGTGCTTGAGCCTCAACTGCGGAAGCACGGTTAGGATTAGGAAATTAAGCAACAACCCCAGCCAGAACCAAACACCAAGAAAGAACAACAACACAATGCATACACACCAGAAAAGAAGGAATATCTCCCAGACTCAGAGATGGCTGGAAAGAATCATCGGGCACAGAGGGGCAAAGAGAAGCACGTCAAAGATAACGAACACTCCGGAGCAATAACGCAAACCACCGTCCAGCATATGCAGTGGCCCCGAGTGAGGCGGTCGAGCCGTGCGTCTGTCTGTTCGTCCGGCCGTCACTAATTTTGGACACTGGAAGCTGGAAGCTGGAATGCGGACACCACGCCGTATTTGGTGGGCCTCGAGCCATGTCGTTATCCCGACCAGTCACTCCATCGGGAAACCAACTTCAGCTTTAGTCAACCACGCCACCTGGCTCGGGCCTCGAGACAGGGTTCCAGGCCCAAGCCGGAAGGCTCATGTCTCAGAGGGAGCTAATCTGACATGCATCCATGTAGGTCCGTCGGAGTGGTCTAAAGGCTGACCAAGTATAAAAAGTGGGTCATTATGAGGCCTCATAAGCCTCTCCGGCGAGCGGTCCTCCGTACAGCTCACGCAAAGTGAGCACTCATTTGGGGGGGAGAATGATTCATCCAGGTGTGTCTGAGTGAGAGTGTGTGTGTATGTGTGTGGACGGACGACCAGGGGGGCAAAAGGCAAACAAGCAATGCCTGACCTGACTGACCCCCCCGTCTCAGCCTCAGGCCTTGGAAGCCCGAAGGCTGACCGCATCACAGGGCTAGAACGGGTGGACTGAGATGTACTGTCCTGGGCTGGGCTGTCTAGCTTCTCCTGTCTGTCTATCAGGATTCAGGAGATCGTCGAGCTACACCGCTCCCAAAGGCCTCAAAGGGTTCCATAGCCCACCCTGACCGCGAGTCGAACACCTGGGGGCGGGGTATGTGGGTATCCCGGGGCTCCCCATCGCCTCCCAACAGAAGCAAGTAGATAGGTACTCCGTACAACAGTCGAAAAGACGGAAGTGATAGCGAATTCCGAAGAAAAGCCCCGCCCTGCATGGCGGCCGGAGCCCTCGTAAGTATGTAGGCGAGGTGGGCCACGTACCCGGCAGCGGAGGACAGCCACCCAGCCACCCAGCCACAATCGCAGTTCTGTCAGTCAGTAAGTATATCTATCTATCGGTAGGCCCGGTGGTTGGACATGATGGCGTCCGTTCATCCATCGGGTCGGGGATTGCCGCAAGGGTGAGCTTTGCGCAGAGATCGGGAGATAACCCCTCGCTGATCCTGTACCTGTAATATAAGCCCGATCGGATCGGCTAGCATGGAGGATTGGAAGAATGCTGGTGGTGCTGACAGAGGGGAAGATAGAGAGACACGTAGGACACGTCATCCGTCGATACATGGAGTCGGTTCGAGACATGGGAAGCGAGCCAAAGAGAAGGGGGGGGGGGAGGCAGGAAAGTGGATGCGACGATAAGGGCAGGAAGGGCCAAAAGTCGACAGGGTCCGCGGGAACAGCGGGATTTCCTGGCGGGAGTTTTTAAGGTTTGCCTGTCAGACCAGCAAAAACTGGCCGATCGGGGCGACTTGAACAGGACACACAACTATCCATACGGCGGGCCGGTCGACAATACCAATACCAATACCCGTACCCGTACCCGTATCGTCACATCCCATACGACCCGTCCCGTTACCGTGGGAAGTAATCCAGGCACCCCCAAAGAGTTCGCATATTTGACATCGCCAATGACCTTAAGTAGGGCATGGCTAACTTTGCTCTACTTACATCCGTCACTTGATGCTGGGACCTATCCCATCACGCTTGTCTCTCCTTACTTTCCTCCTGGCTATGCAAACGCCACCGACCATGGGCGGGTGGTGGATGGCCGTCCTGGTGGCTGCCACTGTTGGGACCTCCACGGTGAATGCGGCTTCCCGAGACCAATGGGTCGGCCGGTCCGTCTACCAGATCGTCACCGATCGCTATGCCCGTTCCGACAATTCCACCACCGCCGCCTGCAATGCCGGCATGGGCACCTACTGTGGAGGCTCCTTCCAGGGTATCATCAACAAGTTGGACTACATCCAGGACCTGGGGTTCGATGCGGTAGGCCGCATTCTCTGTCTCTCCCGTCGCAGCCCCCCGCAACTCACTCACTCGGAACACAGATCTGGATCTCTCCGGCTCAGACTCAAGAGTCAACCCGCACGGCGGATCTCTCAGGTACGATCCCGATGTCGACCACCCAGAATCGTATACGTACATATCTATAGGTAGAGACTGAACCCCACCGCATAACAGCATACCATGGGTACTGGCCAAATGACCTGTATTCCATCAACTCCCACTTCGGCACTCCCGATGAGCTGAAAAAGCTGTCGTCCGCGTTGCACGCGCGTGGAATGGTGAGTCGCGTTGGAAACTCGGCTGCGATGGCCATTCATCCACCCAACTGACCACAAGAGAACAGTACCTGATGCTGGACATCGTCGTCGGGGACCTGGCCTGGGCTGGAAACTCCAGCACGGTCGACTACAGCACGTTCAACCCATTCAACGATGAGAAATATTTCCACCCCTTCAGGCTGCTCTCTTCCGACCCCACGAACGAGACCTGCGTTCTGGACGTAAGTCCGTTGCCTTGGTGTTATGAGAGCCATGCTCACCCCCTTCATAGTGCTGGATGGGAGACACCGTCATCTCGCTTCCCGACCTGCGAAACGAGGACACACAAGTCCAGCAGATGCTGGGCACATGGGTTTCGGAGTTCATCTCGAACTACTCCAGTAAGTTATAAACATTATCAACGTTGGTGACAGAGTTCTAACAACTGATGGCTTTAGTTGATGGGCTTCGCATCGACAGTGTCTTGAATATTGCCCCCGACTTCTTCTCGAACTTCACCAAGAGTGCGGGGGTTTTCACTCTCGGCGAGGGCGCCACGAACGATGCGGCCGATAATTGCCCGCTGCAGCCCAGCCTGAGCGGACTGTTGAATTATCCGTTGTAAGTAGTTTGGCAATATGTCCCGAAAGAGGGGGGCGTTGACCTTCTAGGTATTATATCCTCACGGACGCCTTCAACACGACCAACGGGAACCTGAGCACGATCGTCCAGTCCATCGATTACATCAAGCAGCAGTGCGAGGTGAGAACTTGCCAAACCATGGGATGATACTTGGAGCTCACTCGCCCTCGACAGGACGTCTTCGCCTTGGGAACCTTCACCGCGAACCAGGATGTCCCGCGCTTTGGCTCGTACACTTCGGACCTATCCGTAAGCCGAGTCCCCTCCATCTAGCTTGACACCGAGCACCCTCTGACTATAGAACTTCCGCTCAGCTGGCTCGCAACATTCTCACGACCGGCATGCTCGCTGACGGCATCCCCATCCGTAAGTTCAACCCCACTTCCCCCCAATGAGCCAACACCCAAAAACTAACCAAAACCACCCAGTCTACTACGGCGAAGAACAGCACCTTACAGGGGCATTCAACCCCGTCAACCGGGAAGCCCTCTGGCTCACCAACTATTCCATGAGTTCGACCTCACTCCCCTCCCTCGTGCAATCCCTCAACCGCATGCGCACCTACGCCAGCGGGGCCGGCCAGAACTACACGCTTTCCTCACAGTCCGGGACCAACTACCTCTCGTACGTCTCACTGCCGATCTTCAACTCGACCAACATCCTGGCCATGCGCAAGGGGTACGCGGGCAACCAGGTGGTGAGCGTCGTATCCAACCTGGGAGCCAAGCCCGCCACCCAAGCCACGACCAAGATCACGCTGGACGCCTCCGGCACCGGATTCCAGTCCCGGCAGAATGTCACCGAGATCCTGTCGTGCACGACGTTTGTCACGGACGGAAGCGGAAATCTGCCCGTCGACCTCAGCTCGGACGGCGGTCCGCGCGTGTTCTATCCCACGGACAGCCTGAACCGGAGCACGGAGATCTGTGGCAACCATACGGCGAGTCGCTCGGCGGCGTCTTCTGTTAGCCCGAAGGCGTCCACTGGGGCGGAGTCTTCGCTGTTCAGTTTGCCGTTGGAGAGGAGGGCTTTGCCTGTTACTGTTGCGGTGGCTACATCTTACTTGCTCATTTGATCTGATTTTGTTCCTCATTCTGGTTCTGATTCCCACCCTGGTCCTCTGGACCAACACCCACACTCCTTTCGGCTGCGCTTTTCCTTTCTGCTTATGTCTTCACGTTTCGTGACACGCTTTAATTTTGATTTCGAATCTGCCTGCTGTTATTTTGTTCGGATGGTTTCTGAAACCGTGGCTTGACTGCCACCTCCCTGCCTAGATAGACGATATACACTCTGGCTTGGTTTTATTGCGATAATATCATACGGGGCGCAGCGTCCTTTGTTCCATGTTTCATCTTCTCATTGCACAGTGCCCCGTGTACTAGCCATGTAATTCGCTGTGTGTTACCCTTCTTTCACTTCATTTTCATTGAAGCCAATCGCCTTGAAAGCCCTGAGGAAATGGTTATCTCTTTCCCGCGTAAATGTAATGCCTCTCATGAATGGCCTCGGGATATCCGACAGTGCCCGATGGGATGGGGCGCCCTGAGGATCGGGCACAGTCCACAAGCACCAGTTCCCGTCATTCCGTCCGTCGGCTGTAGTTGACCCAGACAAACAAGACCAGACAAGCCAGCAGACAGCAGGCAGCAGACAGCAGACGGCGGCAGTCAGATGGTAAGTCAGGAAGTAAGTAAGACAACAGGCCCATCCAGCCACCTGCCGTCCCGTCCGTCCATCCTCTTGGCCACGGTTATGCTTTGTTGGCGCCCATCGCCATCCCCGTCCCTGTCATGACGGGTATCGCATACCCGCGTCCCCTAACCGTGACCACACCATACCGTACCATACCATACCATACCATACCATACAAATCAAAAATAGATCTGCACTGGTTGACAGCCTCGATTTGCCTTATCGGCAAGTCCGTACGTGGTCTGGCAGTCCGAACCGCAGCCCGTAACTGCAGACAAAGAACAGGCCAACCCAGCCAGTCAGTTACCGTCCCTAGCGCCAACCCAGCCGGGACACGAGATTGGCCCTGATTGCAAAGGCTTGAATCTTGACACTGCAAGGGGACGGTGGGAAGAAGAAGAAAAAAGAAAAAAAAAAAAAAAAAAAGGGAAGGGAAGGCGAAGGGAAACAGGGTGTGCGAGGGTGCGTTGATCTGATTGGGGAAATGGTGTGGATGGTCCAAACGCAGTATGACAGGACGTGCTGGTGCAGAGGGTAATCCTGGTCCGTACTGTACCTACCTGGTGTAGCCTTGTTGTCGAGTTGAGCGAAGATACGTGGACTGGGCTGGACTGGACTGGGCTTGACTGGAGAATCAGCATCAGCATCAGAATGGAATGACAGTTCGGAATTCTGATTCTGTCGTTCGGTCAGAGAGGCGAGGCTCGTCCTGCAGATCACCTCGTATCGCATGTCTCGGTGTAGGGGTCCAGACAGCTGCGTGGTCTCACTTCTGTCGGTTCTGTTGGGCTTCGGTGGAGGTGGTGGTATTGATGGGTTGTTTCTGTATATAGCTCTTCTTTGAATAGACCGGCCATCGGTCTCCCGGTCAAGTGCGACTACTGTATATATAGTTTCATTTCCTGGCAAATCGAGGTCGTTTTCTCTGGCTTTTCTCTCCAGTAATTTGATTTGCATTGACTTGGACCGAATTGAATCGAATCAATCAAAAAAAAAATGCGCTACTCATTCACTGTCGCTTCCCTGGGCCTGATCTCCTCGGCGCTGGCCATCACGATCACCGCGCCGACGGCAGGCACCGAGTGGGATTTCTCCACCCCCCAGACCATCAAGTTCACCAGCGATGCCAGTGACCCGTCCTACATCAGCATCATCCTGAAGACCGAGGATGGCTCCTTCCAGGTCAAGCTGGCCGACAACGTGAAGACCTCTTCGGGGGAATACACGACCCAGCCTGATCCTAGCATTTCGAACGGGTATGCATGCAACTGCCCGTGGATTGCCGGAGTAGAAACAACAAAAGAGCACAGACGGAGAGGGAAACGCTAACATGATTATCCGGATGATGCTAGATCCGACTACGAGATCCAGATTATCGATTCTTCGGGCCAGCTCGCCGTGAGCCCCGTCTTCACGGTCGAGAAGGGTGCGTCGAGCGCTGGTACCAGCACCTCTTCCTCCTCCTCCTCCTCCTCGTCGTCCTCGTCGTCTACCTCAACTTCCACCTCGTCCTCTTCCACCACTTCATCCTCTTCATCCCTCTCCACCACCACCACCACTTCATCATCATCTTCATCTTCTTCTACAAGTGAGACCACATCCACTTCAGTCATCCCCACGACGACGGTGTCCTCCACACCCGGGTCGTCAACCAGTCCATCGCCTTCACCTTCACCAGGCAAGATGCAACTTCACCCATTGCTGCAAGGCGACCATACTGACACAATCTTCCTTTTTTTCACAGCGTCAACCACTTCCGCCTCTGCTTCGTCTTCGTCCGCTTCCTCCAAGATCACAACCGCTGCGTCCACGATGTCCGCGACGTCCAGCTCGAACTCCACCAGCACTGGGGCTTTGCAGTCCGTTGGTGCGGCGTCGGCGGGGTTCAGCGCTCCCAAGGGAGCTGTGGCGCTCCTTGGTGCTGCTATTGCCCTCTTCTACGTTTAGGTCAGGGAGGGCAATGTGACAGATGGTATGGCATATTTGTTGATGTCGTTTACGAGTGATGAGATGGAAGGACGAGGGGTACTGCCGGCTGATTTCATTAGGTTTCATAGGTTTACTAGAGAGCTATCAATTTGAACTACATACGGTATATAACACTTCCGAAGCGTAGGATATATTTTAATTCCGCTTGGATATATAAAGTCGTTCAATGTACTCATCAATCACTAGCAGCGGCACACTGTACACAACACAACTTTCCTCAACCCCTTTACTGTTTTACAGGCATGAAAACGACTATACATCACTTTCCAATCAAACCAAGACCCCCAATCCAACCCCAAATCCGCCAAAATGCATCCAAACTCTTATACTCGCAGCGAATGCTTAATCGGGCAACACAGAAGCAAAATAGTGGGTAACTCTCCCCTCAAACCAATCAAGATATGCCCATCGCTCTAGTGATGCCATTCCTTTCCCTTCTGGCTCTAGCATGCTGCTCCGCCACGCAGAAACATACTCACGTGACGGGGCGCAATGGATGAAGCTATCGTGGTCATGATACAAAATCGGGCATGTATCTATCTCAGGATCCTCGCAGGCTTTTAAACTCCTCATCGCCAATATAGCCAAGCACCTTATAATAACTGCCCTGGTCCGGACGTACACCGACCTCCGAGACACCGGATAGTGATACCCGGACACACCCCTTTCTCACCACCATCTCCCTCACCCTCCGCAACAAAAACAATGACGGAACACATCTACCACTCGGCACCCACCCGTCGCCTCCTCCTAATCTACATCCACGGCTTCAAAGGCTCCGACACGACCTTCCAGCATTTCCCCACCCACGTGCACAACCTCCTCTCCACCCTCCTCCCCTCCCACGAGATCTACACCCGCGTGTACCCGCAATACGAAACCCGGGGCGAGATGCAAGCGGCCGTCGCGCAATTCAGCAGCTGGCTGTCCCCCCACGAGTCCCCGGACCTGGACATCATCCTGCTGGGCCACAGCCTGGGCGGGATCCTCGCCGCGGACGCAGCGGCCCTCACACCAACGTCAACCCCAACCCCGACCGGCGGCGCACAACACCATCATCATCAACCCCAATTCCAACCCAAACACCGCATCCTCGGCCTCATCAACTTCGACGTCCCCTTCCTCGGCCTCCAGCCACGGGTCTACCACACCAGTCTGAGCAGTTTCTTCCTGCAGAAGAACTTTCCGGGGGACGACGAGCGGCCGAGTACATTTGCGACCGCGAGTGCGAATTACGTTGCACCTGTGATGGTCACGGTCGCGGATGACCATGGACGTGAGGATGAGGTTTCAGTTGGGATAGACGGTATCGGTGTGATGGGCGGGTTGAAAAAGCATTTCCGCCAGCATCAAAAGAAGAAATCCGAACCCAAGAAGTCGCTGGTCGATCGATTCGCGCCGTCGCTGAAATTCGCAAATTGTCTGAATGATTCGGCGGAGCTGAGGAGGCGATATGCCTGGTTGATGGAGCTGGAGGCCGCGGAGGATAGTCCCGCCAGGGTTCGGTTTGTGAATTATTATGCGGAGAGTACGGGGGAGGGGCCCAAGGCAGGTGCCAGTGGTGCGGCGAGGCCGGTGGTTAGGGCTGCGGCGTCAGAGTCTAGTCTCCTTGGGACGGGGATGGGGACGGGGACGGTAGGCGAGCTGGAGGGTGTTTCTCGGTCGGTCTCTGAGTCGGGATCCGCGGAGATGGTGGGGACTGGGACTGGGACTGGGAGGAAATTGCGCCGGTTTGCGGTCTTGCCCTCGAAGGATGGGAGTGGGTTGTGGGATGATTCGCTGTGGGTGCCGGTGTTGATGGAGGATATGGATGAGGTGACGGCGCATATGTCGATGTTTGTGGCGCAGGGTGCGAGGTATGAGCGGCTGGTGGGGGAGACGGTGAGCCAGATTGAGGGCTGGGTGCAGAGGGATCTGGATCGTAGGTGGTTGCAGCATGTTAGGCTGTGAGGGGGGTTCTTTTATTTATGACGTTGCTGTAGATATATGGCAAAAGCTGGGGTCGGTTGCAAGACAGATAGATGTATATAAAATTGTTCCAATTTCGCACATTCGGAGGATTTGGACTGGTAGAACCGCTTTCGGTGTGATTTTATGATTCTCTCGTAGAGGCGGGGTGGTATGGATAAATGGACTAAATACCAGGGTGGGTTTATCCAGCTAACCGACTCCTGCTTCTCTCTCAAAATATAGTGATGGATATCATCCATCGAAAAGGTCCTTATCGTGTAGTTTCTGCCAGTGCAGAATCTACAAGATTCGCCAGTTCCGCCAGAAACCTCTTCACCAACCTCATACGATCCGGAGTTCTCTTCTGCGATAGATGGCTCGGTTCTTGTTCAGGCGGGGAACCGATCTTCTGCAGACGCGCCTGTTGGTGGGTGCCTGGGTCTATCCGGTTAGGAGGGTGATGTCCATATTCACTGGATGGCGATAGAGCGCGGCGCACCTAGGGAGAGTCGGGCTGAATACATGGCGAGCACCAGTTACATTACGGCTTTGCTCCGTCGCATTTGATCTACTTCCAGTGAGTCTAGAGCCAATATGCAGCGAAGGTCACACGATGAGGGCAACCCAACTAACGTTCTTCCGCCAGCATGAGTAGCAGGCAAACCCGTTCGGTTTCTGGACCCCGGACATTTTGCCACATGCAGGATTCCGTTCAACGCATACGGAGTACTCGGGTTTTGGAATGTGGTCCAGATCGAGGCGATGATTGTGACATCCGACTCCATGTGTTTGTCATCGCCCGATCCGTGGGCTTGTGGGGCAGACCTTGCGAGGATCTCCGGTGCGAAGTAGGGCTCCGGATCGGCCCCAGGTGCAATCTCCGCTGCTTGAGCGAAAATCCCAGCCATCCCATTGGTCGTTGAAGATAAATTGGGGTCTCGTCGCCCGCGAAAATGTCTGATGGGGCTTTTCAGCGGAAAGATAGGCCCTCCAATTGGCTACCCTGCATTCTGACATGTTTGTTTCTTTCGCCCCCAATGTCACTATGCGGAAGAAAGATCCGCACAGGGGGGAGGAGAGGGGCTCCAGGAATATAAATGCCCGAGACATGCAGCTTCTTCACAATTCCCTGATGCCGATCATCCAGCAAAAAACCAGCCAGCCACCGCTGGACCTATCCAGCTAACCCAAGCTATCACCGCAACAACCCGGCCATCTCCGCCGCTTCTACAACCTCAGCTCCGCCGTCGACGGCGACTGGCCTCATATGATATATTCTTGCACAGTGTGGCTGCGGGATTTGGTCTACTCCTCATCAGACACATTGTACCTATACCCGGATTCACGATATATATCACCCGATGTCCATCAATGCCATGCCATGGTAAAGAAATCATACCAATTGATCTTCATTTCAAACCACCGTCGGAGTTACAACTAGTTGACTAAAACGATGTCTTGACAACCTCTCAGCCAGGTGTATCCCCATGTCTATGAATCCATCCAAGTCTCTCCATCACACCAGATAAACAGCCTGCGGCTCGCAATCGTTAAAGAGCGAGGTAATGCCCGCGTCCCAAAAATGCGAATAAATGCCAATCCGCTCAAACTGCAATCTGGTCTGCCCCGGGCACTTCCGCAGCACCAAGCCGGCAGACCGGACCCCTGATTCGTACTGGCCCGGGGTGGAATACACCGGCTGATCGCCCCTCGACACGATCATCAAGTACACCTCCTCTGCGTCGGGATAGCTGCCAGAGTGATCCAGAAAGATTGTGGCGCTCTGAGCTTCACCAGTGGCCTTGGCCACTTGGACCCTCCTCAATTGAAACCCCGTCTCTTGAGGCTGAGGCTGCAGTTTCTCGGGGAGACGTTGGAACCGAGTATCCGGCCGGGGCTCATGACGAGCCTCCAACAGGGCCACTATGACCTTTGCCCGGAGCTTCACATACCCCCCAGCTCCCTGATCAACTGCCAACTGCCCATACGGATTATCATCATACTCGGGGATTAATTCGTGCCCGAGCACCTCAATCTCCGACCTCGGACGGTGAAGATAATTGCCAACGAACTCGATCTGCCCATCATGGGCACACCATGACCAGGACGGCGCCCGATATTTATCTGGACGGACCAATGGCTTACGTTCTCTTTGCCCGAAATACCGGTCGCTGCCAGGATTCATCGCGTATCGGGGCGCCCACAGAAGTCCCATAGCCAGATCCCGAGCCCACAATCCGACGACATACTGATCATTCAAGGCCAGGGCTTGCGTGCGTGCGATGCCGGAAAGCGCAGGAAGTTTGTCGGTCGACACGGTCAGGTCGCGACAGGTGTAGTCCTCCACAATTCTGTACCAGGCTTGATACAAGTTCTCGTTGCTATATTCCTGTCCGGAAACATCGGTTCCTGCCACGGCCGAACCGACAGCCAGATTATCCAGCGACTTGTGGCGTCGTGGTCTTTTGATGTCTTCGATGTCGCGTCCGTACTCTGAGCGCTGGGGACAGCTAAATAGGCCTAGTCCGAGCATATCGGTTACTCCGATGTAGAGTTTTCGCGGCGACAGGAGTCGTTCCTGTAGGGTCCAGCCTCGAGTGTTCCATAAGGACGAGTCTAGCGCGTCCTCGGCGGCCAGGAACGGATGCCAAACCAGGTGGTCCAATTCGCCTGTGTAAGATAGCGGTTGGATGAAGAATGAGCCGCGGATGTCAGGGTGATGTTCGACTGAATATGAAATGGCGACTATGGAATCCGGGCTGGGTGCAGGTCTCTCCAGGACGCCTTGGAGGGGTGTATCGGTGGTAACCAAGAAAATCGTCAGATACGATGACATGTAGATGCTGTGCATCTTGGCCGATTCCGTGGCCCAGTCGCGGCGGGACTCTTCCTGTTGGATCTTGAGGAGGGTTTTGTCGACGGTTTTGGTTTCTTTTTGGATGATGCAGAGACTGTCGATCCAGAGATGGAAAATACCTAACTCGCAGCAAATGTCAACGACATCTTTGAAACCTTGCGGTAGAGCCGGGGTGGTGTCGTCTGGCGAGGACGGTGATAGTGGGATATTGTGGAAATGCTCTTTCAGGTTGCTAGGGGTTGTGGTGAGGAAGTCCTCGTAGCCCCAACGGTAGCTGAGTGCGACGTATTTGATGCTTCCGGTGCCCTCTCGACAGTTTGACCCATATGCATTGCCGGGATCTCCAAGGTCTTTTGTTTCGACCAGCCGAAGTTTTCTCCCGTCCTGGTTTTGGGTGATCTCGATGAGCCGGGAAGGCAGCCTATCGGACTCGGATTCTCCAGGGCGAACAGGGCTCGATACATGAATATGTTCTTTATCGCAGTCCAACAACTGATCCCGAACAACCTTTGCATTCGCAGCCGAGAGAATGTGCTGTTCCGGATGGGGATACGCAATGCCCAGGTACCGCGCGAGAGGGTCATCTGATGAGAGTCAACCTCATGGCCACGCTGTACAAGAGCAAAATTATCCATCAAAAGAAACGAACGACAACCCACCAGAGTGTGCACACAATTTGAAATAAACTCTACCATCAGGCCCCGTAAAGTCATTAACAGACCGATCACGTCCCGGCTCCAGGACGTCCCATTCCACGCAGACAGCCGCGAATGTACTCCTGTCATCATCCGAAGGTCTATACGCCGCCATGATCGACATCTTTGCCACCTTGACCGTCAGTCTCTTCCCGGCGTTTCTCTTCAAGGCCCATCTATGGACACCTTCATCCGCAATGCCACGAAGCAAGGAATCCCGGAGCAGTGCACAGAACCCGCATCCTGTCTCGCCTTCTGCCGACTCTCTCAGCCGCGGCAGATCAGGCAGGTCATCGCGACAGCCATATGGAACGGTAACTGACTGCTGTCCCGCGGGAAATTGCAGATGGAGTTCGTCATTGTCTGCTCTCTTTTCCGTGAATCCGTATGGACTCAGGGATTCTGCTGTAAAATGGAGAAATTTGCATTTTTCGCACAGATTGCTCGACATTTCTTCGGGAGATTTGATGAGGGCTCACTCATTGTTTTTTCACTCCGCTGGAGAGAGGAGGGTGGGGTAATCCCGTAATTAGGCATTCGCCTTGCGGGGGTGGATGCCCAATAAGGTATGAATATTATCGGCTAAGTGGTTCGACACGTGGCGAGAGAATGTTGGTTCTTTATAGATTTACCTTTCATCGAATTTATTTCATTTAAGAATAATAGTCAAAGGGTCAAACAAACAGAGCACCCACTACGGCGCGACGTGGGGCAGAAAGTGATGTCGAATATGAGTCGGGACCGAGGATGCGGGGTGCCGAAGGGACTGGGAGAAGACAGAAGACAGCCTGGAAGCACTCGCTTTGAAGGAGCAGATATTGTATGGCCACTGTAGTCTCAGCATGCTTTCACTCTGTACTGTGAGGCATTTGAGGCAATATTTCAATAAGGGAATACTTCCAGAAGTCGGCGCAACGTAGGATCTCACTCCTGCCCTAGTTTGGCGACTAGATACTAAGTAGTGGCATTGACGCTGAGTATTTCCCGTCCCCTCGGGGATCCCCGGTCATTCCCCTTTGGTATTGAAGAGGACGATTTGCTCCGCAATCTTCATGCATTGGCAACGAAAGGATATCTTACTTGTTCCCAACGATATATTTACAGTATGAAACTCACTCCCGGACCCACTCAATGACCCGTCTCAGCACTTCAAAACCATCTGTCGGCTGATCAAGCTTTACCAGGTGATCCTCCAGTTCCTGCTTTGACAGATTGCCATTATACACATCATCCTCCTCCAACAACAATTTCTTCGCGAGTGCAGGTTGCACCTCAGGATGCGCCTGGAGCGACAGAATTGTATTCTCCTGGTTGACGAACATCTCATGATTCTCAGCCAGATGAACGAAGCCCAATCCCGGTCGCGCAACCTCTCGTACATGGAACTCGGGGAGTCTCTAGACTGGAATTAGCAGAAATCCCGGCAAAAAGGCAATCCGTGAGCAACATACGTAGGTAGCAACATCATCGGGGGTAGAAAAAAACTTCTTCCCGGCTGGTGTCAATTTGATATCCTCGATACCTGCCTACAACGATCACACATCGTCAGCCAACGCGTGCGTTCCTGTCTACGTGGTGGAGGATGATACTTACAATTGGACCGGTAGATACCGCTCGCACCTCCCCACCAAAAGCCCTCGAGATAGCTTGATGGCCCCAGCAGATTCCCAGAACCTTGGTATCGGGTGCTTCCCGTGCAGTAGCTCGCAGAAAGTCCAGTACAGCGAGAACCCAGGGCTCGGAGGAGGACGCATCTGCCTTGCCACCGCTTAGGATGATCAGGTCGTATTTCTGGGGATCGGGGAAGGTTCCTTCGAAGACGGGATCGTACATGTTTACCTGCGCGGTGGGTGCAACAGCCTGAAGGGCGGCATGGTAGCAGTTTCTCACGTCATCCCAGAACTCGTTACCTGGGGGGGTGTTGATGAGGACAGCGATGCGGAGGGGCGATGGGTTGATCATGATGCTGGATTGCTATTGTGTTCGGTATGAGTCCAACAGTGTGAGCTTAGTAGATAATTTCGAGCTGAACATGTTGGATAGGAATTTTTTCCTGGTTTTTATAGTTTATCCATGATCATTCTGGTTACTTTGGATTCCATACTGCATTTGGCCCGGGAGGATGTATTCTTCTCATTTTGGTGGGGCATCGCACAGGCACACCGCATATGGTAAGGGGACATCCTAAACACACAACTTGTCCGCTTTCCATTAGGAAATAGATTTTCAAATATTTCGCTGAATCCACAGCTCTTCCATCACAAAAACCTATCTTCTGCGCCCCTCCAGAATTGGCATTAACCCGAATCGGGTGCGCGGGAGCGATCGGATCAGATCCCGAGGGGGGTACAGGACCCACAAATTACCGAATGGGGTGAGCAAGAACGATAGACCCCCACCTTGGCATTTTGGAGTCATCGAAGATGATAATGATCTTCATCGAATTGCGTGTTTCTGATTAATATTTGGCCGATAACAAGATCCGCGTTGACTGCCGATAAGGACTTTCCCAGTGTATATAACCCCCAACTGAGCTCACAAATTTTCTCTCACCCCCAAGCATCACATCCCCCCAACATCTCCCAATCATGTTCTTCGGCAGTGCACACACAGAAAACGACACGGAGGTTCTCCTCCAATTCATCCAGGAGAACCCCCTCGGAATGCTGATCACGGGCATGGACTGCTCCTCCCAGGACTTCCTCCAATGCACCCACGTGCCATTCGTGCTAGACCTCCCCAACACCTCCGCCAACCAATCTCCCACCCCGAAACTGCGCGCCCACATTGCGAAACAGAACCCCCAAGTGAAAGCCATCCTCGAATCCGCAAACAACTCACCATCAGAAACAATATCTCTTAACCGCGACGTGCTCGTCGTCTTTAACGGACGACATGACCACTACGTGACCCCCAAATTCTACACCGAGACCAAACCTGACACGGGCAAAGTGGTGCCGACGTGGAACTACTCCGCCGTGCAGATCTACGGGAAGCTTTCCATGTACTATGATTCCAAGACCCCAGAGGCAGGGGCCTTTCTGGCGAAGCAGATGCATGATCTGTCAGAGCAGTGCGAGACGCGGATCATGGGGATCACTGGTGGAGACCGACCGGAGCCGTGGAAGGTGAAGGATGCGCCGGAGCGGTATCTTGAAATAATGCAGAGGAATGTGGTAGGGATCAAGATTGAGATCGGGAAGATCGAGGGGAAGTTTAAGATGAGTCAGGAAATGAGACTGGGGGACCGGAACGGCGTGGTGAAGGGGTTTGCAGACTTGGGAGGGGAGACGGGCCAGGCTATCTCGGCTCTGGTCCAGGAGCGTGGGGAGTTGCACGATAAGAAGAAGGCGATAGAGTAATGAATAGAGCCCAATATCGGAGTAAACAATGCCTTTGAGAATGACAATGAGTGAAATAAGGAGTTATTCACTAGAACCCCAATCCAATTGCACTCGGAGTGTTACGGTCTGTAGCCCTGTCTGGCATGCCCAGACATATTTCCTAATTAGGGTTAGGTCCGCTCGGCACAGATGCCTCTTCCGTCCATTTCCGTCCCTTTTCCCCGCCGAATCCCTCATTTGCCACTGACTCATATGACGGATGTTGAAGATTGGGGGTGTGGCGGTGCCTCGACCCATCCACAACAAGCAATCAATCGTAACATACCTGCCACATGTACGGGCCTGCTCCTCCTAGACCGAAAAAGACAGACATTACCCGTTCGCGCAAGGGTTGCAAAAGTTGTCGCAACCGAAGAACCAAATGTGACGAACGGAGGCCAACATGCGGAACCTGCGCCAGATTGGGCAAGGATTGTGACTATGTCAAACCCATGCTCAAGTTTCACATCATAACTATCGGGGAGTCAGGAGTATCACCACCATCATCATTATCATCGTCATCATCATCACTACCACATGATGTGCTGTCAGAAGAGACGATCCCAGAGCTAGCCGGGAATCAAAAGCTGGCCATCCAAACCGAGCCAGATGTCCCCGGTATAGGAAGCATTGATATAATCAAATCTTTGCAAATCACTGAGAGAGATGTGTTCTACTCAACATACTGGGAGGATAACTGCCTAACGGCCTTACATCCAGTCTTCCACTCGGTCACCCTATTAACCGCTGACCATCCCATCCTGAACGACGCCATCCTAGCCCTATCCTCCTGCAACATTGCCCGTCTCCATAGTGAACGCAGAGAACCATCGACGGAGCTGACGGGACGATTGAGTCCCAGCCTCGTGCACCAAACAAGGAGCCATCTGTACTATTCTTCTGCGATCCGAAAACTTGCCGCAATGCAACCATTGGACTACAGTCAAAACTCAACAGTGGTTCTAACCGTCCTTGTTCTATTCGCCCACCTTGAACAGGCGATGGGAAATTTCAAGGGCTTTTACTGCCATGTCCAAGGGACGATGGATCTTCTCGAATGGCATGACAGCGTCGGCGACATGGCCATCAAGTCGCTGCTCACTTCATGGATGCAAATCCGGTACGTCGTCTGGTGGGCTCGCGCATATTTCAGCTCCCTGGATATCCATCTGCGACTTCCGTCGATTCATCTGCCCCTCTCGCTGGCAGGAGTGCGAGGGCCTCAAACTCTCCACGAGCGCCGTGTGAAGGTCCTCAGCATCATGTGTGAGTCACATCGACTGAACTTCAAGACCGTGCTTCGGCATTTCAGGGACCTGGGATCCACCAAGGAGAGGGTTGATGAGTCCGACGAGAGCGACGCTGATTGCACCACCCTTCTGCATCAAGAGGCAGCGAGACTAGACGAATGGATCCGACATCTTCCACCATCCGAGGAGCCACTCTACAGACACAATGACATGGGCAGACCCACAATAAGCTTCCAGTCTCACGATGCAGCGCTCAACTACGCATACTATGTAGTAGCGCGTATCATGCAGTGCACCGGCTTCTTGAGACTGATATGCGATCCTAGCTCCCCGAACACAGAGCAGGAATGTCACGAAGAGGAGCTCTGGGTGCAGACATTGTTGCAGGTTGCACAAGGTAGCAATATGCAAACATCTCTCTCCCGAAATAGCTATACCATTGGGTTCTCAGGCCTACTCCTGGCGGGAATCTTGCGATGCCGGAGTCTTCCACTTGGATTGGAGATTCAGAACTGGCTGCAAAGATTAATGGACCTGCAGCCGACGGAGGAGGGGGCTTTCCCGGTTTATCAGACCTTAAGTGTCGTCAAAGCGGTCAATCGACTGAGGATGGTCGGTCGAGATGTGGCTGCTGTTACGCAGCCGGTGGATGATGGGGGTGGATCCCCCAAGGTGACTGTCTATAATAGCCAGTCTATTTCCAGCCTTTTCTTCTATGGAAAATACCGAAAAGACAATGCTTATTTTCAGGAGTGCATTACCTTGGGCGACTAGATGCTCCTGTATAGCTCTGGAATTGAAGCGATGACTTACTTGGGCAGCTTTGTCTTTGCATTGAGCTCATACGCTAAATAGCCCTAGCAGTCAATGTTGGCGATGTTGCAATCTCACTCCCACTTATTTACAGGAGTGACCGCTCCCCCCATCTCCTTTATCGTCAAAAGAGCCGCGCTAAGTCCGGAAATGTCTTCATCCTCTCCAAATAACGCAGAGTCCCTGTTGACGTCAATGTTGTCTGACAAAGGAACCCAGGTGTTCAACCAACAGCTGGGGCAGTGCAGCCCTGCCCCAACCCACTAAGCCTCACTGGTGCTAGTAGCAAGCAGCGCGCCGTTTTGCCCGATGCTAAACTGCTCCACTATCCACGAACTAGCCACCGAAGATATTCTTTGGGCGTCGAAGGATCAAAGCACCGAGATCCTCCGTGATAGGCACCGTTGCCACCCAGGGTACAAAAGGCGGGTCATATCCTCGAAGTCCGGGTACACAAGACTGCAATTATCCGTTCCAGTACCACAATCCTAACCACGATGAAATTCAACCCTTCAATCGCGCTCCTCTCTCTCGCGACCGTCGCCCTCGCCGCCCAGCAACCCCTCGCAGAAGACCCCTCCGCGACCGGGGTGAACACCCACGATGATACATCCCACCAGCCATCCGAACCCGAAGCCAGCGACTCTCTCAAGCAACGCCTCGGAATCAACGCCATTCAACAGCTTGCTCAATCATTCTTCAACACCGAATCCGAGCCGACAACCGAGTCGACCACTGAGTCGACATCCGAGAAGAAATGCGTTGATTCGGATGATTTTGCCCATCACATCGGCAAGGCCCTCGCCGATTCCCAAAACGAGAAACTACGCGACGAACTAGACAAACTAGACGGGAAACGAAAACAAGGCCAGGCCGGTGTCGAATACATCAAACTCAACCTCGAGGACTTTGAGGAGAAGCAATGCGGTGGTTTCGAGCGGATTTATGGCGAATGGCGATACTCGTTCAAGTCGAACATGGCGGACTCGGAATGCGATTACACATCGTTGAGCCAGACGGTGGGGAGAGCCGTAGGGGAGTTTGTGGATAAGAAGCATTTCAAGAATTGCAAGAGGGATTGTGACACGATGTGTCTGCGGTTTGACCAGGGTGGGCCATGGGATGGCTACGTGAGGTTGGGGAAGAAGGACAAGTTTGATCGCTTTGCGTACTGTGGGCCCACGTTGAGCTTGGTTCCGAATCGGCTGTAGGCGATGTCCTGGCCTGGGGAAGGGATAGAGGGCTGTTGGTGTAGTGCTTGGTGTCGATGATTGCGGGTCTCGCCAGCCGCCAGATGTCCTAGGCAGTGATTATGCAGTCAAAACTTTCGTACTTGAGTTCGAAGACTTTCCTTCAAATAGTAAGCCCAATGCATTTGAAAGATCCAAGTCATGTGCACATAGATAGAGACAGATGACACGGGAAGGCTATTCAGAAAGGGAGGGAAGAGCTCCATACCATGTAAAGACGAGGAGAACGGGCAGTCTCAGTTGAACTCGAGATGGACTTTTCAATTGTGGTTGATTAATACATTTTATAGGACAGTGGCAGCTTTGATATCGATCTAATGTTTGTTGAGGATTACCCACCGTGAAGTTCGGCGGTATTAAGGAGCCGAAGTATGGCCGGACTTATAACCCACCGAGGCAGGGATTCTGCGATGATATGCATATTGTCGACAGAGCTCGCAGTGTGGAACCACGCATATCTTTCAGTTTTATACGCACGCGTTCAAGAATCAGAAATGGACTGCTCCTATATCCTCCCACTCGGAGAGCGGGCCATAGCGAGTGCCCGCTGAGCTTCATGGACATGTACTTCATGCCAATTGACCGCATTTTCAACCTAGCAGGAGCACTTGACCGCCACCGATTCTGTCTACCTCGTTACGCCGGCTTCACCCGGCCAAGAACTTGCTCAAGATCTATCCCGCCATACTACCATTGCAGGAAACTTATTTCAAGGGGACGCCACGGAAGGTTTTAGTGATGGTCGGGTTGGTTGGTAAGTAATTGGTCCGTGTACTGGAATATATTCCCATGTCATGCTTCCGTCAACCAACTGATTCAATCGAGACCCAAGGCCTGACTAGACACGTCCTGGAGGAAGGCCGCCTACCCAGCCACATTGCCAAGAAGAAACCCTTATCTCAAGCATTCCCTACAACCCCAACAACCAAGCCATCTCTCTCCATCCCCCGGCCCAAACAATGACAACCAGTGTTAAAGCACAAATTACGTCACTCTACCAATAAGAAGGGCTTGTGGTTTAGGGGTATGACGCTCCATTCGCATTGGAGAGGTCCCGGGTTCGATTCCCGGCGAGTCCATCTTTTTGCCTTTTCTTCTGCCTTTTCATCTGGTCCCACTTAACTAGTCTTATATTGTCAAAAATGGCGAACTCTTACATCAATCATTCCTTGATGGTCTAACGGTCATGATTTCCGCTTGTCAATCCTGAACAGGAACAAGCGCGGGAGACCTGGGTTCGACTCCCAGTCAGGGAGATTCTTTTTGCCTTTATTTTTGCCTCGTTTTGTTCAGCTTCGGGGGGCACATTCGATGGCCTATTTCGGGAACTTTGTGTGAGCACTATGAAGTTGCCACACTGCTGTGCTAATCCATACGTATCTCGACAGAGAGGTCAAATTCCCTTATCCCAATTTGTGAACAAATAAAACAAAGTCCGTCTATCACTGTAGCAAAAAGACCCTTGTTTGAGGATATCTCCAATTGTACCTGTTGACAGATGGTCAGATCCAAAGGGCCAATCTCCCACGCGCGCAATGACGATATCATGAAGAAATGCCATGCTGACTGGACCTCGTACGTACAAGAAAGTTGAAACCAAACTGTGAGATTGTAACAAACCCATGGAGCTGAAGCGGAAACTTCCTAAATAGGAGCCCGAAATAGCACAATGAAATGCAGGCCGAAAATGTTCCCATGCCCTTCCAGAGCACTTCCAAACCATAGGATTGAAGCAGAACCTTCCAAAGTAGCAACCCAAAATGAAAGAAGAAAGGGAATCGATGCTGAAAACGTCCCCGAGGCCCTAAATGAACCACCCAAAACCCCGTGAGGTAACACCATCGCACCTCATCTAAGCCATAGGAATCCGCTGACGGCCAACATGATAATCATCGATGAAAGCTGCAACGTCGATCTCCTGTAAGCCCACATTCACCAAGAAGCGAAATACAACATCATCCCCCTCGGCTGGGGTCCCAGCGTTGATGAGCGTGGTGAGGTCCAACGTCATCGCCCCGATCAACTCCACTCCTGCGGTTGGTCAGTACAATCCCGGCTAGGGTGAGAAAAGAGTCTAATTGTATAAAAAACAAACCTTCTTTAGCCTTCTCAGGCGCAGGGCAAATTCTCGTGCGGAAGAAGTATACCGCGGTTCCGTGCACTTTCGTATTCAGCGTACACTTCACCCGTATCGCTTTTCTCGTGTTGGGTTGGTCGAATCTCTCGTGCTGGTGGAAGTTAGAAAAGAATTTCGAGTCCTCAACTGCCACTGTCAGCATGCTAACTTACCTTCTTCCGGAACCAGGCAATATCATCGGTGACGGTATTATCCGGGCCCTGGCCAAACTCCACGCCGTAATGGTAGGTAGGGTGTGGGGTGGCCTCATCATATTCTTTAGCCCACAGCGCGGCGCTTGCGGCGATTATATTCTCACTGCGCGGCATGTTAGTCCTGGGTGAATGGCAAAAAGTGGATGGGGCAGACCTACGGCCTATCAGGTCGGTAAACTGTCATCTCGTTGGTCTCGAACCTCTGTCTGATGGCAGACTCGAGGTACGGCGAGCCAGCAAAGCCACCGATCAAGATGATCTTCTGTTCAATCATTAGCTTAGAGGTTGAACTTCGCAGCGACAAGGAAGGACCCGGCTCCATGGAGGCTTACATTGATAATATCTTTCCCCGCAACCCGGTTCGCCTCGTCGATCTGCTCGCTCAGGAGGTTGCAGATTCTGGTCACGACGGGTTGGAAAAGGTCACGCAGCTGGCTTCTTTAAACAGTGTGTTGTTAGTCACAAAACAAATATTACACATATATTGCCCGCAGAAGAATAACTCACTGCAAAAGGTAAACTCGGCACGCGTATTCTTGACGGAATTTGATAACTTCGCGAAAGGCGTGGCGATAGGCCGCGGAATTTTCGTCAAACTTGCGTTTCACCTCTTCAAAGTCCCTCATCATCATACTGGTGGGAGATGTCTCCCTCAGCCCCAGCTTGTCAAAGTTCGGAATCAACCTCGTGGACACGAGCTCATAGAAGGCCCTGTCAATGCAAGTGGAGCCTAGAAGCGGTTCTATTTTGAATCAGCAATAACCCAGACCGTGTGAGGATTCTTAATGCGCAATACATACCGGTGTGGGCTGTCAGCTGCGTTGGGGGTCGAAGGTCGCTTGTCACTATGTCATAGCTGGTGATATCCTAGGGCTGTTAGGGGCGGGGTTCTTCCGTAAACCACATGGGAGGGTCGAGACTTACAATCGTGCTTCCCCCGCAGTCGCAAACAATCACTGCATCCGTGGCCTATCCAGCGCGTCAGTCAACCAGCCTCTCTCTGCATTCTAAGCAGTGGAATACATACCTTAATCTTAATTTCCCCCGAATCAGGCTTCATCAAAGCAGACACGACGGCCAACGGCTCAGGACCCATGACGACCTGATCACCTTCGTCCGTCCCGAAACCAGCCGCATGAATAGCCTCCCTCAAGGTTACGACCGACTCATCAGACCAAGTAGCCGGGTAGGTGAAGGTAAGAGTTTTGGGAAGGTTATGGAGCTTAGCACGTCTCAGGAAAATACGGATCTCTTCGTCAAGGTAGCTGAGAAACGTAGAGGCCATTTCCTTATAGCTTCTTCCTTCGGACTGTCGAAAGATCCCAACAGACTCCGTCCATTTGTCTTCAATGAAACGCCCGTCGCGCACCCGGCTCATGATGCCCTCGTCTAGGGGCAGCTTGAACCACGAATTTGCCGGCGCGGCTGGGAGGATTGCATATCCCCACAGCCTACTTCTGAGATGAAAGCCCTCCTCGGAATACGCCAGTCGAGTGGGCAGCCGGCTCCGCCCCATTTCCCTTGTATGCGTTACTCTCCAACGGTCTATGACATGGTAACGGACGGTAGACTGATCCTCGCCATCAACGGGAGGGTATATGGCTGCAACGCCTATATTGAGAAATTAGTGTTCAGTGAGATGAAAAAGGGGGCTGGGGAGTTGCGAAAGGCCTTACCGACGGTGGTGTTGCCAAAATCTATTCCCAAGTACAGTCTTCCATTGTCAGACATCTTGGACTTGAACGTTGTCTGAAGGGATAGGAGATAATGGTGATGATGGCTGAGGGTGAGTTAGAGAGGAAAAGCCCAATAGTAGTAGAAGGGGCAAGAGAGACAAAACACTCAATTGCTGGAATACCGAGATTCGACTTTTGTAGAGTGAGGATAATCCCACGCAGGTGACGGGGCATTGGACTCATCTTATATACCCCTAAAGTGGTTGTCGGAAAACCCCGTCACTTTCAAGAAATCTTTCATCTACTGACGGAGATTGTCTACTGATGCAACAGGAATCCTTTTTGTCCATTTCTTCTCTGTGAAAGCTGCGGGGTTTTCCCTGGGAGGAAAGCGTCGATAGGATATCTCCTGCAGAGGGACGAGACAGTGTCATACCTCCTCAATGTGAGACTAGCCCAGGCAGCTGAAAACGCGTTTTCTCTGCTTCCCCTACTTCGACATATCAGAAATAAAATGGAGACTTACTACACGATTTTGTGTCCTGTAGTGGGTGTGGTATTCTGAATAAACCGTGTACAGCGGATGCTATCTACCCATAGGGCGCTTTACGAAGAGGAGCCGGGGAATTAGGGCAAACAAGCTAATCAGGAAGAGATTCACTGTTCAAGAGATTCCTATGTTACACCCTACCAGTCATCAACAAGCAGGAAAAATACTGTAATCCACGATTCCCCAGTACTCAACCAACAGCTGACTTAATTAATCAATGGTATCCATGTTTTTGGCCGTCCAAGTGGCTTTAGCTTGTATGAAAAGAAAGAGGGTAGGAGGCTGCAAGACAGTTAATTCAATCCCTTTTTAACATAAACTAAACATCCTACTGCATTACTATCAAGACTATTCCTCCACACCTTAATTATCATTACCAGTAACAATCAATAGACAGACTTTTCCTTCCATTCCAATTCACAGGGCCCAATAGCCCCTAAACAACCCATCCTATCCCACTGTTACCACTCATTCACTCCGTATTCACTCCGACCCCAACACCCTCCTAAAAGTCTCCGCCGTATGCCTCCACACCTTCCCCGGGAAATCCCTGCCGCGATAATCCGCCATCAGCTTCTTGTTCGTCGCATCATTCCCCTCATAGCCCAGAATATACGATCCACCACCTTTCTTCCCCGTCGACGCGACAGCCGTACTAACACCCTCCCCAAGCTTCACCCCCACGTCCGCATCCTCTTTACCCTCCAGCCCAGCAGGCGGATACGCCGCCGACGTCGCAATAAACAAATTCCGCTGCCCGCTCTCCTCCAGCGACAGGGAAAACGGCCGCGACAGCACCCCCATGACGGAGCCCGCGAGCTTCCCGAATGTCGAGTTCATGAGAGGGCTCCGCACGAGACCGGGGAAGACGTGGATGAAGCTGATGGAGGGGTGTGCGGCGGCGAGGTGCTCCACGGCGAGGGAGTTTAGGGTCGCGGCGTAGGTGGTTGATTTCAGGAAGGTCCAGGATTTGGATAGGTCGAAGTTGTCTTCGTCGATTTGGCCTTCTTGGCCGCCGCCTAGGATGGTGATCACTCGGGCTGGGGTGGGCGAGGCGTTGAGGAGGGGGAGCAGGTTTTGGATGAACCGCATGCGGGCGTAGTAGCGCAGGACGTGGTTGTTTTCGAGGCCTTCAGGGGTGTCTGTTTTTGTTAGTGAGAATGGAGAGAAGGTGTTGGGGGGGGGGGGGTAAAGCAGTCTATCAGTGTCGAAGTCTGATACACCCTCCCAGAAAGGGATATAGAATCCTTACCCTTCCTAGACATAGCCAAATGCCCCGTCGACATGAACAGCAAATCAATGTGCTTCTCCTTCTCCCTGATCTCCGCGCATGCCTTATCCACATTCCGCAGCAGCGACACATCAGACTGGACGAAGCTGAAGGAACCGTCCGGGTTGGCGGCGCGCAGCTCTTCCAGGATTCTGGAGCCGGCAGCCGGGTTGCGACCAACCAGGTGGATGGTGGGCTTTGGCACAGCTCGGGCCAACTGCTTGGCCGTCGCTTCGCCGATGCCGCTGGTGCCGCCGACGAACACAGCGACCATCTCGCGGCGGCTGGCGCCGAGGGTGCCGTTGGATTGGCGGACTTGGCTTAGAGTGGGCATGTTGGGTGTTGGGGGTAGTGCTTCTGTTGTGAGGTTTTGTTGGGTTAGTGGGGGATGGATGGATAGGCAGATTGACAGGTAGATATGCGGAATCCGAGGATCACAGGGAGATGGACGTGATGGGGGGTGTCGAGAGGGGTAAGTTAGTAGTGATGACGTGGGCTGACGCTGACTCAGGGCTTCCCGCATGATGCAACCCTGGATGATGAGGGTTGCGGATGGTTCCAGGCCCAACTGAATGGATGTAAGGCGTCCTGCAATATTCGTATCGCCATTTTAGATGGCCAATGGTATCGTAGATCCTGCTTATGTAGCCCTAATCATGGTGCATAGTGTCGACCCTCTCCTTGTGATCATTGGTCCCATCGGGAGGACACCGTCTTCGTTGTCGTGAAGAACGGCCAGTATGTCTTGCCTGGGGTATTGCGGTCTGCATGGATTAGATAGGTAGCCTCCAGGCCATGGGTGGGACGACTTACCCCCCAGGAACGAGTCCTTGTTACTGGTGCGGACGGCGGTGCCGTAGGGGGCTGTAGCTGTCTCGTCAGTGAAATAAACAAACCAAGTAGCAGTGACTCAGGACGGGTCTGTACCGATCAGGGGGATATTCACTCCGATCTGCCCAACATTGACACAGCGCTGGAAAGTATTGGCATGCTTCCCGCTAGTGGTGAAGATGGAGCATCCGTTGCCATCTGCCATTCTCGATTAGCAACTCCTCCCGTCAATACACAGCAGCCAGACATGGCATGATGACATACACTTATTCTGATTGATGAGCTCGATGGCCTCCTCCAGCGTATCAACCTCCATGCAGATGAGCACAGGCCCGAAGATCTCAGCCTGGTAGCACTCCATGTACGTCTCGACGCCGGACAGGATCGTCGGGCCCAGGAAGTTCCCATCCGGATAGCCAGGCACCTGGATGTCGCGACCGTCCAGCAACACCGTGGCCCTCTCGGCCACCGCGCGCCGGATGATGCCACTGACGCGGTTCTTCGCCGTCTCGTCGATCAGCGGCCCGATCTTCGACTCCTGGTCCCCTCCGCACCCGACCACCATCGACTGCGCCAGCCCGACCAGCTGGGGGATCCAGTCTCGCGTCTGTCCGACAAACACCGCGACCGAGAGAGCCATACACCGCTGTCCCGCCGCCCCGAAGGCACTCCCTGCGATGGCAAACAGCGTGGACATCATGTTGGCGTCCTCCAGGACCACCCCGTGGTTCTTGCCGCCGCATTCGGCCTGGACTCTCTTCCCCGCCGCCCGTGCCAGATCGTGGACCTGCCTGGCTGCGGACTCGGAGCCGACAAAGCTGACTGCTTGGACGGATGGCTGGCTCACAAGCATCTGGACGGTGGACGGGCCGCCGTGGAGAACATTGAAGACGCCCGGGGGGAACCCGGCCTTGAGGAACGCCTCCGCCAGGAGGGATGACGTGGTCGGGGTCTTTTCGGACGGTTTGAGAATGACGGTGTTGCCGGTGATGAGGGCATACGGGAGCGACCACAGGGGGATCATGAAGGGGAAGCTGAAAGGGGAGATGGACACACACACTCCCTAAGACCGGTCAGTGACCAAACCAGCCCTGCATGAATATCCATCACTCACCACCGGCTCATAAAAGGTCTGCAGCAACGTGGCGTCACCTCCGAGGAACATGCCCGCCATCTCCGGCCCGATCGAACACGCGGCATGGATGCAGTCCAGCCCGCGAAACACCTCCGCGTCTGCATCGGCCAGCGTCTTTCCCACCTCCCGCGACAGGCATGTTACCTAAACACCGTCGTCAGCTGCCAGTGCCATCCAGGAAAAAAAAAAAAAAGAACGAACGGGCTCACAATCTCCGGAGACATCTGTCTCAGCACATCGACCAACCGCAACAGATGTTCCCGTCGGGTCTTGAACCCCAGAGCCACCCACGCGGGCTGGGCTTCCTCCGCGGCGTCAACGGCCCTCTGCACTTCCTGGAGGGTACTCCCCGGGACGCGACAAAGCAGCCGCTGGCAGACCTGTCTCTACTTAGTATGGACGCGAACTCGTTCAAAAAGAAGCCAATTTACCGGATCTATGACGTTGGTCCAATTCTGGGACCTGGACATCACGCGCGTGTTATTGATGAAGAGATGCGTGATCGTCGGAGGAGCGGGGGGCTCTTCTTCCTCCTCCTCGTTCTCTTCCTCGTCCCGATCATCATCCTCATCAGGAGCAGGCTCCGGCTCCGGCTCCGGCTCCTCGCTATCCCTGTGAGAAACTGTTCTCGCACGAGGAGACCGCGTACTCCGCCCCTCGTGGCGGGTCTTATCTCCGCCCGAATCATCAGAATATAATCTCGGCTTATCAGGGGGGACAACATACATCTGGCACGGAGATCCGGCGCCGCACGAGCCCACTCGAGGAGGCGAGGGTATCGTCGCTGGAGGCGGGCGACGGGGCGGGGAACGGCGTGAACCGCGCGGCAGCCCGGGCGGAGGGGGTGGTCGATACGCGGGGCATGGCTGGGAGGGCGGTCACCGGTCGAATCAGAGATAGGGGGGGGAAGTTGGGGGAGATAATGGGGTGAACTTCGATCTCTGATGTTGATTTGGACAGGGCCTTATCAGGTTGGGGGTTTCGGGTTGGCCCGTGCGGCGGCTGCCTGGATGGGAGGATATCTGGCCTGAGGCCGGATAAGCGCGGCTTGGCGGTGGCCATCTTGCGGACGGTGAACAGTGGCTGATGCAGTATTATTTCACATTCTAGGGTATTTGATTATAGACTGTCGAGGAGTTTGTTTTACTGGTAATGTTGCAAATGTAGTAATCTCTCTTATGAAGGGGTATTTTGCAGTGGTGATGCAATACCGCGGTTATCAGCGTTACCAGGATATATAGATAGTGTTTATGGGTTCCCAATTTGTCCATCAACAATCCGTCTGAACCCACTCCGATGGTACTTGAGATAAGCGTTGGGCTTACGTTATTAGGCTTATTAAAATATAGGAAGCTCGCCGTATTTCAGAGCCTGAGATAGGGTTCGGATCAGAGAGATTATATAATTCCCCTATCTGGAGCAGCGCCTACTACCAAACAGAAGTATAAATTACACCGATATCAATCATCTTGCATATTCTGCGAGACTTGCAGTTTTCAACTAAGAAAAATACCCTTTATTCAATCCCCCCTGTTTCCTACCAACCCATCCCCACCACACCGCTACAACCACCACCATGCCCCTCGTCAAAATTGACATCACGAAGGGGACACGCACCCCCGAACAAATCAAATCCCTAGCCGACACAATCCAACAAGTCATGTTGGACAAATTCGGCGCTCCCTATCGCGACAGATATCAGGTCAGTCCTCACGTCACCACACCTCTCCCTCCCACCTCCCCTCGCTAACCACCCCACCACCAGATCATTACTCAGCATGAACCCTACGAGATCATCTGCGAAGACACCGACCTCGGCTTCACCCGGTCCCAAGACCTGGTTTTCATTCAGATTTTCCAGCAAGGCCGCAGCGTGGAGCAGAAGCAGAGCATCTATCAGACGCTGTACGAGCGGCTCAACGCGGAGTTTGGGCTTTCGGGCCACGACTTGATTGTGAGTTGTGCGGAGAATACGAAGGCGGATTGGAGCTTTGGGATGGGGGAGGCGCAGTTTTTGACGGGGGGGCTGCCGAGGCCAAATTGATGTAGACTTTATTCTACTTATTCTTGATTACATCATTGTTCTCGACAAAATACTTATAGTGAGCCAGAATGCTCTCTGGATGGATGGATGATATTAACGTATTTTCACATTCTTAACTCTCGAAATCCTCAATAAATTTCTGGGATAGACATATTCATTACATTCCATGCGCACCACCCCGTAATCCCACCTGTATCAACACCTCGTTCCAGCAGTCCTCGTGACTACCCACCTATCTCCTACTCCCCAGAGATACCGATACCGATAAGATAAGATTAGATCTCTATCGGAAGCCCCGGCTATCTTATCGCGACCCCGCTTTTCCCCTCCGATTTGCTGATTTTTCTCCTCGGCTTTCTCTCTGATAAAACAGTCCTTTCTCAAGCCAAAGAACAAGCCGCCCCAAAACTAGTCCAAGCTCAAACAGCAGCTTATATCCCGTCCCCCCACAGCTCCCCCAGAACGATCCATAGACCTGGTAATTCACACCTCGAACCACCCACACCACCACCGCCACCACCACCTCCCTCATCACAACCGCTTGGAAAAATCCCAGACCATTATTAAACCGTTAACAGCCAACGCCCACCATGGACTCCCCAGCCTGGACCACGCCCCTGGACCGCATCAGCGTCCTCGAGCAGGACCGATCCCTGCTTAACCTGATGACCATCATCCGGGACCAAACCACCAGCGACCGGGATTTCTCGTCCGCGGTCGAGAAAGTCGTGCGGAGGTTAATCGCCTCAGGTAGGGAATTTTCTTCGCTGTACAAACAACCAGGAATGTCTAGCCCTAAGCTGACAATAAAAACAGCATTGAACCACGTCCCCGCGGAAGAACACACCATCACCACACCCCTCAACGCCACCTACACCGGCGTCCGCTTCACCAAGGGTGTGTGTGGCGTGAGTATCCTGCGCGCGGGCGCCTGCATGGAGCAGGCGCTGCGGGATACGTGGACGTGCGTAGTACCCATCTACTATCTACCCTGTACTCTCCAGCATACCTGGAGCTTCCCCAGTACTTTCTCGCTGATACTTACTTTATCCTCTCCAGAGGCCCCCTCAGCTTCGGCAAACTGCTCATCCAGCGCGACGAGGAGACGAGTATTGCGAAGATCTACTACTCCAAACTCCCCGCTAGTATCACTAAGGATGGTCAGTCTATCCTACAACATCACCATACCATAGTTAACTAACCATAAATCAAGTCGTCCTCCTCCTCGAACCAATGCTCGCGACCGGCGGCTCGGTGATCAAAGCCGTCGAGACACTCACCGGAAACGGCGTCCCGGAGGACTCGATCGTGCTCGTGAATGTGGTCTCGTCTCGGAAGGGACTGGATGTTGTGTCGGGGAGGTTTCCGGGGCTGAAGATTGTCTCTGCGGCTGTGGATATGGAGTTAACGGCTCAGAAGTAAGACTAGCCCTTTTGCTCTATTTCGATATTTTCCCCTCTCCTGATCATCTTCTTGCCTTTTTTTATTTTTTTTTATTTTTTCTTTCGGATTGTGTTGCTGACTATGTCGTAGTTATATCAGCCCCGGACTGGGAGATTTCGGGGATAGGTACTATGGGACTTGTGCTTAGGGAGATCGGTTGAGATGTTGGGTTATCTTTGGTTTTTTTGGGCTTGAGTTAGGGCATATTGACTGGGGCGTGGAGGCATGGTGTTTATTATTGTATATATGCTTTGGTTTTTATAGGGGTGTAGGTGGGTTGTGAATGGGTTTCAAAGTGCATAGTGAGGTGTTTGAAGACTGTGGTATGGCGATTGAGGGTAAAGTTCATAGTTTAGTTTGTGCAGAGATCGAATCATCTCAAGTCAAATTCTACAGTAAGAACAAAATCGGCTTTCTTATTATCTGAAGTTCAAAAGAGTCACCGTCTGACTGTGTCCCAGATCACCTCGGAAATGCCTACTACCAATGATCGAAACAGAACACGCGGTCTTGGAAGGATTTGAACAATTCTTACTCTATGATTATTCTATTCCCACAGCACCTAATCAAACGCCGTCCCATACAGCCTATCCCCAATATCCCCCACCCCAGGCTGGATATACCCCTTCGCATCGACCTCCGGATCCACCGCCGCAACCACAAACCGACTCCCCTCCGGCCACACCGACGCCGCATGCTGCAACCCAACCGGAGTCGACAAGATCGACAGAAACGTCACTTTCTCAACCCCCCACTCCCTGTAAAGTAATCCAGGTCAGATCCTATCCAGACAACCACAAAACAGACAAGATAACAAAAACCAAAAACAAACAAACAAAAAAAAAAAGAAAAAAAAAAGAACTCACTGCAAAATTCCCACCACCGCCGCGGCAGTCCCCCCCGTCGCAATCAACGGATCCAACACAACAGCCTGTGTGATATGCTCCGGCTTGACAGGAAGCTTATTGTAGTACTCGACGGGCTGCAGCGACTGCTCGTCGCGGAAGATGCCCATGTGGTAGACGGCCGTGGAGATATCCGTGGGGATGTTGTCCATGAAGCCGTCGAACATGGCTAGGCCGGAGCGCAGGACCACGATCACGGCGATGGTTTCGGTTGGCGTCGCGTCGATGGTCGTGGCTTTTGTGAGGGAGGCGGTGAGGTCGTGGACGAGAGAGCGGACTTTGCGGGGTGGGAGGGGGCGGGTGCGTAGTTTGGTGAGGAGGGAGGAGGAGGAGGAGGAGGAGGAGGAGGAGGAGGAGGAGGAGGAGGGTTGGAGGTGGATGTTGGGGGGAAGGGAGAGGGTCATTTTGGCGGTTTGTCTTGGTTGTGAGGAAGGTGGGATGGAATCGGATGGGAAATGGGTACACGATGTTGAGATGGGAAGTGGTGAGGGAGGTTGGTTGACGTGGTGGGTGGGTATAAATAGGGCATCCACAGAGGAACATTAACTGGTCTTGCTGTCTACTAGTTACTATTTCACAGTCTACTCCTGTTGACAGTGATAGTGATAGGATCTATCAAAACTACTATCAGATAAGATACAAGTATCAGCCGAGGAGATAAGCCCAGCCCAGCCCTTCCCCGCTTTCTGTTGTGTTGTTTTTGCTGGTGTTCCTTGCTTTCCTCTGCTTTCCCTCTGCTTTTCCTCTGCTTTCCCTCCTGTTCCCCCCTCCTTCCACCTCAGAAAACCTCTCATCTTTCATCTCTCATTTCTCGTCACCTCATCCCTCGAATTAGAAAAAAAAAACATCATACTTCCAACTTCCATCAAACATGGACCCCCGCATCCAACCCCTCCTCGGCCTCGAAGCCGTCCGCGCCCGATCCCGCACCGTTCTCCACCTGGCCGAGCAAGGCAAACTCCACCACTACGACTACCACCCCGAGCGTCTCGACGCGACAGTCGAGTACGTCGTGAGCATAATCCAGGTACGCTCAACTCCCCCCTTTCCCGCCCAAATAGCTAACAAAGGCGACCCCAAAAAGCGCGACTTCGGCCCGACCGCTACGACCAAATCCCCCCCACGGTCGCTGGCAGCACTTCGAAGTGGGCGACGAGCCCAGGATCCAACAACTGCTCTCGAAATGGGATGCAGTGGGGTACGACGACACCGAAAAGGTGCGGAGTCTGCTGGATCTGTTCTTTGTGTCGGTGCTGCTGGATGCAGGGGCCGGGGATACGTGGAGCTTTCGGGAGCCGGGGACCGGGAAGGTTTACACGCGCAGTGAGGGGATTGCGGTGGCATCCCTGTATATGTTTTTGGAGGGCGAATTTGCGAAGACGGGGGAGGAGCGGAGGGATGTTGTGCATGGTATGTTGCTTGTCGAGTCTTGGAATGGGTTGCTGATGATGGGTTGTGTGCAGGTGAGGCGCTACGGACGCTCGGGGTGGATGTGCTCCGGCGTGGGTTCCAGGTTGATGACGACAAGAACCCGCTCGTTGGGGCTGGAGCGCGCGTGGAAATCCTCCAGAGACTGGGTGAATCGCTGATGAATCTCCCGGATGTGTTCGGTGCGGATGGCCGACCGGGGCGGATTGCAGGTGTGTGATTGATTCCTTGACCGTGCAAATATGGTGGATAGTGATCTGATTCGAACAATAATAGATCACCTCCTCGCAACGAGCGACGAAAACCTCGACTACGCCACCCTCTGGGCCGTCCTCCAGCGAACCCTCATCCCCATCTGGCCCTCCGACCGAACCAAAGTGCACGGACACCCAGTCGGAGACGCCTGGCCGCTTTCCTCGCTGGCAGAAGCCACAACCACATCCTCCCCCGACCCCTCGACGGCCAACATCCAACCCTTCCACAAACTCACGCAATGGCTCGCCTACTCCCTCAAAGTCCCCTTTGAGCGCCTTCTCTCCAAGAAGTGGAAGAACGCCGAGCTGGGCACGGGTCTGCCCGAGTACCGCAACGGCGGGCTATTCGTGGACATGGGTGTGTTGACCCTAAAGCCCGCAGCGCTGGAACGCGGACTGCGCATTTCCGGGGGCGGTCTGCCGTGTTTTGCGGTCGGGGATGGCGAGATTGTCGAGTGGCGGGCGATGACGGTCGCGTTGTTGGATGAGCTGCACAAGCGGATCCTCGAGAGTGGGAAGTTCGGGGATGTGAAGCTGACGCTGCCGCAGATGCTGGAGGCTGGGTCGTGGAAGGCAGGCCGGCAGTTGGCGGCAGAGAGGAGGCCCGAGACCAAGTCGAGTCCGATTTTGAATTCGGGGGATGGGACGTTGTTCTAGATGATCGTTTACAAGACACGCTTTTCCTGCTTCTATCAGTGTTCTCTCGGTGCGTAGTGTAATTTCTTGCATTTGGCGTGTTTAAGGGGCGAATAGCCACACAGCCACTTTTCCCCTTCAGATGAATGCATAAGACCATGACTACTCCGTACTACCACGGCACAAAATATGCCCAGGAATGCAATCCAGAGACCCCACAAGATAAGATTAGACAAGATAAGCAGGAGCACCTCTTATCAGGGGATGTGATTGGCCCCGTGCCCCCCCCCCGGGTATCTCCCAGGGGGCAGATCTGGTCGTATCTCGCACTATCTCAGGCGCCCCGGCTGATAGTCTCGGAGTGATCCAGATAAATCAATTCAGAGAGATCCCACTCCGCAGAGTGGATGCCATTCCAGTATCGCATCACAGACTGTCTTATCGCCTATCAGGTAGCGTCGACATCACCCCCCTGCCTCCCCCAGGCTGCCCGGGCATGCCCGTGGACGAAAAGCATATAATGGTCGCATTTCCCTGGATGAAACCCAAGTCTCACGTCTTAACCATCGTGTCTTTCTCACTTCACCGTCTTCCTCATTCCCTTTCTTCCACACAAGTGCTCAAACCGGAGCAAAGACACATCTCACCATGACAACAACAACAACAACACAACCCCCCCACCCCTCGACGGAGCACTACAGCAACCGCATCGTCGTAAGCCCTAAGCCCTCTCCCCTCTCCCTCCCAAACCACCAAACTAACCACCCCCCTCCCAGCTTACCACCTACCCCAGCCAGAGCGTCGCGAACCCCATCCCGCTCGAATGGGGCGCATCTTCCCCCTCCACCCGCGGGCCGGTGATCGTCTCGCGTTCGAAAAACACCCTCTCCAAGCGCAACGCGATCGGGGCCCACGGAGGCAGCTACGCGATCTACACGGCCCTAGCCATCGCCTCCGGGGACCTAGAGCCCGACTTCCGCCCCAACTTCCTCAACACGCAGCCCACCTTCGACTTCACCCCGCAGCCGGCCTGGCACGACAAGACCAAGATCGTCTCCCTGGACCCCTTCGGCCACGATATCGTGAAATACTACCGCCCCTACCTCGAGGAGCGGCTAGACGTGCGACCCACCATCGCGATCACGCGCGCCACGATGCGCGTCTCCGAAGTGACCGAGGCGATTAGAATCGGCCGCCTGCCCATCGACGGCACCATCGTCCTGAACGAACAGGGCGACGTGCGCGTCACAAAGGTCGCCGCCGAACCGGTCTGGTACCTCCCCGGGGTGGCCTCGCGGTTCGGCGTCGAAGAGAAGGACCTCCGCCGCGCGCTCTTCGAACATACCGGGGGCAGTTACCCCGAGCTTATCACCAGACCAGATATCAAGGTATTCTTGCCGCCGATCGGCGGGCTGACGGTCTATATCTTTGGCCCACCGGAGCGGGTATCAGACCCGAATGTTCGGCTGGCGTTGCGGGTGCATGATGAGTGTAACGGGTCGGATGTGTTTCAGTCGGATATCTGTACGTGTCGGCCGTATCTGACGTTTGGGATTGAGGAGGCGATCAAGGAGGCGCAGGGGGGCGGGTCGGGTGTCGTGATCTATTTCCGCAAGGAGGGGAGAGCGCTGGGCGAGGTGGTCAAGTATTTGGTGTACAATTCGAGGAAGAGGGGTGGGGATACCGCCGATAAGTATTTTCAGAGGACGGAGAATATTGCGGGGACGAAGGATGTATGTTTCTTCGCTCCCTTTGACTTGTTCGATGACGACGGTGCTGACGTTGTGTTTGTGGTTGGGGTAGATGCGTTTCCAGGCCCTGATGCCGGACATCCTGCACTGGCTGGGTATCACGAAGATCGACCGCATGCTGTCCATGTCGAATATGAAGCATGATGCCATTGTCGAGCAGGGGATTCCGATCTACGAGCGGGTGCCGATTCCGGATGGTATGTGTCGCTTATCACCGGTTTTGTTTGGGGTTTCTTTCTGACAGCTCGGGCAGAGATGATTCCCGAGGATTCGCGCGTGGAGATCGATGCGAAGATCCATTCCGGGTACTTTACCACCGGGCGTCCGGTAACAGAGGAGGATCTGAAAGCGGTCAAGGGGAGAGGGTGGGAGTCGTGGGAGGATGTAACGGTGAGTTGACTATCCTTCTGTCGGGTAAGAAGGGACTGACGATTGTTTAGCATTGATGCGATATGGCTAGAGGGGTTTCTTAGATTTTAAGTGGATAGGAATCGATGAATTAATTGGGTCGTGTTTTCTTTTCTGGAGTGGAGTAGGCGTGGGAAGTAGCAACTGAGAGCCACGTGCTCATCCATACCCTGAAGCGACATTCAAGCTACTCGCAGACAGAGACAGACGTAGGAAGAACGGCTCGGATATCACTTTTGCAGGGTTGCGGTGGTAGACAGATTTCAGAGACGGTCGGATAATCCATTCACTTCATCATATTTATTTTGTCTCAATATTTTCAATAATTCTTTGGGGGTATCGTGATAGATGAGAGGGCCAACGTCTTCCTTATCCATGCCGAAGAGTTGTTGTTGTCGGACGCTTAGATGATTAGAGGAGAACTCGACCGAATTGTTGCACAGAATTGGAATAATGCCCAGCGTCGTACTCGAAAATCCCTTGCATAATGAATTCGAAAGACATCGTCAGAGGGAAGAAGAAAGTGGTCCTGCAAGGGATCTCGTAATCCACCCGAGTGAATGTGGCCGTGCCAAGGAACATGCTTTTTCCATTTGCACCACGTGTTGTCCCTGCACTCTATCCCACATTCACCGATCATCCGCCAAGTTCAATCCCCAAGACACATATTGACTCAACGCACAGGATGTGGTGTCTCTTTCACACCACCAGCACGGATGCCATGGGAACGACACGGGAGTGAATGCCTCAGCCGCCAGCCAAACCGCCCGGCTAGCGCAGCGCCAAACCGACACTAAAGGCACCGGGACCTGGGGGCGGTGTTGAGCTGGTGCTTTGCCGAGGCTTGGCTGCAGAACGGGAGTGGATGGGGAATGTCCGTCGCCGGCGGTGCCGATATCCGATCTCGCCGTACCGAGCGAAGCAACCAAACAGGCATTGATATTATTCACCCAGATGAGACGGCCACACGGCCAGAGACGGAGACGCGGTTCGCACGTAATCCGTGGCCGGGCAGGGTAGCACATGTATCACATCACACGCCCCAGCCTACCAAGGCCCGAATTCAATGAACCAGGACGCAGCCGCTGTGGATCGGCGGCCGGCAGCGCTGGAGTTCACACGGAGTGACCCGGTTTTTTTAGTGCTGTTGCTTACCCTTGGTCTGAGCCGAAGAGATTGCAATTGCTTGATAAACCGCAGGTCTGCTGACGGCGGATACTGTTGTTCGGTCGTTCGCTCGCTCTCTCACTCACTCTTTTGTGTCTGTCGGAGTGTCAGTGTCATGATTCTCTATCCCCAGATAATAATGTGCTAATGACAAGTTCCTGAACCCCCTCCAAAATAACCTCCCACCCAGGGGATTCCGAAACCCAAAAAAATCCAAACAAAACACAAAAAAAAGGAAAAGAAAAGGAAATGCCCAACATCGACAGGGAAGACACGCCGCAGAAAGAGGCCGGGCCCAAGCCCCTCCAGGCCGGCGTCTACCGCAACCAGATCCCCTTCTGGCGACTGCTCACCGACCAAGGAGCCATCACGCAGGAAGTGCTCGAATTCGAGTTCCCCGGCAGCGGAACCGAAGACGACCCGTACGCGGTCTCATGGATCCCTCACGACAGCCGCAACCCGCTGCTCTTCAGCCTGGGCAAGAAGCTAAGCATCACGCTGATCGTGGCCTTCTCCACCCTCACCGTGGCCCTCACCTCGTCCACGTACAGCGGCAGCATCAGCGAAATCACCGCCCACTTCGGCGTCAGCGCAGAGGTCGCGACCATCGGCCTGTCGCTGTTCGTGCTCGGCTTCGCCGTGGGCCCGCTGCTCTGGGCCCCCGTCAGCGAGGTCTTCGGCCGCCAGATCCCCTTCTTCTTCAGCTTCATGGGCATGGCCGCCTTCTCCGCTGGCTGTGCCGGTGCCCCCAACATCTGGTCCCTGTGCATCCTGCGCTTCTTCGCGGGCGCCTTTGGCGCCGCCCCCTTCACTAACGCCGGCGGCACCATCTCTGATATGTTCACGGCCAGACAGCGCGGCCTGGCACTCAGTCTGTACGCCGCGGCGCCGTTCCTGGGACCGGCCCTGGGCCCCATCATCGGCGGGTTCATGGGCATGCGCGCGGGCTGGCGCTGGGTCGAGGGGTTCCTGGCTGCGCTGGCCGGGTTCGTCTGGCTGCTCATGACCGTCTCCATCCCCGAGACGTATGCGCCGCGGTTGCTGCGGCAGCGCGCGGAGCGCCTCTCGCAGCTGACGGGTCGTGTATACCGCAGCAAGGTCGAGCTAGACAAGGGCAAGGTGTCGCTGGATCGACTGCTCAAGACCTCAATGTTGCGACCGTGGGTACTTCTCTTCCGCGAACCGATCGTGCTGCTCTTCGCGCTGTACATCGCCATCGTGTACGGGACGCTGTACATGTTCTTCTCAGCGTTCCCGATCGTGTTCGAGGACGTGCGCGGGTGGAATCCGGGCGTGGGCGGCCTGGCGTTCCTGGGGATCATGGTGGGGATGATCATCGGGGTGGGATGCACCATCCCCGCCAACTTCCACTATATCCGGGTGCAGGAGCGATGCGGGGGGTTCGCGCCTCCAGAGACTCGGCTCATCCAGTGCATGCCAGGAGCGCTGGCCATCCCCATCAGCCAGTTCTGGTTCGCGTGGACCGATTCGCCGTCCATCCATTGGAGCGTCAGTATCATTGCCACGGCGCCGTTCGGGTTCGGTGTTATTCTGATCTATCTCGGTGTGATGAATTACCTGATCGATTCGTATACGATCTATGCGGCGTCTGTGCTGGCCGCGAATACCGTCCTGCGGTCGGTTTTTGGGGCCATCTTCCCCATCATCGCGACGTATATGTATAGTGGCGTGGGGATTCATTGGGCGCCGTCCATCCCGGCCTTCTTGTCGCTGCTGTGCATGCCTGCGCCGTTCTTGTTCTATAAGTATGGCGCGGCGATTCGCACCCGCTGCAAGTATGCCGCGGAGTCGGATCGGTATATGCAGAAGCTGCAGGAGAATGCCACGAGGAGGTCCGAGGTTGTTGAGAAGGCGCGTCCGGTCAAGGACGAGCCGATGGTGCCGGCGGATGGGGAGCCGGGTATGTCGAGGGCGGCGGAGGGAGGGTTGAAATAATTAATTGATCTGTAGATAATAGATACTAGATTATATATATAGACGGTGAGACAATAGCAAAAGTAATGCTTGATTCCGCTCTTCAGAATGCTCACTACGCTAATCTCAGCCCTTCCCAAACAGGTATCATCCAAGCCATGCCCATCCCCTAACCAATGTTCTATATGAAGAAAGCTCATCAATCACCCCATAAACCTCTCCAGCACAACCCTAATATCCGGATCAAACGCCTCATGCACGGCATCCCACCCGCATTTCAACTGCGCCTTCTCCAAATCCCTACACCTCCTCTCTTCAACATCATTGCCAGCCCCCATCCCATCAACCCCCAACAACCCACATTCCCCCAACATCCTCCCAGGAGGAACCGTCACCCTCCCCTGCTTAAACACCACCCTCGAGACACACGTCGCGAAAACACTCTTCTTCGCACCCTCCTTCCCCTCGCTGCCATCCCCATCCTCTTCTCCCCGCCCCCTTCCCCTCCCCCTCCCCCGAAAGACCCCCGGCACCACAAAATGCGAAACAACATACATCCACTTCTCATCCCACGAGAACACCCTCGTCCAGATATCGTACGCCTGGTACGGGCTGATTTCCTTTCTGAAGACGCACTGCACGCCGCCGAGGATCACGATGATAAATGGTAGTGAGGAGGAAGATGTGATGGTGGTGATGGCGGTGGTGGGACGGAGAGCGAGACGGGATCCGAAGAGCAGGGCGCAGAGGTTTGCGCGTGATACGTCCACGTCGGAGAGGTAGGTCGAGTTGGATTTGTGGAGGTTGTAGTCGCATTCGCTGAGGGGGGAGCGGGATGTGCTGATTATGGGGAGGAAGAGGTGGGTGGGGGTTAGGGCTTGGGGTTGGGATTGGGGATTGGGGCCGAGAGGGGAGAAGGAGGAGGAGAAGGGGGGTTGGAGGGGAGAGGAAGGATGGCGCGGAAGGAGCGGATCTGGGGTGGGAGAGGATTGATTAGTTGATGGGTGGGATGGGATTGGGATATTTTTGTTTTGGGGGGGGCGTCAGAGGGGGAACGTACATGCCACACGCATGGCAGATTCTTGTACCCTGCTAGCAGGATAAAGACGGCGATGAGCAGGAGGTATATCCACTCTGGCATGGTGGCTGTGTTGAGCGGAGGTGGTTGAGGTTGAGGTGTGGGTTAAGCTTCTTCATCCTTCACGTCACGTACAGCTATTTATTTATCTTGCGGGGATGAATTCATCTTTCAGCCCTCTTTCCAGCCGCTGAAAGAAGGTTGTGGCTCGGGGGGTTAGGGTTTGTCGTTGCCTGTCTTTGGCGGGCGAAACTGGATTGGATGGGATTGTGTTGGCCGAGGTGAACCTAGACATAACCTAATTTTGCAGTCTACGACAAAGGGGTTATGAGAGAATGATTATAGATTGTGTCATTTATCCTGTGCGGTGGGTGTCGACTCGGATGGACTTGGATTGTAGATGTCATCTTGACTAGTATTTACTTGCTGTGGCTGGGGGTCTGCGGGAACCGGTCAATATCTGCTGTGGCTGAACACTTATGTTGATGTCAGTGAGAGAAGGATGATTTCGAAATTTCAAAATCATGCTCGGCTTATCAATGGTATGCGGACACTATGCGATGGATAGTATTTGAGGATGACCATGGAGAATTTGTTGACAATAATAAGTACAACTGCTGATGCTGAAAATTTTGTCTCGGGTAGTGAGATTTATTTCATCTGACTCTGAACATGAATCGCATCTACCTGTAATATATAGCATTCCGACCTTTCTACCTGTTTTTATATCAGTCTTGATGTGACGTGCTCAAATCATCCATCAAACCAAACAAATACAACATCCCAGACAACTGTTGATCTTGTGCCAAGTCACGAGTAAACAGGCCCCTAGAAATACGAGAAAGTATCTATCAAGAGCATCTCAAGGATGAAACTCCGGAAAAAATAATAATCAAGGCAATCAATCCTACTGACAGAAAATCCAGAATGAATAGACAATCATCAAATACCACCAGGCTACAAATCATCAGGTCAAGGCCTGGCAGGCTCACTACGGAGTATACTACACCAGAATTCCCATTAGCCCAGGCGCGCCCCAGCTACAGCCGTCAGAGATGCTTCTCCAAAACAAGCCTCTGCGAGACGAAGCCATGCCCCGACAACGCGAGGGGCACGACAGATCAACAGCACTCACTAGTGTCCAGGGTACCAGGGTACACGGTAGTTTATGCACGGTCCAGGTGCGACGATCCCACCCACTCACCCCCCCCTATCAACGGTGAGGTGAGACTGGCAACTAAGATATATACGGAGCACAACAACCCACCATTGGCCCGGAGAGCACCAACTCCAAACTTTCCTCTACATACAATGATGACCATGAGGCAGATACCGTTCGCCTATGACCTATCACTACACCCGGATTTCTCAACCATACATCCCACAAACTGGGGTAGATGAGCCCCTATCTCCCCCATTCATCCCTTTATTGGCACTCCTGCGCAGTCCGCGGAAATGAGCGACTGGAATGCAGGACCCTGTCCGTGGCTGCGATAAGATGGGAGGATATGAGTTGCCCGGAGAGGGCTTGGCAGTCAGACCGATTCTGCGTTAGTCTCCGGTGGCCGCAGTCCAGTCTGGGTCGAACCTTAAATGGGCCCGAGTTTGCATACTCGAGTCCACAAAGGCGCTGTCGATCCGATAACGTACTTGGCCCTTTTAGTGGATGTGATTGGTCATGGCTTTTAGGTAGGGTTGTAGGGTTGTAGGGTTGGTATATATACTAGTCTGTGTGTTTTCGACGTGGGTTGCGTTTTCCGGCGGACGATTTATTGTGACCCAGTCCCAATAGCAGCTCGGTTAGGCCAACTGGTCTGTATAACTTGCTACGTGCTGTCTGTTTGCTGGGACCGTCACCATGTCAGTCGGCCTGGACGCATACACCGCAGCGGAGGTGATCGAGTTTGTCTCGCGCACGGGGGTGACCAAGGGCAACATGCGCCTCGACAAGGTGTTCCTGAGCTCGGTGTCCGCGGGCTGTCTCCTGGCGTTTGCGTGCGGGACGGCCCTGAGCACCAACACCAGCTCGTGGTTCCAGGAGAACGCCCCCGGGTTGATCCGGACCATTGGCGCGCTGGTCTTCCCGTACGGACTGTGCATGATTATCCTGACCGGGGCGGATCTGTGCACGGGCTCGTTCATGGTATGTCCGTGCTCTTGCGTTTGATTTACAGTCTTGGTTGACAGTCATACGGTAGTATACGACCGTGGCTGCCCTACAGCGGCAGATTCCGTGGTGGAGGATGCTGCTGCATTGGTTCATTACCTTCTGGGGAAACCTGTGCGGATCGCTGTTTGTCGTGGCGATTATCTTCGGGTGTATGTTCTTCTCTCCTCCCGAGTTATGAAACAAAAAGCAAAAGTTAGGGTAAGACTAATTAATGAGAACAGACGGCAACGTCTTCGCCGTCGACCCATACAAATCCGAGGCCATCTCATTCGCGACCAAGAAGCAAGTCACTCCGGAGTTCCAACAGATCTTCGTGCGCGGAATCGGCTGCAACTGGCTGGTCTGTCTGGCGTGTTTCTTCGGGCTGCAGGGCCGCGATCTCGCGTCCAAGGTGATCGGGATCTGGTGGCCGATATTCGCCTTCGTGTCGCTGGGCCTGGATCACGTCGTCGCCAATATGACCTTCATTCCGCTGAGCATCTGGCTCGAGGCGCCGGGGATCACCGTCGGGCTGTATATCTGGAAGGGGATCATCCCGACCCTGCTGGGGAATATTGTCGGGGGTGGGCTATTTGTCGGTAGGTGTTTATCCGTGAGGGATGTGAGGATGAGGCTAATGTGTCAGGCACGTACTACTGGTACATGTATCTCGTGCAGGGGGAGTGGTTGACCCTGGCGGGGTTGAGGAGGCAGTATGCTAACTCGTCCGAGACGAGTGCGGGGAATGGGGTGGAGGGACGGGGGGACGTGGAAGCGGAGGCTGGGGTGGTTGATGGGAACGTTAAGAGAGATACGTGATTGTCGCGTTGCTGTGGGGGTGTTGTTGATTGGATATATAGCCTAATGTAATGTCGGACATCCACCTGGTGATAATGAAAGTCGATCTGAGCTTTTCCCGCCCGTCTGGAAGGTCCGGAGATGATGATGAAATGGATGTTCTAGCACGGGAGTAACATCCCGCTGCTGATCTACTATTGTTAGCCATGGATCAAGGCTGGCAATCGCGCCACTTGGCCAGCGCATATCAACCTCTGACAGAGAGGCCGCTCCGCTGATACAAAGAAAAAACCCCCGCTCAAAGCCCCCTCGGAAGGTCTGACATCCTCGAGGGCCCGGCGGAAGAAGTAATAGACGGGGTGTTCCGGAGAAAGCTCGCATGCAGCGTCGACAAAATTAGCCAGGTAGTCTGCGGGTGTAAATTGAAGCATGACTTCATAAGAGGATAAGATATTTGCCTGTAGTGGGGGACATGGTGGATCCTGTAGCTTTTACCTGCAGTGCGATCGTCCAGTTGGCATGGTAGATGTGTGATGGTGAGAGCTTGAAGTTCATGACAAAAAAAACTCCGAGGAAGTTACTGGGGTAAAATTAGTAATCCCGAACGCAGCCAGTAGATATCCTGCAGTGGACACGACCGTCCGAGTGCTATAAATAAGCCAGGAAGAGGGATGATCCCCAGGCAGCCGCTGTCAAAAGTGTTGCCTGGGGCACAAGCATCTCCCGGCCAATCAGCCGCCGGCAATATTTACGCCCGGGCCAATCCCGAAGCAGCCTAGTGCAGACCGGATTCAGGCATTCACCCTGCGTCTCCAACCCTCATCAGTCTGGGTCAGTCTGGGTCAGTCTGTCAGTCTGTCAGTCACTGTCGGCATCATGGCCTATAAACCCCCCATCGCCGTGGGCTCCTCGCCCATCACCACCTCCTGACACGGTCTCTTACCATCATGGTTCTCAACGACACCCCACCGCCGCTGCCCCCTCGCCCAACCCCAACCCTCAACCCAGTGGACATCGACATCGACATCAACATAACCACCAAAACACCCCTCACCACAACCACCACCACCACCCCAATCCTCATCCACAACCAAATCCCCTCCACCTTCCCGCGCCCCTCCGCCATCCTCCCCAAACCCATCGTCATCCCCCGTACGCTCCCCCCCCCCCCCCCCTCCCCAATCCAAACAAACTAACCCCCCCCCCCTTCTCTCAAACCAGAAACATCCCACACCCTCCACGGCACCTGCTACCGACCCTTCCTGCGCGCCTACCCATCATCCCCATCCTCATCCCTCCCCACAACCACCACCAACAACGCACTCCCCATCCCGCCCACCGACTTCCTCACCTTCATCGACGCCCTCAACGAAGTCTGGCTCGCGCACCCCTACTTCCAAGTCGCCAGCACAACCGGCAACCTGCTGGGCTTCGTCCCGCTGCTGGAGTTCCAGCTCCTGGCGCTGGGCGTGCAGACCGCCGCCGAGTGCGGCGCCTTCCAACTCTCGCGGATGCGCACCCAGGCGTACATGCGGCTCGCCAATGAGCAGCTGTTTGCGCCGAGGGGGCTGCGCGCGCAGGTTTTGACCACCAGGGGGATGATGCGTGAGGTGGGGGTTCCGGGGGAGGTGTTGGCGTTGCCGGACCTTAGGAAGGAGGAGGTTTTTGGGGATGGGGAGGGGGATACACAGGGGAGTACTACCAGTAGTACTACTAGTACAGTGGAAATAGGGGGAGGGGGAGGGGGCCATGATCCGCAGATGAGACGCATGGAAGCGATCAAGGAATATGTGTGTCCGGTTGTGGTGGAGGGGCGGAAGAAGAAGAATGTGTCAGGGACTGGGGCTGGGGAGGATGGCAATTGGTTGAAACGGGCGGCGGAAAAGCAGGAAATGTGGTTTACGGAGAGACAGAATACTGGGCTGGTTGGGCGGAGGAGTAAGGCCGTCCGGGCGATTGGGGAGGCGGAGGCCGCGGAGAACGAGCTGCTGGTGAAGATGGATGAGGTGGAGATGGCCATGGATGAGGTGCGAGAACGCGCCAGGGAGCGCTTGCGGGGCCCGCTGGGCGAGTCGCTGCAGGGACGGGGCATCGTGCAGGATGATCTGCAGAAGGATCTGAAGAAGCTGGACAAGAAGATGGGCAGGCTGGTCAGGGAGCGCGCGAAGAGGGTGACGCGGCGCATGCAGCAGGGCGAGAGGCGCATCCAGCGGGTCGAGAAGAGGGAGAATAAGATCGCGCAGCGGGTGATGTGGGTGGTCGTGACGGGGGATGATGGGACCCGGGGGGGGGGGGGGGGGGGGTTCCGGAATGATCTCTACGAGGAGGATTGAGCAGACAGACAGACAAGATTAAACCGATTGCTTGTTATGGCTATGTCTACAGCACGTAGCGGAAGAACGGGTTCTGCTTGTCGGATAGATCCTGGAAGGCGAGCTTGTCGCGCAGGCTCTCGTCCAGATCCATGGCGTCGCGACGGCGGTTCTCGCGCCACAGCACCCCGTACAGCGCGACGGCCGCCGCGATGGTGATGCAATAGCAGATCACCATCCCCTTCCACAGCGTCGGGTAGTGCTGGTCGACCGTCTGGCTGTTGACCAGCTGCGGCCCGATGATGTTGCCGACGGTGTAGGCCACGAATACCGTCGCCGCCATGACCGTCTTCTTCGTCGCGCCGGCCACGTTGCTGGCCCCCAGCGTGATGATCAGGCTGACCACCGGCCCGAAGAATCCGGTGATGGCGTAGCCCACCACCGGGGCGGCCGGGTGGTAGCCCCAGGTCGACTTCCAGATGATCACGCAGCCGGCGATGACGGGGAGACAGCAGGCGATGAGCATGGGGATGCGCGTGTTGGGCACGCGGGAGCCGATGTACCCGCACAGGGGGATGAAGATGAGGCAGATGCCGCCGACGGGGAACTGGAACAGGATCGAGTCGAGGGTGTCGAAGCCGAAGGTGGACACGATCAAGGGGCCGAACCCGGAGATGGCGCCGTTGATGGTATATCTGAGCAGTCAGCACGTCTTATCTATCCCATAAAGAAAGGGAGCAGGATTCTCACGCCGCAGCCATCATAATCGCCACCAGGTACACCTTCACATCCAAAAACGCCTCCATGATCTGCTCCCTCTTGATAACCTGACAGCGGACGCCCGTCTGCCCCTTCCGCAGGCGTTCCACCGCGACTCTCCTCTCCTCCGCGGTCAAGAACCAGGCCTCGACCGGCGAATTGGGCATGATACAACACCACACCCCAAAGAGAAAGGTCAACGCCCCCGCAAAGATATAGATATACTGCCAGGGCCTGAGCGCGCCGGAATCAATCTGCCCAAAGGCGTAGTTCAGCGCACTCCCGATGATGGTGAACCAGCCAGTCCCGGAAAACCACCACGCCTGGCGCAGGCTCTGCTCTTGTTGCGTGTAGTATCCGCTCACGACTGTCATGAAGCCGGTGGGGATTACGCTTTCTATGAACCCTGTATGCAGCACCCATTAGCTCGTCTGACCTGACCGTTGGTCGAGATTGGGAGGGAGGTAGATAGGTGGTAGGTCCTACCTAGGAAAAACCGCTGCACGAACAGTCCCCGCCATGAACTCACCCCGGCCGTGGCTGCGCATGTCACGGCCCACAGCATGACGATCGGGCCCAACACCCGCTGGATGCGGAAGCGCTGCAGCACAAAGGTCATGGGGTACAGGCCGGCCATCATGCCGAAGTAGAAGATCGAGGTGGCCCAGCTCAGGCGCGAGGTGTCCTTGGATGGTGGCGTGGTGCTGTAGTCGATGACGGAGAGCTGGAGATCGGTTGTCATGCCGAATAGCGAGGCGCTGCCCAGGATGGCCTGTCGTTGGTTAGCATTGGCCATCCACGGCACTTGATTGAAGTCCTGAGAGGATGGGGTATATGGTGGATGCACAGACCTTATCCCAGTAAACGAACCCATACCCTACATACAACCAGTCAGCACCAGCACCAGCACCAGCACCAGTAGTATCGTCCCCAAAGGAAAGAAGCAAGACTCACCAACCAACATCGCCGGCATAAAAAACCAATCGATCTTCCTGACCACCCTCCTCTCAATCACAGGGTCAATCTCCATCGCCTCCTCGCTGACCACCGCCAACGCGGCATCTTTATCCCCCGCGATGGTGGGGCGGCCCTCATCTGCATGTCTCGGATCAGGATCATGCTGATGGCGCTGAGACCCAGCACTAGGGACCTGGATCATGGTGGTAGCGACAATATCAATCAGATCACAAATCTACAGTGCTGTAAACAATGACTGGACGATATGTCTGCGGTTGTTGTCGTTTGTGACAAGCACTCAGCACGCGTCAGTGGAGTTTATAAAAAAAAAAAAAAATCTGTTCCCGCGGGGAAGCGTGCAGATCGCGGGTGCCACTGCGACTGCCATGTTGGACTTTGTTGGGATGGGCTGGCTCGGTTGGTCGACCGGTCGGTCGGGTTAAGGTTTCGGGTAGGTGGATTGTCTCTTCTCTGGGATTGAGGGCAGGGTCTGTGGATTCAGGATTGGTTCGTTTGGAGGGTGTTTGGGGTGGTAGTGGGGGTATACGGTAGTGTTGAGGGGAGGAGAGGGAGGGTGTTCGGAGGAGTGTACTCCGGGAAGGGGAGGGGAGGGATAGAGTTGGATAGCTTCATGGTGGTTTGATTTCGGGTTTAGAGGTGTGAAGATGGAGAGGGGTAGATGTTGTATTGGAAATGAGTTATCTGTATAGAGGGGTTTATGGGTGGTTGAAGGATTCACAATCAGAAGGGTGACAGGGACCCCTCTCCCCCGCTTAGGATTGACAGCTAGCAGCTAGGTAGTAGTGTGTAGTATCATGATAGCATGTATCTATATGAATATCACTAGACTGAGTCGGAGCTCTTGAGTGGCCAGTGGTCAGTTGTTAAAGTATCTGCGTTAATTAGTTACCCGTCATATTAAGGAAGACATAACATTGAATTTTCTGCCCTGGATGATTTCCAGGCGAGTGGAAAGTCATTGCGACAATATTATATATAAACCACGCAGCTGGTTATATCACTGTTGCTATCAGAGTACTACTAGTACAAAATTACAGTTCGTTCCCGGGACATTAAACAGCTAGAATAATGTCTACATGTGCTACTAGAAACCCTAACCATTCAATCTCATCAAACACAGTGTCAAAATTCCAAGGACAATGCCCCCGACCACACCCACCACTCCCAATTTTCAAATCCCGTCCGAGCAAATGTGGAGCCGGTACCGGTGCCGGCACCGGCACCTCGCTAATCCACAAATAACAACAGTACTACTAATAGTGATAATAATAATGAACACAACTATTATATACAATGAAATATTTCCTGTTATTGTCCGCCGGAAAAGCCACCCGAACTCCGAACCCACCTGCACCTTCCTTCCTACTCTGGTATGCAGGCATGTAGATACACTATCTATATTCCGTATCCACGCCAACAAAAGCAAGCCGGCCGGCAGGGAGGGATTAAAAAACAGCATATCTGATCGAAAATCCGCGCCGACATCCCCGATCTCCACCGGCTGGGCCGATGATTGGCCGATCGAGAGGCTGGAGCCCGACCCAGATGTCATTCTTGCGTTGTGGGTCGCATCAGGCCACTCGAGCCTTGCTGGGAACTATCTAGCTAGCTGCCTGGGACAGTGATACAGGCTTGGAGGTGGTGGTTAGCTGCAGATGGCGTTGCAGGATTGACCGGCGGGCCGGTTCGTCATTCTTGCGCAGGTGGATGGCTATTATGATTATTAGCTCCGACTAGTGATACTGATAGTATTCTGCAGCGGTTTGGTGTATTTGGTATGGGGGTACGGGGTTGTATGTTTGTATGTTTTCTATAGAATGGTTGAGTTGAGATACTGGCTGTCTACCTGCCTGCCTATATAAAATCCACCTATACCTCCCAGGACGGTGGGCCCAGTGAAATAAACAGACCAGCCATTCCCAAAATAACACCGAGTCGGTAAGTAAGTACGTATCTATACGAACCACTCCTCCCCGAACCCGAGTCGAGTAGATTACAGGATAGTGTGAGGTAGGACAACGCACAGACAGCTGCAATGCCGCCGACTCCATCCTTCCTGGCCCCTTCCTGGCCCTAGTCCAGTAACTATCTAGCTGAGGTGAGGTGGCAAGAACCAAGAAGAAAAACCGGCATGCTAATCGGAAAAGTAAACCGACCCAGTCGGTAGGCTGTGTCCTCCATCCCAACCACAGTCGGTCGGAAGATGATTCCGCGGCCCAGTGAGACCCGTCATGCGTAATCGTGCCGATCTTTATTTGCGACTGCAGCACAGCAACATAAGCTAGTTATCGATATCGATTGGTGTGTATTTTGTTTGTAATGGACGGAGGGTGGTTTGGATACTGTAAGCAGATAGAAGAACGGGTATTATATTATGTCGAGGCCGTGTCTATCTAAATAGGGATTGTGGTGATAGATAGGGGTGAGAATAAGAAGATTATGATAGAATGCAAGAAAAGAAAATCGAGTTATTCATTACTTCATGCTTCATGTCATAACACATTCGTTTCAAGTCCAAACGCCTCATAGTAGTCATACTCATAGTCATAGTCCTTCCCCATAGTAGTCATACCCACCCACCCACCCCATCCCTAAGCCTAAGCAGAAGCAGAAGCAGAAGCAGAAGCAGGAAGTAAACCAGCTCACTCCCCTCCCTGCCCCTGCCCCTCCCCCCCAAGACTCAACCGATCCCACCTCCTAAGAAACGCATCCAAATCGCCCTCCCCACCCCCCGCCCCCGCCCCCTCCTCACAACCGACACAAAATGCGGATGCGGATAGAAGCTACTAAAAACCTGCACGTCGCGCTCCTTCCACGCGGCGGACTCAAAGTCCGCAAAAAGCACGTCCGTCTCCTCCGGCAGGACGACCTGGGCCTGCGTCGCCGAGAGCTGGATCATGCGCAGAATGCCCTTGGCGAGGGGGAAGCGGCGCGAGAAGGCGCGCGCGAAGACGCACAGCTCGATGAAGGCGTTGCGGTTGGCGGCCGCGTCGAGGGCGTCCATGAGCGTGAAGAGGCTGATGCAGCACCATTGGATGGTGGAGGGGGCCATGCGGTCGATGCCCCAGTTGTTGCGGTGCAGGCCCAGGAGGTGGGACACTTGGCGGGCGGAGGCGAGGCAGATGGTTTTGGTGGGGGGATAGGGGGGAGGGGAGGGGGTGGAGTGGTTGGCGCGCAGGTAGCTGAAGATTTGCATCACGGTGGTGTGATAGAAGAGGCTGTTGGGAGAAGAAACCGAGGCGTCAGTCGGGATGGGGGGTGTGGATGTCCAGATGGGCTGTGAATCACTCACTGCAGGCTAAGAACGTGGGGAGCGGCGGCGGTCTCGGCACTCAGACACGGCGGCAGACTGGCGTACCAGTCCTGCAGCTGGGCGTGGATGTTGTGCACGAAGCCCGGCATCTGGGCCAGCGACACGGGGTTCTCGACGTTGTGGAAGCCAGTGCTGATCTGGATGGCGATGCAGCAGAAGGCGCTCCAGCGGTCGAAGACGCAGGCGTGGTGGCCGGGCACGGATTCGACCTCGCGCGGGTAGGGGAACCACACGTCGCGGGGGTCGTGGTGATGGACGGCGATTCGGGGTCGGCGCGGGGGGGAGACGTCGAGGTGCTTCATGAGGGAGACGGTGGCCGTGCTGCGAGGGATCAGTCAGCGCGTCGTGATCGGATCGGATTCCCCGGATCAAGAAGAAGAAGAAGAAGACAGAAACGTACGCGGCGATGTTGAAGGCCCCCCAGAGGGTCCGGTTGGCGACATCCTCGAGCACCCGCAAGGGCTCAGGGCTAGGGTTGTCGGCCCCCAGCCGGGGGGGGTATCTCTCGTCATACTCCTCGGCCCCGCGGATGGCCAGGTCCAGATACATCCAGCCCAGCCGGTCTTTCCCCATCAACGCCATCCTGCAGACACGACAACAATTAGCGTGGTCGCCGACGTCGCGGCGATGGAAGCCCACCATACCGGACAAACAAAATCAACAGCCCCTGGATGGTCGGGAGGTTCGCCGCGCCGTCCTCCCTTTCCAGGAGGTGACGCGCCTCGTCGTAGAAATGGTCGCCGCGGGTCAGCGTGTCGTTGGGGACGGTAAATACCTCGGCGTAGTCGGAGTAATACTACAGCAGCAGCAGATGCGTCAGCTTCCAGGTTCGAGGTCTGTCCATTCCGGCCCCGGGGGGAGAGGAAGACACATACACTGGCCTCGGACAGGATGGCGTTCACGAGGAACGGCGAGCAGAACTGGCATTGCAGCTGCCCCGCCCGCATGTCCCGCAGGAACAGGTCCTTGTCCAGCCAGTCGAAGAACGGGTACGTCCATGTCAGCCAGAGCGAGATCAGATGCGACACCAGCTCGTCGTCGTCGGTGACTTTCGTCCACGGCCGGGCGGGCACGCGATATACCGGGCTGTCGGCGAGGCGACGGACATCGAGGAAGCGGCGGGAGCTGCGCGCCGGGGAGGGAGAGGGAGGTTGTTTTTGTTGTTGTTGCTGTTGTTGTGGGTGTGGGTGTGATTCGTTATCGTCGTCATCGTCGTCCTCGGTGGAGGGGCGCGAGATCTGGGTCTGGATGTCGCGCAGTTCGGGGCATTGTTCGATCTCGGGGGGCGTGAACTTCTTCTGGAGGAAGATCTGTAGCTCGTCGAAGGAGGCGTTGCTGCGGATGAGGTTGAGCAGCTGGGCGAGACGCTTGCTCTCGCTGTCGCGGAGGGCGCTGACCAGTCGCACCAGGGTCTCCTCGGCCTGTTCGAGGCGCTCCAGCTTGCGCTTCATGGCATACTTGCGGCGCATGTCGGCCATCTCGTCCACCTGGCAGTGGAGGCCATTGGCAACGCAGTGCTGGCAGGGCGGATCGCCGCGGCACTGGGGTAGGTAGGTCAGCCGATGGAGGCGTCCCGACGAGCTTGCACGGAGATACCGGGGACGACCTTGAGCTTCTTCAGTTTACACGCCTGGCAGGCGGTGGTTTTGTGTTTGCGGCCCTGCACGGCATGGTCCGAGGCCTTGAGCTGAGGGGGTTGACCGGGGGCGGGGGCGGGGGCGAGGAAGCGCGACGAGGGCTGCGATTCGGACATAGGGCTGGCCTAAAGGGGGGGGTGTGTTGATTCACGTTTCAACAAGGAGGAACCCGGGACAGGGTCGGGCGAGGAGGGAGGTGTGGTCAATGATCAGATCGAAGTGTACTCAAGTTCAGTCGAGGGATGGGTGATGTATATGTTCAATTCAATAAGACGAGAGGGCCCACCACACTGACGGGCGTTTGCCCTTTTAGGAGAGCCTGGGGATGTCTGCAGCAGCGTGCAGCGACCACGGGCAAATCAGACACGTAGGAAAAAGAAAACAGAGCCAACAGCAGGCAAAAAAAAAAAAAAAGGAAAAAAATAGAAACCATCGACGCATCTCCGCAGGGAAGCTTAAACGGCAGCAGCCAGTCAGCGGCAGACGGTGTGGATTGATTTGTTCTGGAAAGATGGGCCAGGCCGCGGGCTAGCGGGATACATTCAGCGTGTGTTACAAGGCGGTACTCCGGCGTATCTACCAGATAGCATAACGGTTCGAGTGCTCGACAGGGCACTAGACATGCGATTCGCAGCACCAAGTGGGCCGCAGCGATCGAGGGACTCCTTGGCCAGAGCTGTCGCTGGTGGCAGTTACTCCCACCCAATCAGCGCCCGCGGCCCTAGCGTGGCTGCCGGACTCTTTCGGCCTTTGCTTCTCGTCGGGAATGCCATGGATGGTCGGATGAGCCCAAATGAGGGCTAGGTGGATAGAGCGTGTCGGAAACGAGCGCCTGGAGGGCCTGCCGGTTCCGGTCTAGTGCCGTACCTTACGCCGGGCGTACTACGATGCATGGACTCTGGTACCGGGTACCTTACTAAGATGTTGATTAATGTTGATTAATGTTGATTAATGTTGATTAATGGTGAAATAATAATAATGGTGAAGAGGCGAGGAGGCTGAGTGGCTTGCTCGAGTAGCAGCACGGAAAGGCTGCCTGCACGAACACATGGAGGCGACGGTGGCGAGAAGGGACGGACACAGCCTACAGGTACATACTAGTACATCGGAGACAGTAGATCTCATGTACTCTACCCCAAACACACTTCCAAACTAGCAGGAAACTCTCGCTGCATGCCTTTTCCTTTGCGAGCAATCACCTGACGCTCGGCTGGTTGCGATCGCAGCAAAGAACCCCAACCGAAGGAAGATGTCAGCATGAAATCATCTCCCCTCTTCTCTTACATCAGTCCGTCCTCATCCCACGGAACAGGTTTCCAGGACAGGCACGCGCAGAAGTAAGGCTAAAACCAGTTCGGGGTACTTTTGCTGGCCGAGAATTGACACCTTCCTAATATTAAACCCTCGTATCGGCCCATGTTTGCGTAATTCCCTATACCGGATGGTACAGGCAAGATGTATTGTTATACTTGGTGGCGGTAAGGATGATTTGATTCGCTATGGTATGCTGCAGGTAGGCAGCCCTTGTTGTATGATAAAGATATCAGATAAAGCTATTCGCAAATAGCAAGATACTAGTAAAACAATGATTAATTCTCTACTAACTAGGTAACAGAAATTTGTAGATAAAGAGATAATCTATTTAATTAATATTTCTGCCGCGGTAACTATTCAAAGAGGCAATCGCCATCTCTTTCTGTCTTTTCTCTTAACAACTCTCCCCCTGCTTATTATTGACTGTAATTCTCAACAGCGACGACAGAGATGATAGATAGTAGTTGAGGATGATGATAATAATTCTTGATTTCTAGTGGCCTGATTTATTGGATAATATAGATATAATTAAAGAGTATGATTTTATTGTCTCTTTTATAATTGATCTGATATTGTCACTAATCTTCTGAAGTCGGGCCGTATGGGCGCTTATTATTTTATTATACTTTCTTTTTATTCGCTTAATCTGCTTGAGGTGCTGGTCCGTAGTTTTGATTATCTCCTCGCGGTAATATATTTATAGACACTCAAATTTCTCTGCGTAGTTATTATGTAGCTTTGCCAGATACTTCTTATGATTTTTCTTTATCTCTTTTATAATTATCGCCTGGGATAATTGCTTTAAATATAGTATAAACTAATATTCTGACTGGTCATCCAGTCTTTACTTTATTACTTATTATAAGATCTCTTAATATTTGTCTTAAAGTATTTGTACTCGGTTGTTCTACTGAATATTTATTAATTAAAGCTGCTCTGTGTGATTGATCTGCTGAACTTTAAGATCCTGAGTTTTAACTATTAATTAGATTTTCAAAGCTTTGACTCTGGCTGTTAGATCCTGAATGTTGTTGTGATAATCTCTTGCGTACTTTATCTCTGTTTCTCGTCTCGCAGTATATTTATAAATAATAGTCTTCTTCAAAGCCTGGACTTTAGTTACTTTATTATTTATAATAATGCCTTCAACAATTATAGGATCCAGTGGATTTATAATAGCCTGATTTTATAGAGTGGCCGATATTAGTTGCTCTTGCTGAGTTCTTCTAAGTTCAAAGACTTTCGATCTTTTAAATTTTTCTTTATATGTGTGTTTATTCTTTCAGATCTTCTGCTCTTGCTTTTGATCCTGATCTTGACTAATTAGCATGTCCGGATATAGTTAATACTGATATTGCAGTTCTCAGCGGTCTATATTAGATTGTCTTGCTTTAAGAGAAAACTTGAAATTGCTATTAATATTCTTCGCGAAGATAGTAGAATAATACTTTGTTCGTAGTTTCCCTGTCTTTGTAAAATAGTTGCGATAGAGCTTTCTATTTTTCACTAATATATTAATAACTTGAGCAAGCTCCGTGTCTGTAAGAATCAACTCCTCTCTAGCTGTAGCTTCTCGAGATAATTTAATGGTTGAATTTTTACTTTTATTTAATATTATTATACTGTCGGAAGAGTTGTCTGAACTGTCGAAAGAACTATTAGATTTAATAAATACAGAGTCTGAGTTCTTTTTCTTTTTCTTTGAAGCTATAATTATAAATATAGTATTGTCTTCTTCTTCTCTGACCTTAAGCTTTGATTCTGACTTCTTTGAACTCGAATTATAATTATTCTAGTTTTTATTTTATAACTCGAAGGCTATTATTGCTGTATTGACACTGCGGTCGCTGGTGAAAAGAACAGATGAAGTTAGAGCGGAATATATAAAGAAAAGAGAAACAAAAATAAGAAACACAAGAAGCACTATATGAAAGATAAAGAATAAGAAAGATAGATAAAAAGTTAGAAACGGGAAGTGAGATGATAATAATATAAATTAATAAGATAAGATAAGTTAATTAAGCGAGATAAGTCGATTGAGTAAGGTGAGATAAGTTGATTAAGTAATTAAATAAATAAATACAGGTCAGTGAATAATTCTTATCAACTATTATTAATATTTATTTCTTTGAAAATAACTCTCTAGCAGTAGCCGCAGTGCTTCTTTTTTATTGACTCTGTCTTCGGCGATATAAGATTTCTTGTCACTGTTACTTTTCTCTTGCCGCAAGATCTTGCGCTTTTTTTATGATATTAGGAGATCTTGTATAAAACGGCTTTAAATAATTAATATAATATTTTTTGATATTAAAATATATTATGATGTCTTCTAGGATTATAGATTATTAATAATTCAATACTCTTCTGATTAAAAATAGCTCTGTTTATTGGGATTCTAACTTTTTTTTTTATTCTTATCGACTATAGTTCTCTGTAAGAGTACTAAGTTGTCTGTGGTTATCTTCTTCAAAGAGCCAGGCGTGTTTTATTATTTATAATACTACTGTAAAGCCTCTCTTGCTTTATCTAACTGTTTATTTCTTGTTGCTTGTGCTCTGGCTAACTGGTTATTGTTGTTGTTGTTTATAAGATTATTTTGTCTTTCGCGGATGATATTCTGTATAGTTTGTTCTTGTAATAATATTAGGCTTGAATATCTTGGTTTGTATTTTAAAAGAATTTTGGCAGGCACAAATCCTACCGGTTGCATCTCTCTTATATTAATTAATTATATAATTATATTGAGAAACTTATTCTATCAGAATATGCTGGTTTTGTCTTTTAAAATTGTTATTCTTAATAAATTAACTGTTATCTGTATAATCCGCTCTGTGAGGTTTATTGATTATGATGCTGTTATCGCTGCAGTTGTATGCTTGACTCTCTCGCGCTTGATTGTGTTGTGGAAGTTGATTCTGATAAAGTGGCTTTTATTATCCGTGTAGAACCCCACCGGCTAACTGAATGTTTTTATAATATTCTGCTTAACAAAGTTAAATAATTGCTGGGCCGTGGCCTCGGGCAGCGCCTTTGTGATTGTATATCTGCTGAAATAGTTGGCTGTGACAAGAATATACTGATTGTTTGTAGCCAATATTAGAGTAATGGGTCTAATGTAGTCCATTGCTTATAACTCTATGAATCCAAGTATTGTTATCAGGTGTGATATATTGTGTGATATCTTCGGGCCAGCTAGCTGGCACTTCTTGCATGATATATAATACTTTTGTATTAAGTTATAATATTCTGGTTAATAGTAACAATCAATTACTCGACTCAGAGTGATCCTGGTTGTAAAATGTCTATGATAATTGTGTAGTTTATATAAGACAGACAGTAATTCGTACGGTAGTATATATTGTGTTTATTTCTGGGTCTTTTTTCTGTAGATCAGGTATACTTCTCTCTCAAGATTAATAAATCCAAACTATTTTGCGAAATCTTTATTAGTTATGTTGCTCAGCAGCTGTTTGATAATTTGGTTGTATTACTCGGACGATCTCTAATAGTTAACTTTGTCTAGCTATATATTATTTTGCTCTACTCGCTGCTTAGCTTGTCTATGTATTTTTATAGCAAAAGCCGGGAAGATAAACTCCGGTTGCTTCTTACAAGTTTCTTAATATAGTAATTATAACAATCTGTCGGCTATTACTTATAAGTGATCAGGGATATATACAATATTAATATTGTACTCTTGCAGTTAATAATATTAATATGTGATTCTTTTGGTCGTGTCCGATACTCCGGCAAACACCGACTGTATTATTGAATAATCGGTGTAAATAATTGTAGGATGATATAATTCTTTTACTAATTATCTCGCTTTTTTAAGATATTTAATAACTGCCAGAATCTTTTTCTCTGTAGTGTGGTATTGTCTTTCTGCAGATAACAGGATAAAAGATATATATATAACCGGGTGTTCCTGCTTTTGTGTATGTCGCGAAGCCCTTGTTCTAATTAATATATTATTAATTTAAAATAATACTTCTTCAAGCCCATAATTGGACGCGTCT